CCTAGAGGACAGTGGGACTTAGTGGTCAGGCCTTTGGGCTTTAACACAGTGGCAATGTTAGCAAGTATGGTCATGGATGAAGAAGGACTTGGTAAGGACAGGAGAAGGGACATTGGGGAAAGGTGTTCCCCATGCCTCTGGGCATCCTAAGGGTGCTAGGGTGTGGTCAAGGGATGACCACTTGTGGATGGATGGCCCAGTCTTTGAGAGATAGGACTATAATGCAAGTAGTGTTGGATCACCAATGTGATAAAGGTGAATAAGCATAGCCATAGCGTAACGGGTTAATATGTTGGTGGTACCTTTGGGTGTCAGTTAGGGGATCGGACATATGGAGCACTTGGACCAAGTGCAAAGTATGAGTGGCATGGATGCCATTCTCGGGGCTAGCAAGCCTCAAGTCCGGAATAGAACTCGTGGAGGTTGTGAGTGAGACTCCTCCAAATGGTTGGAGATGTGGTTAAGAGACTAAAGTAGAATAGAAAATTTAGTCACTTACAGAGATGTCACATAACCTAATACTATTCAAACCCAATAATATTTAACCCTAAATATCCTAAATCCCTTAATCAATTAAAAAATAGGGTGCATTCTTGTTCTGGGCTCTTTCTCTCTATATTTGAATTTTATAAATTGTCTTTTGAATCGTTCTCTTTGGTTGTTTACACTTGGATATATTTAGCTTAGCATAAAGTAAAATGATCTAAAAGTGGACACCGAATTGCATAGCTGACCTAAATAGCACTTGATGAAAATGATGCAATTACTAAAAGACATTATTATAGTTGTTAGCATTTTCAAATGTATATTTGAAGATATTTGGGAGAAGGCTCTAATCCATACAAGTTATTTTTGTTTAAACTACTGTACCACTGCAATGCAATCCCTTGGGAAATTGATATAGACACTAGGCATCATCCTAAAAATGATGGGTGGCAATCATTATATAGTGATCAAACAAATGATATTCATTATCCCCAACATTCCTACAAAAAAAATTTCAGTTGGTAGCAAGAGTAAGAGTAACTACACCACATAGTGTAAATGCCATCATCCACTAGTTGCATAGTATTGAGCAATTGCACTAATTGCTACTCTAGATTTAAAATAAGGAAGAGACTGCTTCAAAGGAGGGGTATACTACTCTACCATGAAAATGAATGAGAAAAAAAAGAGAAAAAAAGAGAGAGAAGAAATGGAAAATTTTTAGGAATAATAGAGATCTAGACAATACAAAAACTAAATAATAAAAATAAATAAATACAAGCACTTTTCAAGGACAAATAAAGTTGTCTCTCACCTCTATTAATATGAATATAGAAATGTACATATTCAGTTAACTCAAGATTTTAATATAATATTATAATATACAATATATACATATATACATACATCATTATTAGCATAGTGGAATTTTGATGAGATACAAATGTATAACTATGATGTTGTATATTATTATTAGTATAGTGGGATTTTGATAGCTTTCATATTGGTTTCAATCTGGAAAATTAATCTAATTGGATATATCATTAAATGGCAAGGTGTTTAAGACATTTTATAGATTATAAACATATTTATAACTAAACATTGCTTAGAATAAGTTGCCTAGTTTGGTAAAGTGTTCTTGATCCATATATTATCTTATCCACAATTAAGGGAGTGGTGCTATTTTGATTCTTGCCCAAACATGCATGCCACATGTGTTAAATTTCTTTCATCTCTCACAATGCGTAATGTGTACTGGACAATTATTGACCAAGGAAAAAACTTTATCAAAATATTTCATGGTTAAAGAAATAACTTTTTGACACTTACTCTATCTAACACTTGTCACTAGCTAGATCTGATGGCCTAAAAAGTTTGGTAAGTTATTAGAGATTTATAAGCATAAAATTAATCTAAATCTGTTAGGTATGCATATTCTGAATATATCCACTAAATTGGCCCTAAAAAAAACTTATTAAAAAACTTTATTGTAGCATATACCAAAATACTTTGAGAGTCAATCCCTAAAGTGGGATAATCTGTTAAAAACACCCTCCAAACAATTACATGTTTTACAATATGTTAGATACAGTTCTTGATATGCTTCAACATCAGACCATGAAGGTTCATATAAATCCTCATATTTCAGCCAATTTCCTACATTCACAATAGAGTTCTGAAAGTTGTTGAAAACAAAAACTACAACATACCGGGAGGGGAAAGGCAGGAATGCCAACCAAAATATTTGCCAGCCAAAGTAGCTGCCCCTTTAACACCAACATCCTACACAGGAAAGAAAACGACATAGAAATTTTGTGTAAGAAATTTTATTTCTTGCAGTAGAACCTGTGGATCGCTGAGAACTTCTACAGTCTGACCGAAAACTCCAGCGATGATTCCTGGCCACGTAGCAGACCTGACCGACCATTCATACGTTACTTCTTTGCTATAAAACAGCCAAAAATCGAACCTGGCGCCCCCACCAACTAGACGTAATGGTGCTGCTGATTCTGTAAAGCATAAATGAGATAAAGGTTTCAAAACTTTTAAGTACCATTTGATGTTTTGTCGGTCATAGCTTTCTTAGCAGAAAGAAGAGCGAACGCGACCCCTTCCATCACCTGCGCGAATAAAGGCAAACAACCAGCACACGAGTTAGATTATTACAAACACATCCCATACCGCACGAAGCATATCGGCACGACTAGTAGTTTCCGAGATTCCAAGAAATGCGGCTCTGTAAGTCGGACTGTCCATAGGACACCGCTCTCCTACATGATGTAAGACACTTGTGTCAGCTTGAGCAAAACCAGAGACAGAGAAAACCACACCATTTAGGAAAGGAAGGTACAGTAATCCACCGCATCCCACCGACGCTGTTGCAACTAGCTTGTTGATTTCGTCGTATGAGTTGCCTTCCGTTAATTTTTCTGCTGCCCAAGCTAGATTTCCCCCAGCAGTCATGATGGATCCTGATAAGGAGTGTGAAAGTTCTCGAGTTTGACTGAATGTAACCTTACCTGTTTTGAACACCAGTGAAGAATCGGGATGGCCCAAAGTAAATACCCCCGGGACGAATTTCTAACAAAACTGGAGCCTGTTAGCATGCGATTCTGGTTGAAGACAGCTTACTCCATCATTTTCTTCAACTGGAAAAGATCCTGCGACCCACCTAGTACGTATTGCACTTGTAGAAGTGAAAAAACAAGGAGAACAGAAGAACATACCCCGACGTCCCAAGGTACACATAAGACGAACCTGGACTTGATGCTCCAGCTCTGTCGAAGTATCACCACACATCAATTCTCGTTAAACAGGTACGCAACGATGTACCCCAGTGTGCACGCTCCAGCGTCTCCACAAGAGTGTAGCACCGGAAGAGCTCGTAGTTCTGGAAAACCAAGTTCGTCTGATGCTTTCGTCGTCACCTTCCCTGGTTGATCTGGAACTATGAACTAAAGACGGCTGGAAAGAAATATACACACCACATGGAACGTCCGGAGGGAAGATTTTTGGAAACTTTTCTATCCAGTGGTGAAGGCCTGCCGTTTCAATCAGTTTGTCAGCATACTACAAGATAAAAACACGTGAGCAAACAGCAATAAACACGAGAAATATACCTGCAGTGAAGGGTCGATTAGTCCTGTTGTTGAAGCCGTAGTTACGTCAGTGACAAGAGAACCACACAGCTTCCAGGTAACAAAGTCGTGCCTGATAGGCGTTGAGGAAAAGAAAATCAATGAGAAGTGTAAATCACTCACCCTCCCAGTAGAAGATGATCGCAAAAAGAAGCGCTGCCTTCCATGTGCTTATCAATCCAACGAAGCTTTGCCAGAACACTGTGGCAATTCATTGCTTGTCGGCGCCAAGAAAGAAAAATCGAAAGATCGAAAAGGCCCCGCGGCTCACCTGGACGCACCTTGAAAATTTCCAGTCATTGCAGCCAAAAGAGATGGTCCACCAACTAGCTCGGCAATCTAAAACAAAGTCACGAAATCAAATCAATAGATGTAAAAGACAAAAGCATGTAAAAACCACAAACCTCGATCACTTCTTTAGCGGCCCTAGTGTCGGAGTAAAGTATCGCTCTTTGCTTATTAGCACAACCAGCCTGAGGGAAGAACTTAGAGAAGAAATTTATAGAGAACTTCGATCCATACTGTTACCTTTGGAAGGATCACAATGTCCTGCATTTGCCCGGTGACAGAGATTCCTTGAATGCAGCTAGAATCGGCACCGTCATCCCGAGATTTTTTCACGCAGGACTGGACGGCCTGTATCGTAGCGAGCCACCAGAGCTCCGGATCTTGTTCCATGCTGCAAGAACCTCCCCTGACCCCGATCGATCACTTCTACAGCCGAAATATCGCAGATTATCACTCACATAGCCGATTGAGCGGGAGCTGGATGCGCCGCGAAGCCGGAGGCGAGAATATCCCCATCCGACGAGACAATGCACGCCTTGGTCCCTCCCGTTCCCACATCGATCGCAAGAACAGACTCTACATCGATCGCTCTTGCCCTAGGCGCTCGCAAGGAAGTGCGCGCCAGGACGCAAGAAGAGGAAAGCGCCAACAATGCCATTGGGCAAAACCTTTTAGGGCAAGATCATAAGTTAGGGCAAAACAGAGAGATTTGAAAATTCTGGTAGATGCTCTGAGCGCTCAACAAACAATTCAGTGAACTCGCGGCAATTTAAATGAAAGAATTTGGCGTATTGTGTGAGTGCGCGGGATGAGCGAGCGGTGGAAGAAAGGATAAAGGAGGAGGTTCTTCGTGTCTAGCGTGTATTTCTTGGCAGCTATGGAGGACGAGGAGGCCACCACATTGGACATCAATCCGCGCCTCCGCGAGGGCTTTCGATCGGGGCGGACGAGGAGCTCTGCCTGGCGATCCCAGCAGCTCCATGCGATCGCCCGGATGATCGACGAGTGCGACGCGCAGATCTACAGCGCCGTCGCACAAGACACTGGCAAGTCGCCATTCGAAGTCGAAATCTTCGAGGTACTTGAGAATCCTGTAAAATTCCCTCTTCTTCTTCCTCTCGCTTGTGTTCTTGGCTGAATGGATGATACGCCTGTGAAAAAAAATTTCCCGCGTGACAACGACACACACCTAGAACACTGCCACGGCCGTGCTACCATTCGCTGGGACAGATCTAGCTATAAATGCCGCACGCTGTGCCGCACGCTGTGCCGCCGCGGCTGCCGCGGTGGCACGCCACGGTGTGCCGCACGGTAGACGTGACCCAACCATAGTTCGCCGACGTGGCGTATTTATAAAAGCCAGGGCCTTGGCTGTGTTTCACGGTTTTCTTCCTGGGAGCGAGCAATGGACGATCGGCGCCAAGAATCGATGGAGAGCGCCGTAATCGCGGCGGTGTGTGGCGAGGTCCGCGGCGATTTCAAATCTGGTAGGACTAGGAGCTTGGATTGGCGGCTCGCGCAGCTCAAGAGCATCGTGGATTTGATCAAAAAGCACGAGGAAGACATCACGGAGGCCGTGGCCGTCGACATGGGGAAGCCGTCGTATGAGTGCTTCGCCAGCGAGGTGAGCGGCGCTGCTATGGCGCCTTGCCTGTGATTGCGTACTTGCTCCCCTCTCCCCCTCCCGATTTGGATCTTTCTTGCGTTCACCAGGGTTCTTGGAAGATTTCCGGATCGAAATGCCGCTGATTGCGAGTGGATCTTTCTTGCTCGCAGATCTTTCCCGTCAAGAGCGCGTGCCAGCTCGCGATCAAAAACCTCAAGAATTGGACGGCCGCCGTGAATGTAAGCCGCGATTTCTTTGCCCAAATTTCCCATTCTCTCTGCTCATTTTCTTGGAAATCTTCTTTTCCAGGTTCCACCGCTGCTGGCGACGCTCCCGGCGTCGGCCTCCATGAAGCCGGAGCCTTTCGGTGTCGTGCTGATAATCTCCGCCTGGAATTTCCCGTTTCGTAAGTCTGTCGGTTGTAGCGCTCGTTCTTTTTTCGTGACGAGGTTCTCTACTTGTGGTTCTTTAATGCAGTCCTTTCCCTGGACCCGATGGTTGGAGCTATTGCCGCGGGTAATGCCGTGGTGTTGAAGCCGTCGGAGATGGCACCAGCGACATCGGCGTTGATCGCACGGCTGCTCCCTTTGTACTTGGATAAATCTGCAATTCGCGTGGTCGAGGGTGGAATTCCGGAAACCACTGCTCTTCTCCAACAAAAGTGGGATAAGATTTTCTACACGGGTAATGTATAGTGTTTTTCAGTGTACTTTACTGATGACACTTGGCTGGCCGTTTTTTTCTTTCTTTCAGGCAGTCCAAGAGTCGGACGAATTGTCATGGCTGAGGCCGCAAAGAATCTGACGCCAGTCACTTTGGAACTCGGGGGAAAGTCACCAGTTATTGTTGATTCTTCAAGCGATCTCAAAGTAAAGTTCTCAAGTCTTTTTCGGTTTTGCCTTGGTGGATTTTGGCTGACTTTTCTCTTCCAGGTCGCTACCAGAAGGATCGCTGTTGGAAAATGGGGAAACAACAATGGTCAAGCCTGCGTCAGCCCAGACTATGTGCTTGTCGACTCGTCTTGCTCGACTAAATTCGTAAGCAACCTACTACATCCTGACAGCTAACGGACATGTCTTTGTAACAGATAGAAGCCATGAAAGATACGCTCAAGAGCTTCTACGGAGAGAATCCTAGAGAGTCGATGGACATTTCGCGGGTGGTTAATATTAACCATTTCAATCGCCTGGTGGGCCTGTTGGACGATCCAAACATCGCATCAAAAATTGCACACGGTGGTGAAAAAGACGAGACGAAGCTGTGGGTGCCTTTCTAAATTTCGTAGAGTTTCACTGGCGGTCCGTTTTGAACTTCCAGGTACATTGCTCCAACTCTTCTCGAGGACGTCCCGTTGGACTCGAAGGTGATGAGCGAGGAAATATTCGGCCCGATTCTTCCAATCATCTCGGTATAGTTGAGATCTCTCTGTGATCGCATTGTACTGATTGAAGTCTCTCTTTGCAGGTGCGATCCATCGACGAGGCTATTGACATCGTGAACAGCCGGCCAAAACCTCTGGCGCTCTACCTCTTCACCAAGAAGGACAAAGTGAAAGAGAAGGTCATCGCAGAGACGTCGGCCGGAGGCATGGTTGTAAACGACTGCTGCTTGCACGTAAGTGTCACCTCCTCACCCCCTCTTTATGTTTGATTCCCGTCGCGAGTGTCATGTCTTAAGTTCCCGTTTTCCACTCCTACTTCGCGTCACACTCGTCCGTCAAGCCTTTATTTCTCCAACGCTCCTTGGTTGACTCCATTCACTGGTGGAAATTCTCGTTCGTTTCTCACGAGTTTGATTAGACTCCCACTCTCTATGATTCTTCCAGTTCTTGACAACCACCCTCTAGTTTGATTGGACACTCTCGTTTTGATTCTTCCAGTTCTTGACAGCCACCCTCTGGTTTGATTGGACTCCCAGTCTCACTCTCTCTCGTTTTGGTTCTTGCAGTTCTTGACAACCACACTCCCATTCGGTGGAGTCGGAGAGAGCGGCATGGGATCCTACCACGGCAAGTTCTCGTTCGACGCCTTCAGCCACCACAAGGCAATCCTGACGAGGCCGTTCTGGATGGACATCATGGCCCGGTATCCTCCCTACAGCGCGCACAAGAAGACCTTCATCCGGTGCCTGCTCGAGGCCGACTTTGTGGGGGTCATCCTCTGCCTTCTCGGCCTCAAGGGCTGATCCTTCTTCACCGGTTGTCTTTTCTCTCTAATTTTTTCTCTCCCTCTGTGACGAAATTTGTTGTTCTTTTCTTGGTTTTCTAGAATCGAAACGTTTAATTGTATAGTTTGAAGCCATAATAATCTACGTGCTCAAGTCAACGAAATTCTTCAAGCGCCACGTCACCGAGTAAACTTGGTCCATGGAATTCAAACAGGTCAATGGGAGTCAAACGTTTGAGTTGCGACCTAGAATGGAGGTTGGGCGCTTTGATTTGCAATCGCTGCTGTGCATCAAATGCTCCCCGGCTTTGGATTCAATTCGTCGCAGCAAGGATGGATTGATGAGCCAGATGCGACTCTTGTGAGATGCACAATGCATCCATCACAAACAACTCGCATGGCACAGATTCCTCGCTTCTCGCGGAACACCAGCAAAGGAAAAAAGGCGAAGAAAAGAAGAAGCAAGGTTTTTCACTTCCTCTTTTGCGGTCGTTCGTCGGTGATGGTTGCTCGTGGGTTTTAATTGCCGAAGTGGAAAGCCCCCACCTGATCATCCAGCAAATCATACACGCTCTCAATCATTCAATCCAATCCTGCGAGCAAAGAGAGCAAAGAAAGCTAAAGAAACCAGAAAAGAAGAATACTACGCACAGCTAAAAAGAAGAAAAGGATATGATCTGATCTGACCATCTGGAGCCTGGCGATCGAGCAGTGCTAGGGCAATGGACTGGACGCTGGCAGAGGCTGGTCAGGCAGGGGGGTCATGTCGATCGCATTTAATGCCAAATGCCCCAAATCGAAGAACAAACAGGGGACTCGGGAGAAAAGCAAGGAAAGCGAAGACGGAGGAGAAAAAAATGTATAAACTAGAAAACTTGGTTCGTCGGTTTTGCTTGGCAGATCTCTGCGTGCTTTTGTTGTCTTCTTCCCTGCTGGTTTGGCAAAGATGCCCCCTTGATCCTTGTTCTATTGGTCCCGCTCAAATTCTTCCAATCGCGACTCGCATTCAATGCCGAGAACTCCTTTCAAGGATGATCACGACGTGGTGCTTGCTCGATGATCTCGGTCAGGAAGAACACAACCAGGAATCCATGGAAGTCCATGGAAGTCAGTCTCACTGTTTTTTCGTTCCAACGAGGGAGACAAGAAAGTTGACCGTGTCAAAGACTCTATCGCGAGAACAAGGAATGGATGATCGAAAGTTACGCCATCACGAAATGGTGAGGCTGCTGCTGAGATGATAGAGAAAAATCTCTCAAAAACCCAAGACGATCTAGACGAAGAAGAAGAAGAAGAGAGAAGAGATCGCCAGTGGCGACTAGCTCTTGGAGCATCCCCGGCCGCCAAAGATGATATACGAGCCCCAGTTTCGATCGAAGTACTTCCTGGCGGTGTAGCACTCGGGATCGGTGGAGAACTCGGCGAGATCCACCGCGTCAAACTGGCGCATTTGATCGTCCAGGTAGGCGAGCTCGCACTGGGACGCCGCGCGCGTGTTGCCCTCGGCGGGGAAGAAGCCACTCCCCATTTGCGTGGAGAGCTCCGGCCCATCGGAGGCTCCCGAGAGGCACACCTCGCCGCCCCATTGCATCCACTGCGAGCTCTGCCCCAGCGTCGTGAAGAGCGACGCCGGCCAGTAGCCCACCCACTCGTCGTCGATCTGGAGCCACCACGCGACTGGATCCTGCGCGAGACATGGAAAGGTCGTGAGGAATCGATTTTTGGCGAGGGATTGGGAGCGCCCACCTTGAAGATCAGGAATTTCTTGAAGAAGAGGCTGGAGTCGGGGCTGGAGATGGAGGAGATTGCGCCGCCAAGGAGGACGTTGGGGCTGGTTTGGATGAATCCGGGGCAGCGGAGGTTGTAGCAGCCCGAGTTCTTGTAGGAATCGGCCTGCCAGAGGACAAGCGCGCGGTCAATTTCTCGAAAGAATGGATGGAAGGAGGCACACACTCTGTTCTTCCAAGAACTTTGGAAGAACTTTGGAAGAACAAAACAAAGCTTTACCGTCCAGAAGATGAAGAGGTGTGGGCTTCTGTCGCCATTGAGGAGCTCGTAGACCTGCGATCGAGAAGAAATGAGCGGGGCTTTTCTTGGAGCTTCGCGGATCACACTTACTTGCCATCCGGCTTCTACCGTGTTGATGCTCTCGTGAGATCCTCCGCCCAGCCAGAGCTGCGAGAGGCTAAAATCCGACGAGGTAGCCACCGCCGGATCCCAGATGCTGAGGTAGGCCTGCGATCCTGAGAAGCTGCCCACTGCCTGGACGATCGCATACTGCGAGAGAGAGGAACCCATCAATCGCTTGCTCGCTCGCTCGATCGATCGCGAGAAAGAAAACCGCTTTTATACCTGGTGCCCATCAACCGATGGAGGGGTGAGATGATGGTCTCTCCTTGTTCTTCGCCTTCTTCGCTTCTTTCGCGAGGATCGCGAGTTGGGCGACGCGGGAATGCGGTGCGTGCCCGACTGGATCGACTGGGGGTACTTGTGGAGGAACACCTCGGGGGTTTGCATTCGATCCAGGTCCTTGGGAAGGAGGCGGCGGACGGGCACGGTGGCGTCGGGGCAGGAGTTGTGTTCGTGGTGGAAGAGCTGCCATGGCGACGAAGAAGTGGCATTGCGTTTGAATCGACCGCTCCTGCTGCTGGCGGAGCGATCGCTCGACTGTGGCTGCAAGATCGTCGGCTTTCTCTGCCAGGAGCAAACAAGAGCAGCGCTTTTCTCAAAAGTTTGGATGGAAAGAAAAAAGAGAAAAAAGAATGAGAAAGAAAGAGATTTCCATACCAGGATCTTGTGGTTCTTGAGGAGAGGATGCTGGATTCCAAGCTGGTCTTCTATCCTCACGCAATCCACCACGCTCCCATCCGAAAGCTAGAACGCGAAGAACAATAAACAAAAGAAAAAGGATTGGATTCTGCAAAGAGGATCATGAACTTTAGCGGCGACCTACATTGAAGCTCTTGACGAAGGGACGATTGATGTAATCCAGCAAGAATCTCCTGCCGGATTCGACGCGGCCGCTGCTGCTAGCGTTGCTCCTCGCAAAACTTTGGAACAATGCGTGTTGCGAAGAGCTAGAGACACTCGTGAGACGAGAGAGAAGAATGTAGGTGCTTACAAGGAGAACGATCCAAGCGGCCATAGCCAAAGAGCGATTGGCTGCTTGATCGATGGAGAAGATTCGAGGCTAGGCCCCCAAGAAGAACACGAAGGGAAAACGAACGATCGATCGAAACCGAAGAACTTTTGTGGGAGTCACCGAAACTGTGGACATAAAATAAATGGTTTTATAAGTGGATGGCCCCGAGGAGCTAATACGAAGACGAAGCTCTCACGTAATTAATTACCGCGCACATGTGCTCCGTTGGATCGCCCAGCTCGAGGGTGGCGATGCATCGATCCCTTTCGCAGCGATGGATTTGTTTAGAGGCTGGAAGTGTTTAAAGAGTTCTTCCCTCCAAACCCCCAAATTGATCCATGAATCGCGCGCGCTTCCCGGACAATCACCACAGAAACCACGCAGCGATTTCAAATCATCCAAATCCAAACTTTTTCCTTTGCTTGCTGCTGGCATCCACTCTAAGTGATAGTTCTTGCTCCAACTTTTCTCTTTCCCTGGAATTCTTTTTTTCAATCTTTGCCTTTTGCATTGAAAAGAACCCCGTGTTGCATTCCTCCGGACAGTACGACACACGCAGCCACTCCCGTGATCCTGTGTCGCCCACGGGTCCGTACAGCGATGTGTGCTGGACGCGGTTCGAACCGCGGATTGATTGACTAGGGCTGACCGCCTGCCGAAAATAGGTCTGCTAACTTATCCCACATGCCGGGGCGCAGAATAAAGCCCCCGAAGGAGTATATAAAGTAGGGTTCTAGGCGGAGAACCATACTTACCTGGACGGGGTCTATTGGTGATCATGAAGGCCAATGGCCTAGGTTCGGCCTTCCCATTGCACTACGGCTTGGCCGGCCTACCATCTTCCCAAAGTGGAGGAGTGGACGTCGTAATTTGTGGAAGTTGAGGGCTCGCGTACGCGCGGCCCTCTCCAAAGCTAAAGTCTCTAAGATGCATAGAAACGAAATGACTAGAAATCAAACATAACTCTCGCCTTCTATTTTATCTATTTCATTTCTGTAAAGAAAGAATTAGAGAATATTCCTATTCCTTCTTTACAGTCATGCCCGTGATTGACTCGAGGAATTTTCAGAGGTCGATCTTTCGCAGTACTAGTGTAGTGTTCGATAGATTGGTTGGATGCTTTACATAAAAGGTATACTCCGTGATATTGGATGACCATGGCCGGCCATGGCCAGGCGCACAATTCTGGCGTCTGCGAATGATTGAGGAGGTCTTGGGCCAGGCGATCACAGATGCTCTGCAGCGCCCCCTGCGCTTCTCCCTCTGTGATCATAGTCATCCTCTTCTTCCATCAATGATCTTGAAAGGGCTCCCTCTGAGCTTGCGGCTTGAGTAGAAAGCAATTATAAGCAATGGTGAACGGTCTGGTCCAGTGAAGGAAGAGTTTTTTTCTCTCTTGAGTGAGGTATGATTCTTTGTAATGAGGTATGTTAATAACATTTTCTTGGGATGTTTTCTAGAAGTGATTCAAGGCAAAGTGGTCCAACATCGTTTTAGTTTTTCTGAGTGTTGCAAATTGAAGTGTTGACACACAAGACGGAATGAGTATTTTAAGTTTTAGATTGATCCTCAACAAGAAGGATTTGAGTACAAATCGGTGTGAATTAGTTACAGACAGACAGATAGAAACTCAAAGCAAAGCATTCGAATGTCCTTTATGGGACACTTCAAATAAAAGTTATGGGTCCTCTGTATCAAGGTGTGGCCAAAGTAGATGGTAACATTGCTTACTCCCTTTTCTCAGGGAGTGTCAGGCCAAAGTTTTCTCAGGTGAGAAGTGTTGATCCTGGTAGAGCAGGATGTGTTGGTACTTTGTCAAGTAAAACCTCCATCTCAATGACCTTTTGTCCACCCACAACACGAACCTGTCCCCAGGCCATGTGTTACACAATCCCCAAAACGATGGGAGTAGTCCTTTCCCAAAGTGAGAGCCGACGACAAGGACGAGCTCCTCAAGCATTTGCCGCTGAATCATAATCCATGACATGGTTGTCAAACATGACGGTTACATTGTAATGCCCTGACCTTTTAATTCGGATGTCTCCTGAGCCTTGATATCAATCTTGGGAAGAATTCTCCACACATTCGTGAGTGGATTTCCAACAGCTAGAGTAGTTGCCTCGCCAGCAGCCTCGTACACACAATCCCCAGCAAGCACGCCAGGAGGCGAAACCTGTGACTGACTGAAAAGGACCGATGGTCTAGTAGTACAACTCATGGACTCTGCCAGTTGTGAGCTCAGGGAAGCCACAGCTTCCCTGAGTTCTTGCAAGCGTGCAAGGCGATGCCATTGCTTGCAGACGCGCCCGGCTTTGAGGATAATATCTGGCTCAAAATGTCAAGGTCAGCGCCCAGAGAATCAAACGCTCCCATGCTCTCGGAACTTGAGCTGTCCTCCTCTTGTTCCAAGTAAGGAGAACACCGCAAGACTCAACTGTAGATCCCAGATCTACAGTTGAGTCATGCGGCGGACGCAGGTGTTCTCTAATGATATGTCTTATTATCCTCTAATTTTTGGACCCATCCGCAGAAAAAGAGGTGTCTTTTCGCTATGCCGCAAGAGAAATGCCATCACCATTACTGAAAATTTCTACTCAAGCAAGATCATTGATCGCCCGGTGATCGTCATCCAATCAATCAAACACTCGAGCATAGTATTAGACAGCGAAAGAATCCAGCATCATCCTGAGAAGTCCTCAATCAATCGTGGGCAAAGAAGCATGAGATCTGCCAAAAAATTTGCCATATATTCAAAAAAGTTAAAAGTTTAAAGGCTTAAGATTCATCTTAGTCAACTAATCCAACCCGTCGGGCACGAGACTACCTTAACATTGATGTTCAGGTCTTTTATCCTCTGTGCTGCTTCAGCCTTCCTCTTTGCCATTGCTTCCTTTTCTTCTTCCTTGCCCCCCTTCCTTCTTGTCCAGATCAACCCACCCAATTCCGAACTTGAAGAGCATAAAGTGAGGAACAATGAAGCAGAAGTCTAGCTTTCAAAGGAATGTCACCAACGCATCCCCAAGAACAAGAGGACGCTCAGGCTCCACTGTAACCTGATAGACTGATCCATGCACGATGAAGTCCCACTCGGCATTAGTCAGATAACTGGGCAGCAAGAGAGCATTCTCGTCGCCTTCTCGGATTTTCTCCGGGAATACAGCCTCCGCTTCCATTCAGCCTCCGCTTCCATTACGAAGGAGATCAATTCTCTTGGGCATCTCTGGGAGCAGCTTCCCTTGCTTCTCCGGTTTCATCTAGCTGCCTGTACGATATCCTGCCTCCTCGGGCAATCTGTCTCCTGGTCATGAATCTCTCTCTGATAGACTCTGGCTGCTCATGATAAATGAACTGATGCAGCCTGTGGGTAAGTTGGAAAAGACTGACGTAAGGGCTAGCAAGATCCAGGCCGTAGCTCCTATATGTTCTCTCATCCATCGACATGTGGAAGGCCTTGTAGCTTTGATTCTCGGGAAGGCTTTCGTTCACGTTTCGAACCACCCCTGCAGCCTTCACCATCTCCATTTGAGACGCCTCTTCTAGCTTCTCGAGCACATACCGAGGTATGCCACCCCACTTGCGGAAGCGAGCCTTTACGTCCTCCACAGGATGCCCAAAGTTGTGCTCGTTCAGGGCCAGCAGCTCGCCAAGGGACCACATTGGGTCATACACCATCTCCACAGTACCAGACTTTGCAAATTCGCTGTAGTGGGACTTCAGCGGGGAGCACGTCAACAAGAACTAAGATACCAGGACTGAGGGCCTGCTTTTACCACAGCTTTCTCACCAGATTCTGCAACTTCTATCACGACCTCCTTGCCTTTCCAGGTGAAGGAGTAGTAATGCTTGACTTTTCTCCCTTTTGGAGCATACCACAAAAAACCTGTTTTCCCGACCCTTGCATTGCCTATCAAAACTATCCCACCATTGAAGCCGTGTTCCAATATCAGCTTCCTCGGTGTTGTGCTGATAAATCTCGTCGAAAATGGGACCATAGCAGCTCCGTGAGAGAATCTTGATCGAGGGATATCAGCCTTACTCGCCACCACATACCCCCAATTTGTCAGGCAAGTCGAGAAAACCGTACTTCGCCCCAGGAGTGGAAGTCTGCTGGCAAACTTCCACTTTGAGCGATCCTTCAACACGCTCACTGATTCCTTCTGTTCTAGGCCCACATGATTTTGAGGTATTTCTTCCAGACCAGCCGTCATGATCCTGTGAAATGCACGATGGCTACTACTGATCCATATTCTTCTATGACAGAAACGCCAGTCGCAGTGCAATGGCGTTATCCTCTCCCTCCTCAAGCCCTTGATGTCACAGTCTAGTTTATGACATTAATAAAAATTATTAAACTGTAAGTGGGGAGTTTGGAGTTTCCCTGACTCCCGTTTCAAACGTTCCATTGGGCCTAGCCTCGAATCTTTTATATCTATCAATCAGCCAAAAGCTCTTTGGCTTCGATCGTTCTTCTCTAGAATGGCTTTGGCACACACTTCCACCCAGCCTTGCTGAGCATATGAGTTGAACTGAGCATCACTCCATATGAAAAGTTTCTGTCATAGTTGTTTCCCTCGAACTTTTGCTTTGAAAAGAACAACCAGTTGATTAGGGCTGACCGTATTGACTACCCTAGACCAAGAATAGGTCTGCTAATTTATCCCACATGCCGGGGCGTACCATGAAGCCCCCAGAAGAGTATATAAAGCAGGGTTCGAGGTTAAGTATCATACTTACCTGGACGGGGTCTATTGGTAATCATGAAGGCCAATGTCCTAGGTTCGGCCTTCCCATTGCACTACGGCTTGGCCGGCCTACCATCTTCCCAAAGTGGAGGAGTGGACGTCGTAATTTGTGGAAGTTGAGGGCTCGCGTACGCGCGGCCCTCTCCAAAGCTAGAATCTAAGAGGCATTTTAACCAAACCTAATAAAACCCTCTAAGCCCATTATCTCTTCATCTTTAACCCATTAAACTTTTCTTTTTGAATATACGAGATCCGGACAGCACGGCACGCGAAAATCCCGCCGCTTACTAACGGCTCCGTCTACTGACTTTGGAAATTTAGGTGAGTTTGAAGCTCGTTTAGCTCGAGGGAGCCGAGGCGGCGGGAATTGGGCGCCCGGGCGATTTATTTTGGCGGATTTCGTGCTTCTTTGCCCGCGATCGATCGGGCGAGCTCGTGGAATTCTCAGGTCGGTGCTGTGGATTCTTTTGCTGTCTGGTACAGTAACTAGTGTGATGCTCGATCGATTGATTGAATGACGATCGCCGGGCGATCAATGATCTCGAAAGGGTTCTAGCAAGGATCCATCCGATCCGGTCTAGTTTGCAGCTTGAGTAGAAATTATCGGTGGGATTTTCGATCTCTAAATCGATTTGATTGTGCTTTCCAGGAGGAATTCGTGGCGGATCTACGAGTTCTTCTGGAAGCATTCTTTCTCTCTCTCCCTCTCTCTCTTTCCGCGTTGTGAGGTATGATATAACATTTTCTTTGGATGTTATCTAGGACTATCTCTTTTTCTGCGTAGTGAGGTATGTATGATCTTTGGATGTTTTCTAGGAGAGACTATCCATGGATGGGTCCACGATGGTAGGACCAAGGCAAAGGAGCTGTGTTTTTTTGCCTAGTCGCTATATCGAGGAGCTGGATGGTGCTTCCAGCCCGGGACTAGTTTCAAAAAAGGCTGCTTTCTTCGAGGAGGCTATTCAGTCGGCTTCCAGCGAGAGATGCTCGGTTTCTAGCAGAAGAAGTAGAAGAGCCAGCAGCGCTTGCAAGATTGGCGACGACGATGTGATCGATCAGAGCGATGCCACTGTCCGGACGCTGGATTTTTCTTCCGGGTGCGAGGAATCCAAGGACAGTTCTTGCGAAGAGCACTCTGATACGGTCTTGGAGGAAATTAAACTGGATGGAACGAGTTTAGTGGACGGAGACAATATTGGCAAAGTTGGCAGCACTACAACCATCTCGAGTGGTGTTGGCTCGGCTCTCAAAGAAAACAAGGACCCGGACGATGATGGCAGACAAAGCCAGGTATGCTTTTGTATGTTGCTCGTATTATATAATGATTTTTCCCACTGGTCTTTTACAGGAAGCTCCTGCCGTGCAGCAGACTAAAAATAATGCCAAGCCTTCCATGCGCAAGGGAAATAAAACGCATAAAGAAATGGTACATCCTATACGAGTTTGTGGCCACCTGACACAACGAGCGTGTGCAAATAAGCGCCGAGGCTCGATTCCCTCGGACGTGGTGGCTGATCTGAAAAATCCTTCTCGGCGTGTGAATGCTGTCCGAAAATCGACTGGTTTTCAGTCGCTCGCTCTGCCAGCTGATAAGAAGAAGACGACTGAAGGCACTGATTCCAGACCGAGGCTTGAGAGACAGATCCCGACGTCAACGAAGGCACAGGTAAGTTGTCATTGCATTTGAGTCTGAGGACATAAGTCACATTTATGCAGGTCGGGACAACAGGTTCAACAAAACAAGATGCGAAAGAATATCGGTATGCGCAGCTTCTCTATCGTATTATCTGCTTTTTTTCGCGGCTAATGTCTCGGTAAACGCTGGCAGATTGGCGGAGAAAAGCCTCGAAGAGAAAAAAGAGTCGAAAAAGTCTTCTCCAAATGCCGGTCTCCGTCGAAGTCAAGAGTTCCAGCTGAAGTCTGGAGAGCGAGCGATAAAGAGAAAAGAGGTGTGAACACACTGCTCAGTCAGAATTTTGATCGTGTTCATGTCATGCAGTTCTATGCAAAGCTGGCGGAAAGGCTGGCTGCCAAGGAACAAGAGAAGAACCAGATCAAGGCTAAATCACAGGTTTTGTAGAATACTTTTCAGATCATCCGTTCCGACATTTGTTTCAGGAGGAGAAAGAAGCTGACCTTCGTAAGCTGAGACGAAGCCTGACTTTCAAGGCCAAGCCAATGCCAGATTTCTATCATGAACAGCCTGCTGAGACAAAGGCGAGTAAGAAGGTAATATTTTCTGATAAGTTTTCAGGTTTTTGTATAATGCTGTTTTGATTCGAAGGTACCGGCAACACGAGCAATCTCTCCAAGATTGGGACGACTTGAGAGAAAAACGAGCGTGGACACCCATCATGAACACCATCACGTCCGCTTGTGCCAGCAGCAGCGTCATCATTCGGCAAATCCCTCTCTCGCACCAGCTTCAAAGAAAAAAACTCCAAGCGCCGGGAAGTCTCGCTCTGGAACAGCAAACGCTTCCTCCTCCACTTCATCGCCATCACTGCTATCGACAAACCAAACAGCGGTGCAATCGAGCTGCGGCAGCAGTTCCTCCGTGGAGATCAGACAAGAGGACGGGACAACCTTGTTGGCTAGCTCGGTTTAAATCAACGCGAAAGACAACGTTTGGCAGAACAGCAAGTTCTTTCTTAGGATCAAGGAACGAGGTATTTTTTTGCTCTTTCTTCCTTTGGTTTGTATATATTAGAGCTCATGGAAACCATGGAAACGATCGCTTGCCTTTCCAATCACAGTGGCATTTTGACTTTACATTCAAGGCTAAGTTTCGAGTCGACGTCTACAATGTCCTCAAGCAAAGTGTGACACCAAGAACGTAAGCTCGCTCGTTATGGCTGCCGTTGCTACGCAGCTGTTATAATGAGAGCTTACGATCGCTCGCCCGTGCGAGGACACCAAAATTTGCTGGAGAGCAAAACAATCAAGGCAGTATGGATCATCCCTTTCGTTCTCTGTCAGCCAAGGAGCAAGGTACCAAAGTAAAAACCTCTGGAGAGCTTCGTGAAACGCTCCAAGAATCGTGGAAGTCCACTTGGCCGGCGAGTTGGATGGATTGATTGTAGGAAGAGTGACATCACAAGGAAGCGGACGAAGGAGTTTGGATGGCAGTCGCGTCGATGAACAGCGCTGCGCTCTCTCCGGGGCAAACATTCCATCCACTCGCAATTCGAGAGAATTATGGGTGAAACCCGCCAAATGTTTCTGGTGAGATTGATTTGATTTGATTCCAGAATCAATCATCCATGTATGATCGATCAATACATCGTCAATCTCACGTTCTTTCGTCGAGCGATTCACAACCGTGATGGATAGAACTCCGAGCTGGAGATGAAGAGGAAGGAGGAATCAATCAAAGGTCGTGTGATGACGTGCGTGGCAAGTCAGCTGCCACGTAGGGGGTTAGTTTCCTTTTTAAAGGGGTGAGCTAACCGCTAGTATTTTAAAGGTGCCAAGAAAGACTTGGGGCTCACGCGTTGCCAACCAACGCGGGCGAAGAATGTGTGCCCAAATTTTCCTCCACAACTCATCAACCCCTGGTCAAACTCCAAAGTGAAGAAAGAAAATATACCTCCAGTAGTTTCTCTGTTCTTTCACCTTTCTACCGCACCGTGCGCGGTGGGCCTGCCGCCGCGGCGAGATCATTTGCTCCGCTGCCACAATTCGCGGCACTGCGGCATCCGACGTGTCAGCCGCAAGGGCCCGCCACGTGTTCCGGCCCGTCCGCCCACAGCTGTTGGTCGGGCGGAATATTCGCCGCGCGGCATATTCCGCCAGGCGATGGTATGGTGTGGGTGTGAGCAAACGAAGGCGCAAAGCAAGCCCGAGCGCTGGTTATTTTGTGAGGGCTTAGGGATTGCCAGCGATGAGCATTGCGTGGGCAAGGGCTGGGGGTGGCGCCCCGCGGCCATGGCGGCGTCTCCGATTGATCTCGCCGCCGGCGCGGCCGCCAATGCTGCCGCCATAGCTGCGAGCTCGGGATTTCCAAGTCAAATCGGCCGCGCCGCGGACGGATTTCCAGATAGGTACATTGCCTGGACCCGATCTGGAGGGCAGTAGGCCCCGATCCAGAGAGGAGCTGGCACACAGGGTCCCGCACGGCGCTGTTCTTGAGCTCAAACAAGGTAGGCAAGCAGTGGATTGATGGAGATTGGTTTAGCGGTACTGGCATAGATTTCCCTTCTTTCACCACGGTAGTAGTAGTGGTGGTACTAGGTATTTCCATCCCATCCCACATTTTCACTGCTCTCTCTCTTTCTCTCTTTTGTTCTTCTTGAGAGGGTGGTTTAGAAGTTCCATTCGCTGGTTTGGCTGTTCCCGTTGGCTGTCCAAATCGGGGGGGCGCTCGCTCGGCTCTTTCGGATGAGACGTGCCATCATCGGTTTCTCTGTCACGGCCACATTTGGGGGCAATGGGATTGAAAATTGGACAAGTTGGGGCGTGGAGGCCATGGAAAGGCTTTTAGCAGCAGTACGTAAGATGTGAGCCAGGCTCTTCCCGGCTCCTTTCGGCAAATTGGTGGCGGAATTTACAAGTCGGGGCTCGGGGGGGTGATGCGGCGGCAGCGGTAGTGGGTGTAGTAGATCAGAAGGATTCGGCACTAGTTTGATCCGGTGGGCGTTGCTCGTCACAGATTTATGTGGTCCCCAAGCACTCGAGCTCGCAAACTACTGTCTGTACGAGCATGTCTCACGCACAGGCGGATGGCAAGAAGCTGGGAGGATCGTACGAGGCGCTGGATCCATTCGCCAAGTTGAAGCCCCAGGCGAACGGAGCGACGAGGGCCACGTTTTCCGGGGAGGCCGTGCCAGATTCGTCGTCCAGGCCAGCGTCGACAAACTTCTTCTTTGGAGTACCCAGGCTGTCCAGCAGCAATAATGCTGGTAACAATCCGGGGAGAAGCGGAGTTGCCAAGCATGGAAGTTTGGACGCAGCAAAGTCGGAGGACTCCGCGGTGCTGAATCTCGCCTCGGATAGCTTCACCTTTAAGCATGACACCGAAAGCTTGGATGCGTTTAAATCACGGGGAGCTTTTCCGACTGGCAATGTTGTGGAAGGCTTGCCACGGCAAAAGAGAAGTGGGGAGCTTCCCCGCGGGAGTAGCTCCAGTTCCGGCGACAGTCCGATGTTCGACATGTCGAGGCCTGCGAGGAAGAGTGGCGAGCTCTCTCGAGTAAGCATCTCCAGTGGTGCGAGCTTTAGTGGCGAGATACCTCGCGCGAGTCTATCCAGTTCTGGGGAGATCGCAGACGGCTTTCGATCTCAGAGGAGAGTTGGAGAGGTCCCTCGTGGAAGTAACTCCAGCGGTAGCTCCAGTGGAGAGAGTCCGACTGTGGAGGGTCATCGAGGGACGGCCAACAGGAAAAGTGGAGAAATCTATCATGGGAATTCCAGTGGTGGTAGCTCCAGCGGTGGAAGTCCAACACCGGAGATATTTAATAGGGGCAGGAAAAATGGAGAGGGTGGTGCTCATGGAAGCAACTCAAGCGCAGGGAGTTCCGATGGTGGAAGTCCTACAGCCGAGAGCCTTTGGGGTGGCAAAGGTGGCCCGGTTCTAAATACTGGAATGGTGACTGGTGGGAGCTTCTCAACCTTTAATGCTGTAGCTAATGGTGGGGGTAGTACTACTGCCATGGACAATGGATCCATAAAGAAGGAGAAGCCGGGTGGCATCCTCAAGACGCAAAATGGAGGAGAATCCAATGGAACCAGGTTGAACGCGAATCCGGCACCTACGTCGAGTAGATTTTTGGTCGGGGCAGCGTCCCCGGCAGAGCTCAGAACTGGGATCAAGCTCACAGGGACAACGAACACTTCTGCTTACAAGAAAGTTTCTTATGTTGACGGAGGCAGGGCAGGAGAAAGTCAAGGTATACGGAACATTGTTCCGGGTGGCGAGAGCAGGAGCAACGTTTCAGCTGAAGATGTCAAGAATTCGGGAAATGCTGAGTACAAGAAGGGAAACTTTGCAAAGGCACTCTCTCTATATGACCGGGCCATTTCCTTGTGTCCCGACCAGGCTGCCTACAGATGCAACCGAGCCGCCGCATTGGCTGGGCTCAATCGTGTTGGGGAAGCGGTGCAAGAATCAGAGATGGCACTGAAACTGGACTCCTCTTTTAGTCGGGCGCACCAGCGACTTGTTTCTCTACTCTTAAGGTACGCTGTCGTTTTTTGCAATCTTGTCACAGTTTTATTCATTCTACTGCGTGTGATGGAATAGACTTGGACAAACAGAACAAGCTAGAAAGCATCTCAAAGGATCCGGTCAGCAGAATGAAACAGGAGATAGTCAAAGGATCACTTTGATAGAAAGGAGGCTGACGAACTGTTTCGAAGCAAAGAAGTTGAAAGACTGGAACGCTGTTCTCCGAGAATGTGATGCTGCAATTGTTGCCGGGGCCGATTATTCCTTGCAGGTAAGGTGGAACTTTCCAGAATTGAGATTCCTTGACCTCTCGAGTTATGTAGGTGTACGTTTTAAAAGCGGAATCCCTGCTGAAGCTGCAAAGGTTAGACGAAGCAGACGCAGCACTGGCTGCCGCTCGACGAGTAGAAGACGCGTCTCCCAGATCTACAAAAGTAGAATTCAGCAACAATCTTGTTGTGTTGCTAGCGCAGGCTGACATGGCCCAAGGCAGGTGCGTTGATATACCGGTTTTATTCCTCAACATTAAAGTCCATAGTACCGCTTACTAACTTGCCAGGCTTTTTTTCTACAGGTTTGAAGAAGCCGTAGCTATTACAGAGCGGGCTGCCCGTCTCGATCCCCAAAACTTCGAAGTTTCCTCTTTACTGAGGAAAGCACGTACAGTGTCGAAAGCCCGGGCGGCGGGTAATGATTTTTTCAAAGCTGCGAAGTTCTTCGAAGCGTGTGCCGCTTATACCGAAGGCCTGGAGCTTGATCCTGCGAACGCAATCCTTCTCTGCAACCGTGCTGCTAGTCGGTCCAAGCTCGGACAGTGGGAGAAAACTTTAGAGGATTGCAATGCAGCTTTGCAAGTCCAGCCCAAGTACATGAAGGCGCTTCTGAGACGGGCTCATTCGTATGCCAAGGTACGTGACAGCTTTTTTCTTTGGGATCTTGACAGCAAAGGTTTTACCTCTCCCAGCTTGAGCGGTGGGAGGACGCGGCAAGAGATTACGAGGCGATAAGACGTGAGCATCCCGGAGATGTGGAGGTTGCGCAGGCTCTTTTCGACGTGCAAGTGGCACTCAAGAAATCACGCGGTGAAGAAATATCGAGAACACATTTTGGGGGAGGTGTAGAAGAAGTGTTTAGAAACGACCAATTCAGGGAAGCAATCTCCTGTCCCGGTAAGTCGTTGTGCGCTTTCTTTGGCAGTTTTGCAAGCGTTCACTCTTTTCTCTGTTCTCTTTCCTAGGCTTGTCGGTGGTGGAGTTTACGACGCGGTGGAGCGATAGATGTCGCCAGTTTTCCACCTTTGTCGAGGAGCTGTGCAGACGATATCCGTCTGTGAATTTCTCGAAGGTAAGCTGGCTGCGATTGAGCTGTTGTTTGGATTGGTGTGAATCGATTTTGTTTCTTTTCGTCCAGGTTGATGTCGATGATAGCCCGTACTTGGCACAGTTGGAAAGCATAAGCTCGGTGCCAACCTTTAAGATTTTCAGAAACGGTGTCAACGTGAAGGAGCTTCTCGGCCCCAGCCAACAGGGGCTGGAGCAAGCTGTGAAGCAGTGTGGTGGCGTTTGAAAGCTCCAGAGCTCCACATCATTTTTTTTTTCCAATTCTCTGGTGGTGGTGCTAGGCTACATCAAGACAACGCAGAAAGTCTCAATTCAAGCGAGCAAAGCAGGCAAGCAAGCATTCATTTGGCGGAGAGAACACAACACCCTCGATTTGTAAAAAAAAAGACCTCACGATTTCTTTTTTGCTTGCTTGCTGCCCGCATTCTGGGTGTTTTTACTCCTCCCTCTTCTTAGTTTCTCTTCGTCTTTGCTTTCGCTCTTCTCTTCTAGTCGGGATTTTTTTTTCCTTTCTCTTCATCGTGTAATTATCAGGATCATCACAAGGCTGGTGTCACCAACATGATCAAGAACAAGACCAACCTCTCCGGCCAATAACACAGAAAAAAACCATAGTGTTTAGTTCATTCTTATTCTTCACATGCAAATAAGAAACGCAAATCGATGTGAAAACCATCCATCCATATAGGCAGAGGCAAGAGATCTCTCACTCACTAGTGACTATAAGTTGATTTGCTACCAAACTCTAGGCTGTGATCCATCTAGCCAGCGATTGAAACCAAGGAGAGGAGCAAGAAAAGAAAAAAGAGCATTTTCTCTTGTTACCAGCTCAAACTCGCTCAAACTGGGCTGAAGAGCTGCGTCCAATGCGGCTTGGGCTCCACATTCATCCCGATGACGATGATGAGCGGGATGAAGCCGTAGTGCACCGCCGTCTTGAGCTTCTTCATCGCCCACGTCGGCCACTCCTTGAGCACTTTGCGCGCCGCATCCGACGCCTCCGCCGACGCGCTGCCGCCCCCGCCGGCCCCTGGCGGCGGCGGCAGCAGCCTCTTCCCCTTGCCCTTCTTGGATGGATCCGCGCGGACGCGCCCGACCTGCACCCCTGCCATCACGCTCCAAAACCCTAACCCTAGAAGTATATTCCGTCTATCTACATTTTCCTCCAGGAAGCATATTCTGCTAGCCGAACCCTAAGAGCACATTCTGTCACACACCACGTAAGCATATTCTGCCAGCCTCGGTATATTCCGTTATGAGTGAGTTAGTGGGGAAAAAAACAATGACGAGCTTTCTCAGCTCGGGGTGGCGGGATAGTCATCCGTCTGCCCGAGGTTGAGGGCGCTCTTGATGACACAGAGTAGCCCCCCCAGCGGCGGCTTCAAGGTGGCCCTGTAGGCGCTCTCGCTGTATCCGGCCTTGGCGTGCCGGACGTAAGGCCGGAACGACTCCACCACGCTGGAGCTGGAGCTGGAGCTCCTCTTGTGCTTCACCAGGTATGACAGCGCCGACGATGACGCTACACTTCCCATCTCGCGGGAGGAGCTCCTCCCGCGCGAGCGGCTGCTGCGCGCAAACACTGGCGAGCCGTAGCCCCCGACTCCGCCGCCGTCGCTGCAGCTGGAGTCGGGCGTGCGGAAGTTGAAGCTGGCGGCGGTGGCGATGGTGGCGGTGGCGGCGGGCGAGGAGAAGGAGAGGGACCTGTGCTGCGCGTCCGAGGCGAGCGCGGCGCCGAGGCTGTTGTTTTTGAAGAAGCTCTGGCCGCCGGGCGAGCTGAGCGGCGTGAGGAAGCTCATGGCGTTGAGGCGCTCCTCGTAGCACAAGGTGGCGCGGAAGGAGGATGGGGTGCTGCTGCAGCTGCACGAGGAATCGGCGAGCAGCGACGAGGGTGGCGGCTGCGCACGCTCTGCTGGCTCGCACGACGGTCCTGAGATTTGCATGTCGTGATCCCTGGAGAACGAGAAGCTCCACTTCTCTTTCGTTGCGTGATCGATGAACGGGGCCATTCCCTGCCAGGAAATGCAACACACACGCAGTTACGATCTATCCATCTGTGATCAAGAGGGGAAAACGAAGGAAAAAACGTTGTCTTCTTCCTTTTTCTCACCTTCCAGAGGTAGTAGAACATCGAAGGTGCATCGACGAAGAACGATGGAGCTAGTCTTTCCGGATAGTGATCTGAGAGGAGCTTCATGATGCTGAGTATGAAGCTGAGGAGTGACGAGCTTCCCCTTGACGAGCCTGTGAGTAAGAGAATTGGATCGAGGAATTGTTTAGAGTTTTAGTTTATTCTTCGGAGTACCTGAGAAGTCAATCAACATGACGAATTGATCAACGCCGGGAGGCATGGAGGAGACTGCCACTTCAAAAGAAAAGACTAAAAAACGGATAAACCTCCAGAAAAAGAATTCACTGTCAGTTTGTAAGAAAAACCTTTTTTTGTAAGAGAATGATTGTTGGCACCATACCGTTTCTGAGATCTAGGAGGAAGAAATTCCTGTTTTGTCCTGAGAACCTGATCATATTGATTTTTCCAGTCATCACTTTTGCGGCTTGGAAGCAAATCTTATTTAGGGGTAAACATACCAGAACTGGCTTCCCGTCGTCGTCTTGTCCAGACACAAAAGCGATCCCCGCGGCGAGCTCCGCTGGAAAATCATCGGCAGTCAAGTACCCTGCACGAAAAAGAAAAAAAAAAACGGAAAAACAAGGAAAGAGAACTTTAAACTTTGCAAGAAACTTAAAAGCTCACTGATTTCGCACAAAGAGATGGCGACAGAATGGAATGCAGCTAGAGATTGATATAGATCATACCGATTTCCAAGCTCTCACGCCAACTTAAGGAAGCTCGGAGTTGCTTGGCAGCCTTTTTGACACTCCCGGAACGAGCTCTCAAGTATCTGGCGACGCACGCCTCGTTGCAATACTCGGCCTGCATTGCCACCAAAAGTCACTCAACTCGCACATAAACTAGAAGAAATACACAACCAAATGGAAACATACCTGTTCTTTGCTGAGTGGAGCTTCTCTCTGGAGCAGCTGAAGAACATCGTCCACATCGGAATTGCCGCTGGTTTTCCTACCGCCCATGGTGATCCCGATTGGAACTAGGCATTTCCAATCACTTCCGCAAGAACCCTCTTGCGAGAACCGATCAGACCAGAGACCCAAATGCAGGACGGAGAGAACAAGAAGAATTTCGAGCTCCCACTCTCAAGGTTTTGGTAGCTCTCACAGCCCAGAAGAAGCGACCAGAAGAGAAAAAATCTCTCTTTTGGGGATTTGGAAGAGGGGACTTTCAAGGTTGGTGTCGCTCGCGATCTCTCTAGCTACATCAATGCCCGCTTAAATACATACCGCATTACAGTGTCGATAGATCTATCACACACACACACACACACACAAGAGAGTGTAGTGGCTTGATGAGGGCGGCGACGGGGGCCGGACTTCACGGACCATAGAGCTGGAGCGATGTTGACGGGTCGCGACAGCCGTAGATTCGCTAATGGTGCCCTAGGAACCCGTTTCAATCTCATCCGCCCACTAAACCACCTTACCAGATCGTACGGCTATGATTTGAAACCCACACTTGCGTACCCGTTGAATCTTGGCGTTTGAAATCCCCGATCCCGGTGTACGGTATATGCTCTGGAAATATTCTCTGTTATTCCCCAGATGGCCGCGCTAGGTTTAGGGTTTATCGCGCTCCACGGGCGGCCCAGGGCTTGCGCGGCGGCGTCTAGCGCTCCTGCGGCTGCCGCTGCTCCTCCGGTGCTTGGCGATGTCACCAGGCCGCATTTTCCGATTCTCGATCAGGTTTGCGAGCTTTGATTTGGGATTTTGGATCGTCTGCGAGCTTATATTCTCGATTCCAGACGGTCAATGGATGCAAATTGGTCTATCTGGACAATGCTGCGACGTCCCAGAAGCCTGTAGCTGTGCTTGACAAGCTCAAGGATTACTACAGCGTTTATAATTCGAACGTGCACCGTGGAATTCATGCCCTGAGGTGAGATATAAAAGAGAATAGCTTTGTATCTCAAAAAGGCCTTCTTTTGATTGTCTTTACAGTGCGAAAGCTACCGAGGCGTATGAAGTTGCAAGACAAAAGGTTGCGAACTTTATCAATGCCGAGACATACCGGGAGATTGTTTTCACGCGCAATGCAACAGAAGCAATCAACCTGGTTGCCTTTACTTGGGGATTATCCACTTTGCGAGAAGGAGACGAGGTATGCAACAGGGTTGTGCTGCTAGTTCTTAATTTCTTTCGTGCCACAGGTCATACTTTCTGTCGCAGAGCATCACAGCAATATAGTGCCATGGCAAATCGTAGCTCAGAAGACGGGAGCGTCTCTGAAATACGTGACTCTTACCGAGGATGAAACTTTGAATGTTGAAGAGTTGAAAGGCCTCTTTACAAAGAAGACAAAGCTGGTATCCTTGCATCACGTTTCCAACACTCTCGGTAAGTTCGTCCAAAGACTACCCGTAATTCTTAATACTAAAAAGCCTCTAGCACGCAGGTTCCATCAATCCAATGCAAGATATCATCCGTTATGCGCATGATCATGGTGCAAAGGTTCTCGTTGACGCGTGCCAGAGTGTTCCTCATATGACCGTGGACGTGCGAGGACTTGATGCCGATTTTCTAGTCTTTTCGTCACATAAGGTATGAATCCCTCACTAATGAATCGCTAAGCTTACTCGTCTTCCAGATGTGCGGTCCAACAGGCATAGGAGTTTTATACGGCAAACACGACATGTTGATGGCGATGCCACCATTTTTGGGTTTGTGTGTATCACGGCTGTACATGCAGAGATTTGACTAGATTTTATTATGCAGGAGGGGGCGAGATGATATCGGACGTGTTTTTGAATCACTCGACGTATGCAGATCCTCCATTACGGTTTGTCACTGTTTTACGCAATGACTTTGATCGCACAGCCCTGTGTACCAGGTTTGAAGCAGGCACGCCTGCTATTGCAGAGGCGATTGGGTTAGGAGCTGCAATTGACTATCTTTCGAATCTTGGAATGGATAACATTCATGCTTATGAGGTACTTCTTATGCATATCATTTCTTTACCTGCCTATGATTAGTTTCTTCCCATACGTACTCCACTTTGGAGCTTGTGGTGAATACAGTAATCTTCAGTCTTCAGTATGAGGCAGAAAACTGCATTGCATTTCCTTGATTGGTCTCGCTGAGGAACTCTGTGAATCCGGACTTGTCAGGGTGCAATAGATTGTGAATCTTTGTTGCTCACCGCAATAATTGGCCATTCAGGTGGAATTGTCAAAATATCTTTACAGCAAGCTCTCAAGTGTCTCTGGCGTTCGTATTTATGGTCCCAAGTCAGGATCAGAAAGAGCGGCACTATGCGCGTTCAATGTCGAGGGTATACATCCGACGGATCTATCGACCTTTCTTGATCAGCAGGTTTGATTGTTTCAAAGACGCTACGAGCATATCTCACTCCTTTGTTTTTTTTGTTTTTTTTTTTTCTTTTGCAGCACGGAGTCGCTGTAAGATCTGGTCACCACTGCACGCAGCCACTGCATCGCCATTTGGGAATCAATGCCAGTGCTCGAGCAAGCCTGTACTTTTACAACACGAAACGAGAGGTGGACGCGTTTATAGACGCCCTAAATGACACCATTGGTTTTTTTTCCTAGCTACATTAACGTATGTAGCAGAAGATGTAGTTAAGTTGTCAGTAATAAATCTCATTTCGTGTACCCTCTCTTCGTTGCAGCTATGGCGCTGCTGCAGAACCTTGGTAGCTCCCACCTGACGTTGATCTCCTCCTCGAGGAGGAACTGTTCGCGGCGCCAGTGTCGAGGTACTCCAATCGTTTTGTTTGTATTGCCTGGAGTCTCAGCGGCTTGATTACAGCCGAGACAACAACGGAGCCTCAAACAGATTGGAGGAAAAGGTCGAAACCCATCAAGCCTGGAAGCACGTATCCAGCGAAAGAATTTTGCAGGTAAAGCTATCAATCTTTTCTAAGAGCTCAATTCACTAAGCTTTTCGCCGTAGTCATTGCGGCTTGTGTGACTCGTATTACATAGCTCATGTGAAGAAAGCCTGTGCATTTCTCGGGAATGGTATGACTAAAGTCGAGGTGAGCTTTTCTAGTCTTGTTTTGTGTTCCTGTTTTCCTTATTCTATCTATATTCGCAGGCTATGGAGCCCGAAGTGCATGGGAGAGCACGAGATGTAAAGTCTTTGGACGAGTTATATTTTGGAGTTCATGAAGAGTTACTTTATGCACGAAAGATTGAGCCTGTCAAAGGTACAGTGACGAAGGCTCAGGTTTTACGTTTTTCCAATCGTGCACATACTTTCAGGAGCCCAATGGACAGGCATTGTTACTGCCATAGCAATAGAAATGCTCAAAACAAAGCGCGTGGAAGCTGTTATATGTGTTCAGAGGTAGGCTGCTGGTCTTTATAGGACTTCCTGACAGAGGACTTTCTTCAGTGATCCAGAAGATCGTTTCACACCCCGGCCCGTGCTAGCAAGGTATATTGTCCACCTAGATTCTTGGTATATCTATCTGGTTTCTCAGGACTCCTGAAGAAATACTCGCCGCTCGAGGAGTGAAACCGACCTTGTCACCAAATCTAAACACGCTGGCGCTCGTGGAGGTATTGTATTGTCAAAACTTATGATTTGCTTTTTACACTTCGCCTGGTAGGCTGCTGGTGTCAAGAAGCTTCTGTTCTGTGGAGTCGGGTGCCAAGTTCAAGGTAATTTCAATCAAGCTATAGATCGTTGCTTGATGTTTTGGGGCAGCTTTGAGGGCGGTGGAGAAGTATCTTGGTCTTGAAAAGCTCTACGTGCTTGGTACAAATTGCGGTCAGTAGATGGTCAGTTTTATTGCTAGTCCCACACAATTATGTGCTAACAAGCAAGAAACCGCAGTGGACAATGGCCCCAGAGAAGGGCTCGATAAGTTTCTACGAGCAGCGAGTGACAGTCCTCAAACTGTTCTACACTACGAGTTCATGCAAGATTACAAGGTTGTAAACTCGTTTCTAGTTAATTAGACTGACACGTCTAGCCTCTTAGGTTCACCTGAAACACTTGGATGGTCGTATGGAAGAGGTTGGTGTTCTTGTTCATCTCTCGAGATTGATTTCACTATCATGAACGTTTTCCAGGTTCCTTACTTTTGTTTACCAGCTAGTGATCTAACCGATGTGATAGCTCCATCATGCTACAGGTGCTTATTTTCAAATACTTTCATCATGCCAAGGAACTAAGATTTGTCGTTTGTTTTTGTTTTTGTGCAGCTGCTTCGATTACACCAACGGATTGGCTGTAAGAATTGCAAATTGTTTTCTCAACATACGTTTTGATCTGTGGAATGGTGATTACAGGATCTCGTGGTGGGCTATATGGGAGTTCCCAAATATCCTGGTGTCAGTATGGTTCAACACCCACAATATGTCACCGTTAGGTAGTGATTTGAACTTATTTTTACTCGTTTTCTTCTGAGCAAAGTATTGGACGCTTGCAGAAATGAGAGGGGTAGAGAAATGCTGGATCTAGTCAAGCATCTCCTTGAAGTTACACCCACTGTTAGCACGGTATGGAATGTTTCATCGCCTCCACACGTTTATTTCGCAATTCCTGTCTGGCCAGGGTGACAGGCGTCCATTTGTAATGGAGACGGTCAAGGCAGATGACAATGCGAAACTAGGCAAGTTTTCTTTCCTTTTCTTTACATTTTTGTCATGAAAGAGAACCTTTTATTTGTTGCTGTCCTTCGTTGCCAGGCTTGCAAAAGAGTGCCCCGGCACCTCGATTTGTTGGTAATATTATTGCGTTTCTGCTGAATCTGGTTGGTGTTTGGAGCTCTTTATTTCTTATCGTCTTGTCTTATAATTGATGCATGACAGATCGGGCCGAAGGGCCTGGAATTTGGACGATACTCTCTTGACTACCACACTATCAGGAATTACCTCTATGTACAGCGCGCCATGGGGAAATCCAGGTTCGTTTTGCTGTTCAGCATTGCGGATATGACTGTGTTCTTGGCTAACTTTCAGAGCTGAAGCTCACATTCCGTCTTACTCCAAGGAACTGGTAGAGAAGTACAATGAAGGTGGCGCCATCGATAAACTCTTAAAGCGACAGGTCTAAACTTTCTCTTCTTTGTGTGAGAGATTTTATAAAACTTCCGAGTTTGCACTTTCAAATAGACTTTGATTTTTTCCAAGTTCAAGAACTTCAGTCTTTTGCGATTAATCTTCGAATTTCGATGGTTTTAGTTATAAACTTCATTCAAAGCTCTGGCTGACTTGCTCGTTGCTCTTCTTTCTTTTTGGTTTGTTTTATTGTCCTTGCGTTCGCGACTAGGCCGGCCTTGCAGAAAGAATCCGCCAGCACCTCGATTCGTTGAGAGAAATGATCGCATTTCTCCTCAAATCTGGTTGGTGTGTCTTGGATGCATGCGCTTTCTTTTTCTTCAAGTGCTCACTTAACGGATGCCTGTCCTGGCATGGCAGAACTGGCCCTACTGTGTAGAGCTCTTTGGTCTTGACTACCAACACTCGATCTAGAGATTTTGGAATCGTCTCCAAGGCTGCCAAACCTTCAGTACAAATCGAAAGTTTCTAAGTAGTAATATTTTTTTTTATAAATCAGTAGTATCTCTTTTTATCCTGGAAACCCTCGCGGTTTCATCGTATCTGGCCGCGAAAAGTGTAACAAAAAAAAAGAGGAGCCATTGACGAAAGGCCTCCAGGATAAGGACGTTCTCTCTTTCTTTCTTTTTTTTCCAGAGGAGTTCAAAGATGGAATACCTTATGTTTATTGTCTCGCCAGCTCTCTGTTGGAACTCGGTCTCCATGTAGACTAGAAAACGACTGGACAAGACCAAGTCCAAAAGAGGGGGTTTGTAGAATAACATAGGAAAATGTATTCTAGTTGTAAAGTAGAGAAACAGTAAGATTGTAGATCCAATTCCCAGGCGCCTTACGTAACCTCAACCTCAATCCTTGCCACAAAGCAGAGAAAGTCGAATGAGTGGAACTATATCAGATATGTTGGCAAAAAGAAAAGAGCTTTTACACACAGAAAAATTTTAGACAACGAAAGCTACAAGCGACAAGTTGGCGTCCTCTTCCGATGCAACAGCTCGCAATCCCAATCAATCAGGGAAGCACCGATCGATCCATACAAGAAAAAAAAAGAAAAACTCAAAAAAGAGAGAGAGAGAGAGAAAAGAAAACAATGTAGGATCACCTTCAAGTTTCAACCCTCGGGACCCCACTCGAGCGCCGGCGTGGCAGTGTGACGTGGCGCGCACGTGGAGGGCCAGGTCTGGGACGTGGCATGGCAGGTCAGCCTTTTCAGTGGAGACGGGACGGGGTTTAGAAGATATCGCGCGAGGGTTTTATTTCTTTGTGGTTTTGGATTTTGCGACCAATGTGGACAGACGGCAACAAGCAAGAAGAAGACACGCAAGCGAGCGCCATTAACTAGTCTCTGGAAAGCTTGTGTAGCGATCGGAGCAGTAGCATCGAGCGCGCGCGCGCGACGAGCGCTTGATTTACTAGCGGCCGCTGGCGAGATTTCTCCTCCTCCTCCTCCTCTTACTCGCATTTCTTTCTTTTGTTCTTTCTTCCTGGTGTAGAATCTAGATCTCTCTCGCATTCTCTCGTTCCAGATCCGCTCCAGCTCTTGACTCGCAGCGAAATCTTCCCCCCTCCCATCAATGCTGCGCTGAAATATCGCGCAAGATCGACCGATTCGTCGCGGCCGGACCCGGATCCATGGGGAATCTCATGTCCTGCGTCCTAATCTGTGGAGCAGTCGAGGTCGTCCACGTCGTCCACTCGGACGGTCATGTGGAGCGGCTCATCCGGCCGCTGGATTCCTCCAAGGTTCGCAAGAATTCCAGCCACAAGCGCCTCAATTCCTCCTCCTTCTCCGGCTGCTCGCCCCCCCGGGCGGATCTCCTGAAATGCCTCTCCAATCTCGGCGGCAAGAGCTCCAGCGATGGCGCCGCCGTGGAATCGGAGCCCGGCCGCTCTTATCTTCTCCTCCCGATCACCAATGCCGATGATTCCAGCGGAGCTTTCCAGTACAAGCGCCTCTCCTCGTTCCAGTTCTACAAATCCGCGTTCCTCTCTCCCAAATCGAGCTCCTCATCCAAATCCCTGGTTGCCGCGCCGAAGGATAAGAATCAAACTCCCAGCGAGAAGAATGGTAAGACGCGGAGATCTCCCGGCGACGAGCACGACGATCGCAAGCTGCTGCTCAAGGATTCGTCGCAGCAGCCATTCAAGGTGAGGCAAGAAGGCGGCGTCACCAAGCTCGTCGTCTCCAAGAAATACTTGCAGCAGCTCCTCTCGGAGAGCAACGTGAAGAAATCATCATCCTCGTCGTCATCGTCCTCGAAAGATCGTCACGATCATCGCGGCGGCGCTGCCCGTGCCACTCCGACCAATGGATCGTCCTCGTCCACCGCCCCGGCAGCTCTACCCGGCGCCGCTCCTCCGCGAGTCGGCAGGCCCGGGATCTGGCGCCCGGCGTTAGAGAGCATCTCGGAGGCGGCCGCCGCTGCCGCCGCGATCGCAGCCCACCATCCCCAAGAACCCTAAAAAACAGAGCATGTGTAAGATAGAACCCTAAAAAGCATAGTCATCCAAAAAGGTAACGAAGAGATAGATTCCAGTTGTGGACATGAGGTGTCCCAAATAATCGCAGCAAGATCAGGCCTTGGGTCCCCTTGCTTTTTGATGTGGAAGGCTTGATTCACTCTCTTTTTTTTCCTGCCTTAAAGCTATGTGAATCATTTTTAGGTGGTGGTGAATATCTTGTGAAGCCAATGTGGTGATCTACTATAGTTGTTCTTCTAGAAGTCAATGAAGGCCAGTCATCAACCTTGACCATGTTTGACCGTGGAAGCTTTCAAGATCAACGGTCGCGATTTCAAGGCTGGCAAAAGCAGTGGCCTCTCAAGCCCAATGCAGAATGCGCCAGTTCTGGGCCTGTGGATTTTTATTCTTTTATCCCGCCACTATCATGGCAAAGAGGTTGAAACATGAATTAATAAGAGTTGCCAGTCCAAAGACTTGGAAACAAAGAAGTGGAGTTGCCCCAGTTGAGCTCACTACCTGAAGTAGCCTGAGAGGAGAGAATAAAAAAGCTTGGATTGAGTGTAGCGTGCGCCCATCTTATTTTCTAGTGCCTTGTTTCCTCTTGCCTGATTAAAACCTCTCCCAGGCAACTAGGTGGAGTGCATCTCCCTCAGAAGAACACTAGAAAGGAAGATCACTGTTTCAATTTGGAGCGGCGGCCCCACGTTATAAATCTTCGTTGTTGTTCAAGGCTTGAATTCAAGCATCAATTTGGGGCTCGACAGTCAAAGGTATAATCTTGTGATTCCCTTTAACTTTGTGGAGAGAAATCTCGCTTGGCAGATGATTAATTGATTGTGGCCATTGAATTTTCCAACCGGCTTCGAACCTTCCCACTTTAAATGATCCCCATTACCCATGCACGGCATTTGCTTGGTTTTTTGTTCTCTTTAGTACAAACAAACGTCCTTTCTCTCTATCAAGAGCATCCTCTTGCTGCCCCATTTGCCCTTTAGCTATTTTAGAGGTGTGTTCCGTCGACCAATTTCTTAAAATACGAATCTTCTTGTGTTTCAAAGATTTGGACGCTATGCAAGGCCCAACTTCGCGAGTGGTGAGTGCACCCAGCCCTCAGCCGGATGGGGCGATCAACTCACGCGATAAAAATCTGGACGAGCCAACCAAGTACCAAATCGAAGTGGGCGAGGTAATTAAGTTGGCTTCCCAAGTTTCGATCTTAATCGTCCTGGCTTGGTCGCTCTCGCAGAAGAAAGGATGGCGAAAGGCGCTAGCGTTTCTCGGCCCCGGGTTCTTGGTGTGCATCGCCTACATCGATCCCGGAAACTGTAAGCTCTTGGAGAAAATCTGTGTGGCATGTCTCATGCGAGTTTTGTTTTTCCAGTCGAGAGCGATCTACAGTCGGGGGCAGAGTACAAATATGAAGTACCACCCAGACGATTGTTGAGAAGATCTCTGAAGTTTTTCTTGTTCTTGTTTGTGTGGTCAGCTGCTCTGGATCATCCTGGTGGCATCCGTGTCGGCGCTTATCATTCAATCGCTGGCGGCAAACCTGGGAGTTGTCACAGGCAAACATTTGGCGGAACACTGCAGAACAGAGTACCCCAAGGCCGTCAATTATGTGTTATGGCTGCTCGCGGAGGTTTCCGTGATCGCTGCCGACATTCCCGAAGGTATAGCCACTCGATCGATTGATTGCTCTCGATCAACGAAAATTTCTAACCATCTCTCTCGGAAAAACCGATCCAGTCATTGGCACTGCATTCGCGCTCAACATTCTCGTGAAAATCCCCATCTGGATTGGAGTGATTCTCACCGGATTCAGTACCCTGCTGCTGCTGGCCCTCCAGACTTACGGGGTAGGGACGATTGATTCTTCTCTTACAGTCGGATCTTTTCCCTTTGCATGGCTCATGACAAACGATGACTTTCCAGGTGAGGAAGCTGGAATTCGTGATCACGGGCCTGGTGATGACAATGACGGTGTGCTTTTTCGCGGAGCTCGGCTACGCAAAGCCGGATTCCAAGGAGCTGCTCAGGGGAATGTTTGTGCCGCAGCTGCGAGGCAACGGCGCCACCGCGCTGGCGATCTCTCTGCTGGGAGCGATGATCATGCCCCACAATCTCTACTTGCACTCGGCCATCGTGCTCACCCGCAAGATCTCGCGCACGCCCAGGGGATTGAAGGAGGCGTGCCGGTTCTGCTTGTTTGAGAGCGGGTTCGCGCTCTTTTTTGCCTTCCTTATCAACGTCTGTGTCATCTCCGTGAGCGGCGCCATTTGCTCCAACCCGGGCATCTCCCAGGAGAACAAGGACAAGTGTGACAACTTGGATCTCAACGAGGCATCCTTCTTGCTCCAGGTGATTGAATTCGTCCATCCCCATCCACAAAACTTCGCTATAATACTCGTTGATCTTTTCAATCCAGAATGTGCTTGGGAGATTCTCCAAGATTCTTTTTGGAATCGCTCTGCTTGCTTCCGGTCAGAGCTCCACGATCACCGGAACCTACGCTGGACAATACGTCATGCAGGTGTGACTTGTTCTTGCCAGGATTTCTTACGTTTCTTCCAATTTAGGGTTTCTTGCACCTCCGGTTCAAGCCATGGATCCGCAACCTCATGACTCGAGCAGTGGCGATCGTCCCGAGTTTGATTGTTGCACTGATTGGAGGATCAAGAGCGGCTGGAAACCTGATCATTGTGTGCTCGGTAAGGAACCTCGTTTTCAAAGCTTTCAAACATTGTTTAACATTTGGATGCCAACTTTATTATGCAGATGATTCTATCGTTTGTCCTGCCGTTTGTCCTCATCCCAATGCTCAAGTTCACGGGAAGTAAAGTGAAAATGGGCCCATATGCAAATTCTTGGATAGTAAGTTACAAAATCCCCGCGGAAAATCTTGTCTAATCTCCTCTAATTTTACAGATTACCGTAATCACGTGGGGAATTGGTGGCGGAGTGATGGCCATCAACGTGTGGTACCTGAGCTCCTCGTTCACCAAGTGGCTCATTCACGGCTCCATGGTTATGGGAGGAAAGGTGGTGCTCGGCATTTGCGTTTACGCGACGATCTTATTGTACATGGCGCTGGTGGCGTACCTCACGCTCCGGATCGACAGGGAGAATACGTACTGCGCCGAGGACGACAAGGAGCCCGTGGACACCACCACCGCGCTGGAATTAGGGTTTAAGAGCGTCGAGCAAGCCCAGGCGGAGCAGCAACAGAACCACACTTGCCACGCGCTTCCGCGAGACGATATCGTGGAATTGCAATTGCCAAGGAATTCCGCAAGCAGCCGATAAGACTCTCTCTCTCTCTCTCTCTCTCTCTCTCTCTCTCGATTTTGGTGTAACAAACAATCGATCGCCAAGTTTATAAAGAAAGCGGGTTCATTCTTGTCTAGGGTTTATCTCCATGGAGCTCGCGCCGGCGATTCTGGGATCCAATTCCGCGGCACCGCAGGCTCCGCAAGATCGCCAGCTCGCGAAGCAGTCGGAGCTCCTCCAGTCATTCTTCGGCATTCCAAGCATCGACAAGGCCTGGGCGAGTCCATCGCCGCGAGGTAAATTCTTCTCGACATCTTCAATGCCAAGGATTGGATTGTCATGGAAAGATGCGCAGGGAATGGCTTGGATGTGGTGGTGGCGATGAGCCAGATCGACCTCCCAGGAAATGCGAAGCGGAATTTCATGTCGCATCTCTACCTTCCCGAGGCGGGGCACGGTCTGGATCCGGCTACGAATTGCCACTGGTCGCCATTCCCGATTCAACTGACCGGGGCTTCTCTCGTAGTACCATCCCCGTCTGGTAGCAAGGTCTTGGTAGTATGTAACACAGAGCCTGCAAGCAAGGATAGTCCTTGCTCGGTGAAGCTACAGATATGGGGACCAATGCAGCTTCTAAAGGAAGTCCACGTCCCAAGTAAGCTCCACGGATCCGTCTACACGGATGGATGGTAAGTTCCTTTCATCTTTTCCTTGCAATCTTAGATTTCCTATTGCTTGACAGGTTTGAAGGTGTTTCATGGAGTCACGACGAGAGATTTATAGCTTATGTTGCCGAGGAACCACCTGTTGATCGTCAAGTATTTGGTCAGGCTATGGGCAAGGATGGACAAAAGCAGGAAGGCGAGGCCGGGACTTGGAAAGGCCAAGGTGACTGGGTGGAGGACTGGGGGGAGTGTTACGCTGGGAAACGCCGGCCTTTGATATACGTCGCTGACACCAACAGGTAGATTACGTTCAAGTGCTTGCGATTTGACTGTTGAGTGTTCAGTGGCTCTGTGCAGGCTGTCGAGGGGATTCCGCAAGATTTGAGTGCTGGACAGGTTGTATGGGCTCCTTCAAGCAGTGAAGGAACTCAGTACTTGGTGTTTGTAGCATGGTCATCTTTCGCCGACAATTTCAAAACTCCTAGAAAGCTTGGTATGAAGTATTGCTACAACAGGCCATGCGCGCTCTATGCTACTGCAGCTCCTATGTTTGGCAGGTCAGAAAGCTCATTTGTACTCTAAACCGCTAAAGGTTTGTGAGTCACAGTCATTCTTCGGATCGAAGCCCAGGAGCACCACTCAAGCTGACAGCAACAATCAGTAGTGCATTTTCACCACGTTTCAGGTTCGTAGCTCATTGATATTTGCAGCTTGTGTTATTTCCTTCGTATGTACAGTCCAGATGGAGAATTTCTTGTTTTCTTGTCTGCAAAGGCTGCTGTAGATAGTGGCGCCCACTGTGCTACAAACTCTCTGCATTGCGTAAAATGGTCAGGAGGTGATAGTCTTGGCACTCTTCCACCGGCGAGAGATGTTGTAAGTCATATTGGTCTTTTCGATTGATTGATGAACTCTCTTCTTTAATAGGTACCTGTTATTTCTCGACCCGACGCCAAAGGCTTCCCTGGCCTATACTGCTCGACTTTTCTTTCGCATCCATGGCTGTATGACAACCGTACTCTGCTTTTAACGTCAGCATGGCGAAGTACACAAGTTATAGTCTCTGTGAACCTCGAAAGGTATGCTGGTTTCAATCGATATATTAGCTCATCAGCTTTCGCCATCTGTAGCGGGGAGGTTTTAAGGTTAACGCCTGAGGATTCAATCAGCTCCTGGAGCCTTCTGTCTGTTTTTAAAAATAATCTTCTGGCCGGTACGTGAGACTCACTCTGATGAATGCTGTATTCACAAAGCTTAGTAGTGTGAGCAGTAGCGAGCAATCCAGGGTCTCCTCCGGATTTAAAAATTGCGTACTGCTCTAGTATGGAAAAGATTTCGGACGCTGCTTTTCAGTGGTCCGATATTCCTACACCCGTAGAACACACGGAAGAGGTGGAGTAGTTACTATTTATAAAATGCATAACTAGCTTCTAGATGTACAGGTACAATCTATCTTATCGTCAATCTCGTCGAGGATTTTACAGATCCCTGTTCCCAGTTCAGACGGAAACGAAATTCTTCCACAAGGTTCGCATTACCGTTTTGTCTAGAAGACTCTTACACGCCATTGTGGCATGAAGGGGCTAAGGATCCGTTCGAAGCTGTTTTTGTTAGTCCAGGAGAAGTTAAAGAAGGCTCAGAACCCCCACCACTTGTTTTAGTTCTTCACGGAGGACCTCATTCTGTATCACTGACCGGGTTCTCAAGAAATTATGCGTTTCTCGTAGGACTGGGGTTCAGTTTACTTCATGTAAACTACAGGTAGGCTTTAAAGTTTTGTTTGCTATAAACCTGAGCGCTATGGCAGGGGATCTTTGGGCTTTGGTGAGGAAGCACTTCAGTGCTTGTTAGGCAACATTGGTCGGCGGGTATGACTCTCTTGCTATATCTGACACTTGCCAACTTTTTTCTTATCAGGATGTCAACGACGTACTCACGGCACTGGATGTGGTTCTTGCGGAAGGGCTTGCCAAGCCAGACAAAGTCGCCGTTGTGGGTGGTTCGCATGGTGGGTTTTTGACGTCCCATTTAATTGGACAGGTAAGGTTTTCATCTCATTCGATTTCATTTGATTTGAGCTTTTCTTGTTTAGGCGCCAGGTCGATTCGTTACTGGAATAGTACGGAATCCCGTGTGCAACATTTCCTCGATGGTGGGAATAACCGACATACCCGATTGGTGTTATATGGAATCTTATGGAAAAGCTGGTTTGGACTTGTACGATGAAGCACCTTCGGTGAAGCACTTGGGAGCTTTTTATCAAGCGTCTCCAATAGCACACGTTGACAAGGTGACTTTTTGGTATCGATTTTTTCCTTACAGTAACCATTGCATAACAGGTTCAAGTACCAACAATGTTTCTACTTGGTGCACAGGATCGGAGAGTGCCAGTGTCAAACGGTCTCCAGGTACACTACAATATGTTCTATGAAGTAACGTGCTCATACTAAACGCTTCAGTATGCACAAGCACTAAGAGCTCGAGGACTGGAAGTTAAGGTTATTGTCTTTCCAGATGACATTCATGCTATCGATCGGTATGATATCGATATTCTTTTAAAGTTTCTATAACATATATTACCTGCAGGCCGCAATCAGATTTCGAGAGTTTTGTCAACATTGGAGCTTGGCTAAAGAGATTCACATAGAGGCTGGCAGCTTTCAGTTCGAAAACTTATAAAAGAACCATGTCTCAACCCAAGCTGCGGCAGCATGGCTTTGTCAGATTCAAGCTGATATGCCGCTAGTTCTCTAATTTGAACACTGTCATCGATCACCTATAATTACACCACTACACATATAGGGTGTAAACTCGAGCTAAGACCCATAGTGAAGCAGCAACTGGTGCTTGTCCTGTGGGACGGGGTGTTGTCCGGAAACGCTCCGGGGCTCCGGTGAAAGCAAGAAACCATAATTGTTAATTAGTTGGAGCAATAATTCCTCAAAATAAGTGAATTTTCTTTAAAAGGCGTCACAGTTCAAATCAAGCTAGATAGTTCAAGAGCTTCCGCAGCCTCTCGATCTTGGCACCTGAGTTCTCTATCCTCAGACGCTCAAGCCTTGGGTTTAGTCTTCGGCGTTTGTTTTCTTTCTCGTCTTCTTCGTCTTCGTCTTCATCCATTTCATCATCCGTTTCATTGCTGCTACTCACCTCGTCATCTTCATTACGTGATAAATAGCAAATTTTAGCATTGATCACCTTCTTCAACCCATCTCTAGCAACGTCGTCCCATGACTTGCGATTATAGTCTTTTTCATCCTCCAAAAGTTTAGAACGACCACTTCTCACACGCTTTACTATACTTTCCACTATTTCCTTATTGCCCAGCCAAATTGCAACTTCAGCCATATGACTATTATGTACGAGTGCTCGTGACAAAAGTTCCGAGAAGAGCTTCAAGCCGAATAGCCCTTCTGCTCGTTTCATTGTCACCACTGTATACTCTAACCTCATATCTGTCACTTTCTTCACAGCATCATGGAACTTCTCGTCGAAAGCCAAGATCAGCACATGCGCATCATCATTCTCAATCTCACTAAGCCCTCCATAGATTTCTTCGAAGTCAACATCCTTGATGAATCTCTTCTTTGCGAAGACCATTGCAGCATTGTGACACCCTCCATACTCGAGCTCCAAAACAACCATTCCCAGAAATTGTTTCCTTCCTTTCTGCTGGAGCTCAGCCAGCTTTTCCTTCTTGTTTATCACTGTTTCGCTGCGGGAAGTTGGATAGTAAATGGACCTATATCCTCTTTGATTGTCAGAGTCTCCCAGAACTCTTCGATGCGAGGAAAGCTGCGCTCTCCCCACTTTTTGACTACCTGCACCAAGCAGCTATTGGGAAAGAACTCAAGTGTGGGTGCGATACCCAGAATCTTCCATGCTTCATCTTCACGTCCAGTCTCGACAAACACGCTCAGCAAATCTATCAAGAACAAGTAGTTCTTGCAGACTTTCTCCTCCGCCAAGAGCTTCTGTCACAGAAGCTCTTGCACAGAAGTTCTGTGCAAAAACTATAGCCGCCTCCTGCAAGCCACTCTCACACAGATGCTTGGCAAAGCTTACAATCCCATGGCCCTTATCTTCCTTTTGCAATAGTCCCTCAATCACCCCGCTGCCATCCATACTTTTGGTACCATGGCAACCATAGCCTGCGCTCCTGTATTCATGAGCGCCCACTTCTTCATGACCGAAAAGGCTAGTTGTGTTTGACGCAAAACTCTAGCAGAATACTTGTCTCCTTGGAGTCTGACAAAGCATCCACGTATCGCTCTAAATCCCCACTCGTCCGGCCCGGCTCGCGCTTGTGCTGCTCCTCGAGCCAGTTCACTACACCTCTGACTGACTGTGTGGCACACAGCACCTCGATTCTGCAATCCTTGAGCCACACAACCAGAGCAGCGGTGTGATAGAACGAGTTTGTATCGCCGCCATAGTTGCCATTGTATGGCTCATTCTCCTTCTCGTCTGGTGACCTGCCAAAAGGATCAACCTCACTGTTCTCGTCCCTCATAACCTGTTTCTCTTGTGAAGTGCTCCAGTTTTTTATCGTCTATTGTTGTCCAGTTCCCCACACTGTAGTCAGTCTCGAATGTGTTAAACACACGGTTCGAGGTGGTGTGCTTCACAAGCATGCAGAGAAGGACGTCCAGAAAGCCAATGCAGCTCAGCACAAGCGCTGCCACAACCCTGTCGTGTCCCTTGAGCCCCACAAAGCTCAAGCTGTTGTTCGAGTACTTATGGCTCCGCGGAATCGCAAGAATCGGTGATGACACGTCTTTCATTTCCTCGGCCCATTCTTTCAGCTGTCTTTGAACGCCCCTGAGAGCTGACAAGTCACATCTATAAATTGTGCGTTGCTCCTAACAAGGCTAAACACAAGGCAGAGCCTTGTCCCGCTCGTCACTTCGGTCAGCTTGTGTTCACAATCGCAGAAGACCGTCTGAAAATACCTCGTCTTCGAATCAGCACCAGAGAAATCAAAAGTGACACTCTTCTTCCCGTGACGCATCTCCAGTTGGCCACCCTCATGCCCGGACTCTGTTGGTAGCTGCAAGATCACATGCCGTCGCCACCCTGCTCATAGAGCAGGAGCTTATACAGACGCACATCCAAGCCAAGCGCAGCAGCGTCGATCCCCAGCTTTTCCATCGCAGGAACAGCCCTTTGAGAATAAGTGGGCAACTCACCTCGGACGCCTCCACTTGCCATGTGCAGCGGACGTCGGTGTCGAGCAGGGTGTGCTCGCCCCTTGAGCTTGAGAAAGCCATCGCCGGAGAGAGGCAGGGCGAGATCTCCAGCGCCCTCCACTCGCAAGGAGGTGGGCATGGCAAACTTGCTTGTATCAACCTCCTTTGGCATAGTTTGGGCGGGCATAGAAAAAGTATCACCAAATTATATTATTTATTGATATATAATTATAAACACAAGATTAATCTTTATATATAATAACTATTAGATTATGGCATGTAAAACTATAACCAAAAACTACAAAATACAATTGGTGACACTGAGGATAATGGAAGTCAATTGAAGACAATTGACAAACAAAGACCTACTAGTCTATACGGCTAGCCAAAAAATTCATCCAAAGGTATAATCCTGCCATATAACTTTGCACTGGTGGTGTTGGCCAACTCACCACAGCCTAAATTGCATGATGGGCCATGAGTTGGTTGCTTTACAACTTTGCATTGGTAACATTAATATTGTGAATATGATTGCAGATATTGAAAGTTATCCATGGATGAGTCTTTTTGGATATTTTTCTTTTACTAACACAATGGTAAAAAGATTGATATTGTTAGTTCGCTTTGATAATTTCTCTTGTTCAAGTGTTAATAAATTTAACTTAGCATATTTACTTAGCCAAATGAACATAGAGAAGGAATTTTTAGTTTTCTATTTAACCAAACATAATTGACTTTGTTTTGCACTAACTTGTATTAAGCATTAGTCTGTCAATAGCAGTATGTAATAACTTACCATGTTTATTAAACACCTTTACTATCATGCCCTATATGTTAGTCTAGTTTAATTTTATTGACTATTATGGACAGTACTACTAGTGAGTATATTTATCAAATGTAAAATTTATCTTAAACACAATAGTATGATAAATAAGTGGGGTGAAGTGTTTAAAAGCCATTTCTAACTCATTCAAGAGATCAAATGATTAATGCTCCCAATTCAAATGTGAGTGTTATTACATATATGGATACCTTACATGATTTATCAGAATCTCACTTTAGAGGTGGGGAGAGTATTGTAACACATGTGATCATGGGATGAAATTTAGATATACTATCACTATGAATCATTGAAACTTTGGGGGATAATAATACTTAGTAGATGAGGTTTTGCACCTTGACCCAATAACAATATTGGTGAGTATTGCCATAAATAAATAAATATTTGATAGAGATCAAAGAAAGGATATTAGAGGATCCTACATCTTAGGGCATTTTAATGGTGCTAAAGAGTGGTCATAAGATATGACCACACTTGGGATAAATGACTTAATCTTTGAGAGATGGGTTTATAGTTTAAGATTACTATTGAGACAATGAGAATCTTTGAGAGAGATGGGTTTGTATTTTAGGATTCTATTGAGACAATGAAAATCTTTGAAAGCTTTGAGGATTACTATTTTTTGAGAGAGATGGGTTTATAGTCTAGGATTACTATTGACACAATAAGAATCTTTGAGAGCTTTAAGGATTACTATTGAGATAGTGAAAATCTTTGAGAGCTTTGAATGTTTGTAATGGAACTCAAAGGTAATATAGCTTAAATGTTATTGTAAATTCTTGAGTTTGGACTTCCCGGGAGGTCACTCAGCTAAATATTATTCAAACCCAAGGACATTTAACCCTAAATATCCTAAAACCCTTAACTGATTGAAAAAGAGGGTGTTATGGGCCCTTTTCCTCTATATTTAAACCCTTATAAATTGTATTTCAAAATGTTCATTTTAGTTGCTTATAGCCATCTTTAACATTTTAACAAATACCCTAAGTTAAGATAAAGACTCATAGAGGTTATGAGTGAGACTTCTCCAAATAGTAAAAAATATAACAAAGTAAAATAAAATTGAAATTTTAGTTATTTATACTTCCTTGACATCCCTAAAGTCCATGCTAAGGCTATTACCTTTATATTATGCCCTAAGACTATCATTAACTTAATAGTCTCGAACTCAAACTTTGTAATCTCTTAGATTTGGATTTTTTAGGAGGTCACCCATCATTTGGAGTTCTTTCAAAATATATTTAGTCTTAATTTGATTTTAAATTCTTTATTGTTTCAATCATGATTTCATGATTTTTTTCTATAATGATACTTTAAACAGTTTGTTTTTTATACATGGTGTATCAAAGCATGATCTTTCCTGTCTTTAGTAGTTCACTACAGCCCCAATCATAAATCAAATAGGTTATGAACACCTTCATTAAAATTTCTAATGCCATAGATTTCTTCTAATATATAATGAAGAAGTGTAAATGAGTGCATAGTGCTCTTAGAACACAAATTATTTTTGTTTCATAAGCTTAATTATGAATGAAAGGTTTCGTGGGATGAGCTTAGTCATAAATAAGAGGAAAAAACTTCTCTCATTCAGGTTATAATCATACCAGAGGTTATAAAGATCATCTAAGTTACACCTCCAATAGAAGCATACAAATGAGGTTTATGCAGTACCCTATTTTCTTTCTCTTTCATTCATTTTTTAATAATACCCTATTATAAGGAAGCTATTATTTACTCTAAACTTTAGAAGCACATATTGCAATGGATGCTAGTAGTGTGAGAAAGTTTCATTTAATAAGTTTCACATTTCAATATATCAGTTTAGAACTATTGCTTGCATTGAAACTATTGTTTAAAGAGTTTATTTATCTCATCTTAATTTTCAATCTTTTAAAGCAAAACAAGATGATAATTATTATTTGTGTGATTTTTTTTTTATTTAAGCCTTCACAACTATTGGCTAAGGCTCTTACAACACCAAATTAAAATGTTAAAATCACTAGTAGTTATAAGAGGAAGTTTAGAGTGATATAAAAAAGTTTTTGTTTCTTATTTAAATAACATATCTAACCATTTCATAAGTTACACAAAGCTTATATTAATTCCTTTAGAATCCTTCATCTATTATCCCATAAAGACTTATTAAACCATTTAAAGTTTAGGAGATGGTTGTTTTGGGTTTTACCCCTTAAATTTGGTCTCAAATTTGATCTCAAACTCACTTTAATCTTCAACATTTCATAACACTTACCATATATTGATTTTTTTTTGTCCCTTTCTAAAAACTTATTTATCAATTGTTTCATGTTTATTCTTTAAGCACTTTTTTGGGAGTTTCTCTCCCACTTTTAATTTTTCATGTCAAAGTAACATGTTATACTGTTACATTTCTACTTCAACCATAGCAATGTGATATTTTTAACTCCATTTTGGAAGTTAAAGATTTATGTATTACAACTCTACCACCCATAGATGAAGTTTAATATCTTTATTAGATGATAATATAATTTTTGAAGTAATCCTATCATAAATTAAAATTTTATTTTCTATACAAAGCCAACATTGAAGGCTCACTATACCTTTAATAGGGTTTAGGGTATAAGCAAACATACATGCTATAACATGTTTTAACAAGCATATAGTTATTAAATAAATTATAAATATATATTATATATACTGTACTCTTGGTCATATACTTATTATAACAGTTTATATGTTTTATAAACAATCAAATTCAAAAACTTATATTCTATAGTTAAAGTTTTATATAAATAACTTCATATTCATGGTAATAAAATATATAAATATATATTTTATTTATAAATAGAGACTGAAAAATATTCTAGCCAAGAACATTCAAGTGAATCCACACTTCATGTAGTGCATGTGATCATGGGATGAGATTTGGATATACTGTCACCATGGATCTTTGGAATCTTGGGGGATAAATGGGGATAAAACAGCCATTAAGAGCTCTCTCATCAAACAATTACCCCTTTTTTAATTGACTTAAGGGGAAAGAGATAAAATGCGCTACACTTTATTTGCTCTGATCCCTTTAAATTTTCTAGATTATTGTGCTTGGAATTTTTACATTTAAACTAAATGCAAAACCAAAGGGAAAAAAGCAAAAAAGTTACCCCTTCCAAACATGTGTGAAATCAAGATTTGGAGATTAATCAATTATATTTTTTTTCTAAAGTTTTTCTCTATTATACTTTGTGATAATGAACTGTTGCTTGGGATCTAATTAAAGATATATAAGCTCCAATCATTTCCAACTCATAAATTTCACTATTGACTTTCTAGTGATTTGTGTTCTCTCAATTTTTTTCCTTGTGTATATCATGATGCAAGACTTTTTCTCTTCAATAGCAATTTGTAATGGTAATTAATCCAAGCTTTCCTCCATAAGTTTTTCTCCATTCTAGTGGTAGTGGTCATGAAAGAAGCATTGTAAACAAAGTTAAACAAGAAATTCAATACTAGATATCCATACAAGCTAAAGCAGGAATAACTAGATGACTTTTTGTTCCACTTCCTTTTATTAGTGGATCATGCAAGCCTTGAAGATCTGCTCCCTCATGTTTGGTGCAATGATTAAATGATAAAAACAAAATACTAAAAATGGGCTAAAAAAATATTTAAATATAACTGTATCATAAAATCAGTACCTCCATCTTTAGGGTATTTTTTATTTCAAAGTAAAGACTTTGCTTTGCTAAATTACCCCTCAATAAATTTTGCCAACACTTACTACAATAGAAATTTCCTGACCCTTTTATGGGTTTTGGAAATTACTTTTTTAATACCATTATATTGGGAGATGCCAATGAATATTTTACAACCAAGAAATCTGATTTTTTCTAGCCAATTGCAAGCCACTAGATGAACTAGTTTGTCTTTATTTGTTTGCTTATATTTGATTGACTTCATTTGAGTTCTTAATTGTCTTCTGTTATTTTGAATTTGATTTATACAGTGACAGCCATTGATAAACGCCTCGGTGACAACCAGGCTTAGGAAGCCCATCCATCATGGCGACCAGGGCATGCCACCGCTCAGCTTGGGCTGTGATAGGTCCAATCGCTCTGCTGTCCGGACACTTGCTGATGAACATGGCGCGTTGCATCGTTGCAAAGTTACCAGCATTCAAAGTGTTGCCGGCAATATATTGAAAGCCCTAAATTGTACAAATATAATTCCTCTTGTCTGCGCTGTGGCCGTCACCATTGACTGGTTGATTTCTGGCAACATCTGTTGCTCACACTATTCAACAGATGGACGCAGCAATGCAAGCTATCAGATGGGCCATGACTATGACGTCTGTCGCCAAGCCCTCAAAACACGAAGGCAGACAGAGCGGACCTCGGCGGATATCGGGTACGCATGAATGAACAGTAAAGCACGAACCAGAGTGGCGCAGGCTGCACACCGTGAATGATTCAGTCACTGCTCTGGATGATCGCTGCAAAGTATCGATCGAGTCTAGAGAGCAGATAACTAGCATGATGGCCGAAAAACGCTTCTTCCCAATTCCGATGATCTCCAAGAGCAATGGCTGATCGAGCCGCTGAGTACGCGGCACAAACAGGATGTGCCGTCCTACGCAGAGACAACAAGGAGAAGATGACCCCTTCTGGGAGCCGGCAACGCAAGCTCCCTTGCGAATCATACACTTCAGATAAGTTTCTGCCCGTGACCTACTGCTTTTTCGCTCTGGAACGACGATCGTGGACAACGAATTCAGGCAAAGGCATATGCCTTGGAAAGCAAAGATCAAGATTTCTTTGTAGGATCGGGGCACATTTTGGTAGAGGATAAGAAATGAGGAAGGTAGGGATTATAGAGTTCAACCGGTTCTGACAATAACCACGAGGGACCCGAAGTTCTCACAAGCCAGCATCCATTTCTAAGGAAGAAAACTTTACGCACTTTCGACTATTTTGAAAGCATGGAAGGGTAAAAAAGATAATCAATTTGGTCTCTTCAAACAAGGTACTACTATGTACACAGTAAATTTACATGTGGAGGTTGAAGACCGGGGTGTTGATAAAGGCCTCGGTGACAACCAGGCTTAGGAAGCCCATCATGGCGAGCCGGCCATTCCACCGCTCGGCTTTGGCTGTGAAAGGTCCAATCGCTCTGCTGTCCGGACTCTCGCCGTTGAACATGGTCACCAATGACGCGTACATGAAGAGCTGCACCATTGCAAAGTAGTAGAACAATCCGTTGTTCCCGGGTGCGTACAGCAGCTGTGCGACTGTCTCCCCCGTCAACTTCTCAGCGACGAATGCCCAGACGAGACCTAGCATTGCCTGTTCAAGGTGTTCAAGTTGGATTAAGAAATCCAAATTCTAGGAAGCTGAGCATTATAGATACTTACCAGTCGGCCATTGATCGTCTCCGGTCCAGGGCCATCAAATGCCATCAAGCTTCCGAAGTCTCTGGCACCAGTTTCGGGCCTGCGCTCTACCTCGGGTCGCGGGTAGCTCCAGTCGGGACTCTGAGCCTGGGATTGGGGAATCGAGAGTGGGATGTTTTCTGGGCGCTCCGACTTGGTCCCTTCCTGATGCTTCTCCACACTTTCTCGGGTGATCTTCTTCTTGGTCTTTTCCAGCAAGTCGCCAGCATTCTGCTGCTGCTGTGATGCTCGGACTACAATGCAGCGTGAGAGCCGGCTCGAGGCATTGTGACTTCCTCGGAGCCTGGAATCAGAAGAAGGGGTGAGCGAAGACAGTGCCGTAGGCAGAGGGATGCCTCTCGCTGCAACAGTGCTAGCCATTATGAATTCTACAGAAATCAGATAATTGCTCAAGAATGAATTGGGATGAGCCTGGAAGAATCTAGAGCTTATTGGGGAGCGCTTGCTGTTCTAGCTTGCTATGTTTGAAGCTGTGCTGAACAATGGTGGTGAATTTATAAGGACTTCAGGCTTAACTGGCAGCTGGTGGGACGTCCAGGTGGCATGATCGTGTCAAAAAGCGAATCTGTAGTGGTGTCTCAAATTTTGCGGTGAAAAATGGGTGGTATGTAATCTTCCCATTTCTGGAATCTTCACGTACGCCCCGTGGGTACCACGACCGTGGCGATTTCGACGACTGACGGATTGATCGCTAGAAGTATCGCTCCTTTAAGATTGTGCTTACTCCTACATCTAAAGAACAATTTTCTAGCACCATTTATCATTAACTACGTCAACCGAGCACCAGCCGCGTAAGCATTAGCCAGTTTCACGTAAGTGGTGGCTTGGTCAGGCTCAAGCTCCATTAGTTGCTCCGCTGCGAGCTCGCCAACTTGAACATCGTCATAAGCCATAGAAGCACCCAGCAAAGCTCCCCATGCAGCACAGTCCGGCATGAAAGGTACACTGAGAAGAAGATCCCGAGCTCTATTCAACTGCCCTGCGCGGCCAAAGGCGTCAACAAGACAAGTGTAGTGGTCAGGAACAGGATGAATTCCATGGTCGGAGACCATGGAGAGGAAGTATTCTCGGCCAGTTTCGACCCATCCCATATGGCTGCAGGCATTCAAGACGGTGACGAAGCTCACCTCCTTACACTCCAGGCCATGAAGAATCATCGAGCTGAACAGCTGCAGTGCTTCCCGAGCTCGTCCTCCGGTGGCATAAGCCGAGAGCATGGTGGTCCAGGAAATCAGCCTCGGGGCGGGCATGGTGTCAAACATCAACTTGGCTCCATCCAAGCGGCCGTTGTCGGTGTAGCAACTTATCATACAGCTCCACAGGGCAGCGTTCCGCGGCTCCGGTGAAGCGTCGAAGAGTTTCCGAGCCTCGTCAACGTTTCCTGCTCTAGAGAAAGCCGTGATTATGATGAGCCAGGAGATCCAATCGCGCTTGGACATTGTTTCGAAGATCTCTCGAGCTCGCGCCAAGCTACCTCGCTCCGCGTGTGCCTGGACGAGAGAGTTATACGATGCCAGGTCCCAGGAGGGCATGAGCGAAAACACTTCTTCCGGACGATGGCTTCCATCTCCCGGGAGAAAAGCTAGCATCGAGTTCCAGGTGATGATGTTCCTCTCGGGCATCCAGTGGAAGAGTTCTTTGGCGAGATCTAGGTGCCCGTTTTGGCCGTAAGCCGCTACCAGTGCCGTGAGAGACACCACATTCCACTGGGACATTCTGTGGAGCATTTCTTGGGCTTCGCCGACGTAACCCCTCTGGCCGTACGCGGTGATCATCGCGTTCCAGGAGACAATGCTCCAGCATGGCGTACGGTCAAAGAGTTTCTTGGCCTCGTCAAAATCTCCAAACTGGGCAACCGCCTGGACGATCGCGTTCCAGGCTACGACGTTGTGCTGTGGAAGGCGGTTAAATATCCCCCTCGCCACGTGGAGATTTCCGGCCGCGGTGCTGGCCGCCAGCATCACCGTCCACGTCACTACGTTCCGGCCGGATATTCCATCAAACAGTGCCTTTGCCTCCGCGAGATGCCCGTTCTGGGCATATGCCTCGATCATCGTCGTCCACGTCACCACGTCTCTGTGGTGGGAGTTGTCCTTGGCTATGGCCCTGGATTTCTCGACGATCTTCGCCATGCTCTCGAAGACGATCTTCGCTTGCTCGAATTCTCCGTGCTGGACGCACGCCTGGATCATCGCATTGTAGGTCGCGGTGCTGCGCTCGCTCATCGAATCGAAGATTCTTCGAGCCGCCCGGAGATCGCCGCGCTCGCCATAGCCGGCGAGAAGCGCGTTCCAGGAGACGATGCTAGGCTCTTGGATCAGGTCGAAAATCCTCTGCGCCTCGTCAGGATCTCCCTCGTGGAAATATCCAGCGACGAGCGTGGTGCAAGACACGGCGTTCCACTGCGGCATCGCCGCCAATGCGCGCCTGGCGGCCTCGATCCGCCCGTTGTGGACGAGCGCCGCGACGAGAATGCTCCAGGAGAATGTGTTCTTCCCCCACGACGCATCGAAGACTGCCAAGGCGTCCTCGACGCTGCCGCATTTCCCATACATCTGGACGAGGAGATTGGCGAGGTAGATGTCGCAGTGGTGTCCTCTCTCGACGATCCTCTCATGGATGATCCGGCCCTGGCAGAGGTCGCGCGCATCGCCAAAGTGCCTGAGGAGTCGGCTCCATTCCGATTTGAGGCCATCGAGCTCTGGAAATTTCATAGACCAGGAGGCGGCATCTTTTAGGGTTCTTCATTTTCACTCGGGTAGGTTTTTGGTGTGCGCCAAGAGATCGATCTATGGGGCAGGGTCAATCGGGATTTCCCAGGCAGGGCGGGCCGCCCGGAGATCGCAGGCAGGAGGACAAGAAGGAGAAGAAGTATGAGCCAGCAGCTCCGCCGACTAGGGTTGGGCGGAAGCAGCGCAAGCAGAAGGGCCCCGAGGCAGCGGCACGCCTTCCTTTCGTCACGCCGGCCACCAAATGCAAGCTCCGGCTTCTCAAGCTCGAGAGGGTCAAGGATTACTTGCTCATGGAGGAAGAGTACGTGACGAATCAAGAGCGCTTGAAGCCGCAGGAGGATAAGAATGAGGAGGACAGATCTAAGGTCGATGATCTCCGAGGATCGCCCATGAGCGTGGGGAGCTTGGAGGAGATCATTGATGAGAACCACGCTATTGTTTCGTCGTCGGTCGGGCCAGAGTACTATGTCAACATTCTTTCGTTCGTGGACAAGGACCAGCTTGAGCCCGGGTGTGCGATCCTCATGCACAATAAGGTACTGTTTCCTGCTTGCTAGCGTTTGTTTCTACTTTGTTTCTCTTCGGCAGGTTCTCTCCGTTGTTGGATTGTTGCAAGACGAAGTCGATCCTATGGTGTCGGTGATGAAAGTCGAAAAAGCTCCGCTAGAGTCTTATGCCGACATCGGGGGCTTGGATGCCCAGGTACAAGAGATCAAGGAAGCCGTCGAGCTGCCACTTACGCATCCAGAGCTGTACGAGGACATTGGAATCAAACCTCCCAAGGGAGTGATACTTTATGGCGAACCTGGAACTGGCAAAACGCTCCTGGCAAAGGTAAGTGTGACATCTTTTAAGGTGCTGCTTCGTAACTAACTAGCTTTGGTTCTACAGGCTGTTGCAAACTCCACATCTGCAACGTTCTTGCGTGTTGTTGGCAGCGAGCTTATTCAAAAGTATTTGGGAGACGGTCCTAAGCTTGTTAGGGAGCTCTTTCGCGTTGCGGACGATCTTTCTCCGTCCATTGTGTTCATTGACGAGATTGATGCTGTTGGAACGAAAAGGTGATTTCGTTGCATGGTTGTTGCAGAAACTAATTGGGAACAACCTTCTCAAGGTATGATGCACACTCTGGTGGAGAGCGCGAAATTCAGCGGACCATGCTTGAGCTGCTGAACCAGCTCGATGGTTTCGATGCTCGGGGTGACGTGAAAGTTATCCTAGCGACGAACCGCATCGAAAGCTTGGACCCTGCGTTGCTTCGACCCGGTAGAATTGACCGGAAAATCGAGTTTCCTTTGCCGGATATCAAAACCCGACGACGCATTTTTCAGGTGACGTGTTTTTTTTCTTTGTGCGCGTTTGTTTTTCCTAACCACTTTGGTTCTTGCAGATCCATACATCGAGAATGACACTCTCTGACGATGTGAACTTTGAAGAGTTTGTGATGACGAAGGACGAATTTTCTGGAGCTGACATCAAGGCAATGTGCACTGAAGCTGGGCTTCTGGCACTAAGAGAACGGCGGATGAAGGTAGTTTCTCGATGCTTTTCACAACTTTCTTGTAACGATTTTCTTCTTCTCCAGGTAACTCAAGCTGATTTCAAGAAGGCGAAAGAGAAGGTCATGTACAAGAAGAAAGAAGGCGTCCCGGAGGGCCTGTACATGTAAATAGCCGTCCCAGCTTTGCAGGAGCGCACAAGAAGAGAAAAGAGTCACGCCGGGCAGTAGACAGCCGCCTGCAAAAGCATAGGTATTTTACTCTCTCGCGCGCAGCACCGGCCTGGCTAGACTTTTCTTTTGAGCTTTCTTTATTTTCCCCTTGTTATAAGGCTTTCTCACTCGCACTTTGAAAGGCTAAAGCACGGTTTGAAAGCTCTGGTCCTGTGTAGGAGAGGAACGAGTCTCGCAACTCGAGACCACGGGGTCTACTGCTGCTATGCCGAGGAGCTCCTCGATCGCATTAAAGTAAGTGTTTCCTTTTGGTGCTGTTCCAATCTTTCGGCCGCTAGGAATCAGGAGAGATGGCTTTCACTTGACAGCCATTAAGTTCGAAGACTCACTGCCGAGTCGAAGAACTGGATCGAGAGAAAACAAGCGGAAAGAACGGTGGAAAACACTTTCCCGTACATGTCATAGTCGTGGCGGCATCTAGGCCGTTACATCCTGTACGGTCGGATGTGTGTCAATACTTTCCTGGTACTGTATGTACGCATCACGGGCATATTCTGGTTGAGGCTGTATATTATTGCGGATGGGTTGATTGGCTCGCGTTGTTCTTCATTGAATTTATCCCAGAGCGAGCAAGGAAAGAGGGCGGGCGGTGTGACGTAAAAGCATATAGCTGGTGGATGGATGCTGCTCGGGATTGAATTGCTCTTCTCGCTTTTCTCCTCTCCTGGCATTGATTTCCATCAAGAATCCGCACGGAAAGAGCAGGGCATTTTTTCTTTTCCCTTCCCTTTCGCTGGAGATCTCTCACCTCCTTGAATCACTCCCAGGTTTCGGTCCATCGTAGAGGATTTAATTGAATCGAATCGTGTCGCTGCTGCAATCCAGTCGCTCGCGCGAATCCGTGCGCCGATGCCCTGCGCGGGCATTTGTTGCGAGACTCTCTCGCCTTAAAGAGGGAAGACCACACAAACAGGGGAGAAGAAGAAGGAAGCAATGGGGAATTTGATGTCTTGCGTTTTAATCTGTGGAGCGATGGAGGTTGTCCAGGTGGTGAACACGAATGGCAGAGTAGAGCGGCTAATCCGCCCGATTCGAGCGGCGGAGCTCATCTGGGCGCAGGAGAAGTACAGAGCGGCGGCGCTGGCAGCAGGTCTAAACTCCATTCCCAATCCATCCCTCTCCATTCTTCCTTCTTCGTCCTCGTCCTCGTCTCCTCCTCGCTCATCGTCAACAGAGGAGGACAAGCTCAAGCTTGCCAAGTGCCTCAGCGCCGAGGATTCCAATCCCAAATTCCTGCTGCTGCCGCTGGATCCCTCCGCCGCCACCACCAGGAGCTCCAGCGCCGAGGTGGGGTGCCGTGCCTACAAGTTCCAGTGCCACTCGCAGGAGAATGTGAGCGTCGCCCCCGCCGCCCATCAGGAGGCCAAGAGCTCCAAGCAGCAGCGGAGCCGTTCCAAGAGTGACGCTCAAGCTCCGCCACCCCCGCCCAAACCAGCGGCGGAGCAATCCACTCGCGGCGCCGCCAATCACCCGCCATTCCGGGTGAAGAAGGAAGGCGGGGTGACGACGCTGGTGGTTTCCAAGCGCTACTTGGAGCAGCTCTTGGTGGAGAAGGAGATGAAAGCGGCGGACGCGGTGGCGGCGGCGGATATTCTCCAAGATCACAACTATCTTCCGCGTAAGGTTGGTGGCGGCGGTGGCGCCGCCAAGCACTCGCGGAGATCTAGCAGGTCTTCTTCTTCTTGTGGTTCTTCCTCCGGCTCGTCTTCCGGAAGATCGGGCATTTGGAGGCCTGCGCTGGAGAGCATCTCCGAGAGTCACAATGCGCATGGTGGTGGTGGAGATCAGATTGGTTCTGGTAGCCATAGCCATAGCCACCACCACCACCACTACCACCACCAGCAGAGACAAAGCGTTGCGAGGAATTGATCGCGTTCTTTTGGAACGATCGAGCCGACAGTTTTTAGCGATGGGCTGCTTGCTCCGAATCGATCGATGATCGGACTTCGTGAACATATGGCAACAAAAAGTTCGGTTCCTTTTTTTTTTTTTTGCTTCTCTCTCTCCTCTCTCTAAAATCAGCTCTTTTGTAAATATCAAAGCTTATAGAACCTAGAGAATTTGGAGCCAGAGCTTATGATCTATAATATTTAGTATCTGTTCTTGTCTATTTCTCGCGTTCCTCTCGAGATCATTTTTTGTGTTCTTTTGGTGCTAACCATGTATTGCGTTGGAGAAATCAATCCAAAGTTATTGTCCATGTCTTGGCATTTGACAAACTGCGTTTCCTATGATTTACAGTACTTCGCATGGAGTGAATTTCTTGAGCTTTCCATCATGAAAACTTGGATGTTCCATCTATTATTCCTCCCAAAAAAATCTAGAGAATAGCTATTTTATTCCCCGGAAAAGATGAGCAAAATAAAAGGTGGTGGACCCGAACTTCCCTTTAAAGCTCAATCGCTCGCATGGACAGTGACAAATCGAATTTACTCTCAGTCCCCACACCCGACTGACGGCTAGTTTGGAGCCCAGGCCAATTGGCCTTTGGGTCGAGAGATTGTGATGGATCAACCAAGGAACTTACGGGATGAGATCAACACGCAAGAGAGAGCTTGTAAACTACATGTTGTCAAACGAACAAAACTGAGACCATGTGCTATATCATCAATTCCTGGTGAGCCATGAATTCTAATGCTATCTATACATTGCATGAAGAACAATACTCTAGAATTCATTACTATTTTCATGGCCTTGTTAGTCAAGATTCGTTGCTGGTCGTCCGGGGGGTTAAAATTGAGCGTACCGAGGAGTCAAAACAAAGAAGCCATGGGTACTCACTCAATCATTGACTTGCCCAGCCTAAAATGATTATAAAAACTATCATGAGTTCGTATGCATTGAAAATTCTACAAAAAGCCTTGCATTGCATCGTTTGGTGGACTGTCGACGTTGGCAAAGGCTTTAACCTCCAAATGTGGTGTCTCTGTGGCTAGAGATATTTTCTGCAAATAGCAAAGCAACTTTTAGGTCAGAACAGGGGCCCTGCTTTTAGGGCTCTGTCTCTTTGTTTTGGGGCCTACATTTTTAGGGTTACTGTCCGATGGAGGATGCGCAGAGGATTTTGCTCGAGGCGCTGGAGCTGGCTGGGATCGTGATGCCGCCGGGAGTGGCGTCTGTGCACGACATTGGCCCTGCTGCGCTCATTTCGATGTGCTCGCAGGCGCTGCGGATCATCGGCGGCGACGGATACAGGGAGGAGGTCTACATGCCTGGATCTGTGCCACAATCGGTGTCGGTACGATTTAGAGTGTGTATGCAGCTGGCTGAGGGAGTGACGCAGCTCGGTTACCGCGAGAATCTTAACTTCCATCAGGTAAGCACATCGTGTTCAGTTTGTTTTGCTTGGACGTAGCACAATTCATGAGATCTCGTTCTTCTTTCCTTCGTGTTAGACAACATCAGAAGATAGAATTGCATGGCTGGTTTTTTCTTTTTCTTTGCAAGAAGTTGATTTCACTTTTGGCAGGAGCTGGTCGCAGTTCCTTTACCCAAACGAAACTGATGTGCACCGCCTCCTCCGGTTTCTACTCGAAAAGATTTCCAAAACAACGCCAAGCTCGAGTCATGGTCGAACAAATCGTAGACGGAAGAGTATGACGTCGAGAAAAGAAACTGGCACTTCTAACATTGATGCTGTGGTTAGACAAGCCTTGCTGGGGTGGTCTGACACAGAAGAGAAAGTTCTTCCTTATCGTACGTTGGGCAACGACTCGGATGATGACGCTGAGAATGTTTCGTCGACTTTCAGTTCAGAAGATCCAGGGGGAGATGGTCGTACAAGCAAAGAGTATGACGGCCAGCCCCGAATCATCACCGGAGGAAAGTTTTTGGAGATGACCCCAGACAAGGAGAAGCTCTATATCGAACTGCTGAGCGAGTTGAAAGAAACTCAAGGAAAGGTAGCCAAACGAACTTTGTGCTGTAACTGCTTTTAAGCTTGTGCCTTACCGCTCTGGTAGATTGCAAAATACGAGAAAGATAACTCCGAAGGCTACGTATCGGTTGCCGAGGAAGAGAAGAAAGCTCGGCTCGCTGAGGATGATTTACTGGTTTTGCAACAGGCTGTTAAGCTGATAAAAAGCTGCTCAAGTCCGCACTCGGCTCTGGAGAAGCTCGAGTCTGATATAGAGACGAGCCAGAAATCTTTTGATCTTGCACAAAAGCATTGGTACGTGCTCAATATTTTGTTAAGCCATTTCAGATTTGTTTTCCATTCAGGGAAATGGGGAAGGAGCATTACGAGAAAGAAATAAGTGATTCTCAACGCTCGCTGGAAATATTGTCAAATCAATCGACGACGATTCTGGAGGAGAAAATGTTGAAAGAGATAGAGGATATCTCCTTAAAGGTCGCCGCAAGGTACCACCGTTTTCTTATTGTAGCCGTGTAAGCAAAAACTCAACGACAGGAAAGAAGAGCTGGCATCGTTGACGACAAGGCTTGCTAATTGTCCCAAGCAGGCGCCGAAAGGCAGCTACGTCCGTCGCATCACAGAGCTAGTGAAGAACAGCAAAAAGCAAGAGACGGATGTGACAAAGATCATTCACGAGACACGCATTCTTCAGAGAGATTACAATGCGACACAAGAGCGGCTTGGGAGAATCCACCTCCTGGTTGACGAGCTCATCTTCAGGTGCGCTAAAGTCTCTGTAATGCTAGTGTTTTTCATAAACTCATGTATGACTTCGTCCAGGGACGCCAAGATTGAGCCGCAGTGCAGGCTGGCTTACAGGATCCTGAGCGGCATGCACGAGAGCTTTGGTGGCCTTGTGGAGAAAGTCCTTGAGATGGACAAGTTGGACCGGGAAATAGCGGACCTTGAAGCAAAGCTGGAAGGATGTGAGCAGGAAATCGCGGACATTGACAAAGTAAAGGACGATCTCAACGCAATTGTATCCGAGAACAAACTCCTGGAAACGAAGAGGAGAGGACAGTGAAAGCCGATCTTCCGGTATGTAGAATTTTACGCAATGCGGGAGACGCCTGTCCGGCAGTGAAGACGCACTTCCGTGGTGTCGTCTCATTTAAAGAACCGGACGCCATGATCAAAGGTATGATCTTTTAAGATGCATCAATGGATCGAGCTCCTTTCACTCACTTCTAGATTAAAAAGAAGGATTCGAAGTCATCGGTGGTGTCACTCTCCCAATTTTCAACACGCGCTCTACCATTGAGAATGAGGTACTTTAGTAGAAAAGAAAAAGGGCTAATGATGTTACGCAATTAGGAGATGCTTGGGAAATATATGCTGTGTTAAGCCCTTTTTAGGGTCCTAATAGAGCTCTCTCTGTTTCTTTTTAGCAGCGCTGCCTCGGCGATTGGATTGGGAATTCCATCGATTTTCTGATGAGAGCGTCCAATCCGCTCCATGACGAGGCGAGGCGGCACCAGCAGCAGCAGCAGCAGCAGCAACAGCAGCGAATGGATCCCACTGACATCGATGAGCCGATGAAGAATCAAGTGGATGTAGTGGAGGTGAGCAATGCAGCTGTTCTCTCTTTCCTTGGTTCTTATTTTGTTCCTCTGATCTTTTCTCCCTCTCTTCTCATCTCTGGATGAACACTAATTGATCAGAAAGAAGGATGGAGGAAGCTGCTAGCGTTTTTGGGGCCGGGGTTTTTGGTTTGCATCGCTTACATTGATCCTGGAAATTGTGAGCTTGGTTCCTTCGTTCTTTCCTTTCTTCGTTTCTTCGTTTTTTTTCTTCGTTTCCTGACAACGTTGCAGTCGAGAGCGATCTCCAATCCGGCGCGGAATATCAGTATGAGGTAGGCATTGCTAAATCTTGTTTCGTGAGTTATGTGACCTGAAATCCTTGCAGCTGCTCTGGATTATCTTGGTGGCTTCCGTGTCAGCTTTGATCATCCAGTCCCTGGCCGCGAATTTGGGTGTGGTCACTGGTAAAATGCACACAGTCTTGCTCAAGCACGCAAAGTGACTATTTCTTTATATTTCACCTTCCAGGGAAGCATCTCGCCGAGCACTGTAGGACCGAATATCCCAAGGTTGTGTCGATTTTGCTGTGGATATTGGCCGAAGTTGCCGTCATATCAGCTGATATTCCCGAAGGTTCGTTTAGGCATTTTGTCTGCGTTGCAAAGTCAATGTTTGTTCCCTTCGTTTTTTCTGCCAGTCATAGGCACGGCATTTGCACTTAACATTCTGTTTAGTGTACCTATTTGGATCGGCGTCCTGTTAACTGGACTCAGCACACTTCTCCTCCTGGCTTTGCAACAGTATGGAGTGAGTATTTTCAATTTGCGCGGCTTCTCTCCCGGTGATTTTGTTTAACAGCTTTTCGATTCTAGGTGCGCAAGCTGGAGCTTATTATCGCTGCACTGGTGATGATAATGACTGGATGTTTTTTTGCCGAGCTTGGTTACGCGAAACCAAATGCTGCACTAGTTTTGAAAGGGCTCTTTGTGCCTCAACTCAAAGGCGACGGTGCCACTGGGCTGGCTATTTCTCTCTTGGGGGCTATGATTATGCCACACAACCTGTTTCTTCACTCGGCATTGGTTCTAACTCGAAGAATTCCTCGCTCTGATAAGGGAATCAAGGTAATTCAAAGTCTTCAAAGCTTCTAGCATGAACTTTCGTTTTTCTTTTATTTCTCATGTAGCAAGGATGCAAGTACTATATGTTTGAGAGTGGATTCGCACTTTTCTTCGCCTTTCTAATCAACGTATGTGTTATTGCTGTTAGCGGCTCGGTGTGTTCGCAACCAGATTTATCAGCCGAGAATAGAGCAAACTGTAATGACTTGGATCTAAACCGGGCCTCATTCCTCCTGCAGGTGCGTACTTCTTCATGGTCATTTGGAACTTTCTAAGTTTTTCTTCTTCTTTTTTTTTCTTTTTAACGGCAGAATGTGTTGGGACGTTGGAGTAAGATCCTCTTCGGCGTTGCATTGCTTGCCTCCGGGCAAAGCTCAACGATTACAGGCACATATGCCGGCCAGTACGTGATGCAGGGATTTTTAAACTTGAGGTTTAAACCTTGGATTCGAAACTTACTAACCCGAGCGGTAGCAATTGTTCCAAGTCTAATTGTTGCGCTTATTGGTGGTTCTAGCGCTGCTGGACAACTAATCATCATTGTCTCTGTGAGTGCTCGTCTTCTCAAGTTTTCGATGCTTCTAACTGACATTCTGGTTTTCTAGATGGTTTTATCTTTTGTTCTTCCCTTTGTTCTTATTCCGCTGCTGAAATTCACTAGTAGCAAAGTGAAAATGGGACCTTATGCTAACTCTTGGCCGGTAAGTGGAAGAACTGAGAACTGTATCCGCACTTTACGAGCATCAAACTGTGGTACAGGTGATGTGCACAACATGGTTAATTGGTGGTGCTGTTATGTCTATCAATGTGTACTATCTTACCTCCTTGTTTGTGAAGTGGCTCATCAAGAGCTCCCTGGCAATGGGAGCTCAAGTGATGATTGGTATCCTGGTTTTTGGGATGATCCTTGTTTATTTGATTGCCGTGGGATACTTGGCATTTAGAGTGGACAGGGAGATCACTTATCTGATTGTTTCCGACGAGCCAAGTAACATGGACCCGATTAACTTGGAAGAACTGGGCCACGGCCCATCGAGTGAGCTTCAACCGTTACCTCGGAAAGATATTATAGAGCTCCAGCTGCCGCGGGATGTATAGAGCGATGAGAACGAAAAAGCGAGATTATAATGAACTAGAAAATCAATAGCGACAAGAGCCTTCTCAATTCCAAGTCTGTATGAGGAAAGGGAGTACACACTATTTATGCTGCTTTGAAGGATCCAGGAAGAACACTATGGTTTTGTTCTTGCTGGATCCTAGCTCGAAACAAAATTGTCTACTTGTCTAGAGCACTCATGATGAGGATCCTGGCAGCAAACGAAGAAAAGAGGGTGATTTTGAGATTGAAACTCTTATTTCAATGAGACTTACCAGTTGCTAGTGGAGTGTTGCTGGGGCAATGGATGCTGTGATTCAGCTGTGGGTTGCGACAGCCTCTCTGCGATCTCCCTCACAACTGCATCGGAAACATATAAAACCACGAGACAATTTCATCTCTCTTCTTACTTGTTCTCAGTGACTTCTTTGTCAATGTAGGTGATGGAGCTGCTGGCGTTTGAGATCCAATTAGCTTCTCAGATGGACTCATGCTGGGATCCAAGAACGATCTATCGAAGACTCAACTTTAACTGAGTTTGGGAAGAGAAACACCTGAAATTTAAGTGGTCGGGCCAGCCGCCGCCGCCGCCGCCGCCACCAGTATCCGGCCGGCCGCCATATTTCGTCCTCATGCACATGTTGTACGGCAGATTGACATTGTGTACGGCATATCTTACAAAATCAAACAATGCTTGAGACAAACGTATGTAATCGACCAGATTTTCTTAGCCGCCAGAGGGCGAAACTTGAACAAGACACCTTTCTTGCCAACCGTGCCATCCAAATGCATGGCAAATGCGGGCGCATCGACCGCGCGAAGAGGATCTTTGACAGTCTCACTCATCCAAACGTGTTCTCGTTGAACATTATGATTTCAGCATATGCCCAGAGCGGGCATGTGGCTCAAGCAAAGGCTCTGTTCGACTCTTTTAAGTTTCCTGACACGGTAACTTGGAATGCGATGTTAACAGCTCTGGTACAAGAGGGCCATTACGAAGAAGCAAAACAATTTTTTGACAGGATTCCTAATAGAAACCAAGTTTCTTGGAATGCCATGCTTACTGCATATGCCCAGGTTGGTAATGTAAACGAGCTTGAATCGTTCTTTCAAAAGTTGCCAAATCCAAACGTTGTGACATGGACAGTGATGGTCCAAGGCTATGCAAGATGTGGCCGTGTAGATCGTGCTAAATGGGTTTTCGATGGAATGCCTATAAAAAATGTGGTAGCATGGACTGCTTTGCTTTCCGCATATACCCAGAACTGGCATGTAGAGGACGCTAAGATAGTCTTTGATAGTATGCCAGTTCGGACTCTAGTTTCCTGGAACGCAATGCTATCCTCGTACGCAACTTCTGGCCATGCTTTTGAGAGCGACAACCTGTTCCAAAACATGCCTCTACACGATCTTGTTTCATGGACTTGTATGCTCCAATTGCACTGCTCAAAGGGGGACATGGATCGAGCAGTGGCAATTTTTGATCAAATTCCCGCGTTTGATATCATCTCCTCTAATGTAATGCTGACAGCACTCACGACGAGCAAAGACCAGTTTCAGAAAGCAATGGATCTCTTCTCGAGAATGGAGCTGAGAGACGCAAACTCGTGGGCTGCAATCCTCACGCTCTACACCAGGTCGGGAGAGTTAAGCGAAGGGATGAGGTATTTCTATGAGAAAATGCCTGAACACAGTGTTAAGTCTTGGAACACCCTGTTGCAGGCAAATGCCGCAGCTGGAAACTTAGAAGAAGTCAACAAACTCTTTTGGAAAATGCCTTTGTGGTCATTGGCATCATTTTGTAGCATAATAGTAGCAAACTCCTGCTGTGGAAGATTGGACAATTCTCGAGAAGTGTTTACATCTATGCCCGAAAGGGACCTGGTTGCGTGGAATGTTATGCTCGAGTCATATGCCACTAATGGGCATCTCGAGCTTGCCAAGAACTTGTTTGATTCAATGCCAGAATGGGATGTTGCGTCGTGGAGTAGTTTGATGGGAGCCTTCATACACACTGGAAATCTCACTGGAGCGAGTGAAATCTTCAAAGATCTTCCTCAAAGAAGTGCCGTCTTTTGGAATGCGCTGCTAGTTGCATTTGCCCGCAGTGGGGATCTGGAAGATGCCAAGAAGATCTTCGATCGCTCGCCCTCTAGAGATCTCGCGGCCTGGAACACAATGGCCGCGGGATTCAGCCAATTTGGTCGTGGCGGTGACGCGCTGGAGAGCTTCCATTCGATGCTACTGGAAGGGATGCGCGCGGACGAGATATCGGTGCTCCACGCGCTCATCGGATGCAATCACCTGGGCCTCGTCGAGAATGCGGGGCGGATCTTTGCTTCCATGGCGGCGGACCATCGGCTGGTTCCCTGGATCGAGCATTACAGCGTCATGGCGGAAGCTCTCGGTCGCTCCTGCGAGGCTGGAGCTGCGAGAGAGCTCGTGGATTCGATGCCCTATTTTCCGGATAGGAAGACGCTGGGAGGACTGGAGACGAGCAAATTAAATCCGACCGTCTCTAAGCTCGCATGCTTCTTGAATGAGTCGTGATCCAACGGCTCATGTAGTTCCTTGCTAGGGCTCTAGAGGGATTTGTGCTGGAAGAGCTCTAGGTTGGATAGATCTGTGGCAGCAGACATTAGATCCAGAATCATGGCGTCGGGCCTCACGGCCACGGAGCTCTCCACAGTCGGCGGCATCGCGACAGTGTCGCTGCTCCATTCTTTCATCCCCACGCACTGGCTGCCCTTCTCAATCGTCGGGCGCGCACAGAAGTGGACGATTTCGCGAACGCTGCTCGTCAGTAAGTAGAAATTTCTGGATCCGAGCGTATTGAATTCGTTGCTCGATCGCAGCGGCGCTGGGAGCAGTGTGTCACGTAATCTCCACGGGGCTCCTGGGTTTCACAGCGATTACCATGGCCAACACCATCGCCGGCGAGGAGACTGTCCACACGCTGGCGTCGTTCCTCCTGATCTTCCTGGGCGCTGGCTACGTGATCCTCTTCCTGCTCGGTAAGGGCGGCCACAATCACTCACACAATCACTCCATGGAGAAAATGGCGGTGGCGGGATTGATCCTGGTGCCAACGCTGTCGCCGTGCGCCACGACCCTGCCGGTGTTCCTAGCAGTGGGCAATGCGTCGCGGGGATTCATCGTCCTCGCCATGGCCGTGCTCCTCTTCAGCACTCTGGCCGTGATGCTCACACTCGTCGCCCTCTCCTTCTATGGCGCCAGTCAGTTCAAATTCCACTGGTTTGAGCGCTACGACAAGGCGCTCGTCGGCGCCGTGCTGTGCCTGGTGGGGATTCTCACCTATTTCTTCCACGATCACGATCATCACGTCAGCCACCAGCATTCCTCGATCGAAGGCACCGTCGCGGCCTTCGACCGCCTCCAGAGGAAAATTCTCAATTAGGGTTCATCCGGGCGGCTTCCTAGCCGTCCGTTTTGTAATTTAATCCAGCGGCTCACATCGCGTTGAGCCATGGCATACTTCAAGTGCGCTCTCGCAACAAAACCCTATTCCATTTGCGCGCAGGGGGACGTCGTGCTGCTGCCATCGATCATCTCGACACGGCATCGCGCCCGGCTCCTGAGGTCCAGGCGTGAGTTCCCGGTGCTGCGGGGGCTGCGCATTTGCGGGATTTCGGGCATGGACGCTGCTGGATCTAGTGCAGTGGAGCCGAGCCAAGGAAGTAAGTAGTGATCTAGGCGTAATGCGCAGTACCGATGCGTTAGTTTGGCTTGAATCCTGGGCAGAATGGGGGAAGACGATAACAATCGAGCCGGAGGGCAAGCATCTCGTCACGGTAGTTTGGCTGCATGGTCTTGGCGATACTGGCCACGGGTAAATTCATAGTTCTCTCGTTTCGTGGAAGTTTTAAAGCTCCATTTCTGTGCAGCTGGGCTTCCATTCTGAAGACTCTTTCTCTAAACAATGTGAGCTCTAGAAACTCTTTCTTGCAAGCTGATTTTGCGCTGCAGATCAGATGGATCGTCCCGACCGCGCCTGTCCGGCCCGTAACCATTAATAATGGATATCCATGCACCGCATGTAAGAATGATCGTCCTTTAGTGTTTCTGTATCGCTGAAGATCGTTTTCATTTTTCTGGTCTCTCAGGGTTTGATGTGGGATCGCTCTCGGACGAAGGACCAGATGATATTCTTGGCCTAGATTCTTCTGCTGCATATGTTGCTAGCTTTCTTTCGAAGGAGCCTGCTGATGGTAAGGCTTCAGCATCTCAAATGGTTAACAGCCGTCAGAACTTTGCAGTGAAGGTTGCGGTTGGCGGGTTTAGCATGGGCGGCGCAACATCTTTGTACACTGCTGCTCATTCGGTTCTTGGGAAATACACGGATGGAAAGCCATTTACTAGAAAGATAGACGCAGTCATGTCTCTCAGTGGATGGCTTCCTGCTGGCAAGTAAGTTTTTTTTCACTCTCACAAGGCCAGTTTATGAGTTGTATAACACGTGCTGCTAGGTTGTTGCCAAAGCAAGTTGCTGAAACTCCAGACTGCTTGAAATTGGCCGCGGAGCTTCCAATTTTCATGGCTCATGGGAAAAGTAAGAAAAGTTTGGAGTTGGACCTTTTTCCTGGGCTTATGGGGCACTGCAGATGACTTCATCGTCTATCACAACTTCGGCGAAATGTCGGCGCGGGCACTGAAGGAGTGCGGGTTCAAGAACGTCACGTTTAAGTCTTACAGAGGGTAAGGCCCTTTGTTGTTTCTTTTAGTCCAGGAGTTTGATCGATCCCTCTGCATTACGTCAGGCTTGATCACTCGACGACACCAGAGGAGCTAGACGACCTTTGCGAGTGGATTAAACAAGAGCTCAGTGTCCCTGAAAAAGTATAGCAACGGGACATAGTTGTTGAGAGGTGGCCATGACCAGTTTCGCAACTAACTCGCCTATGGACGTGTTTCTGTAGTCGTGCGACGCGCGATCGTGACTGCACGACCGTAAAAGAGATGGCCACCATTTTCTATTATCTGCTTGCCTTGTCTTGGAATATATGTGCTTGAGTTTGTGCAGTAGTGTCATATGCCTGGGTTTGAGGGTGCAGTGCTGCTCCTCTTCTCGGTTTGCCTGTGTCTCTTTCTTCTGTTTATAAAGTCCTCGCTTGATTCGAAGCTGTTCTGGTGATTGTTGATTGACGTTTCCTGGAAACCATCACACAAGGAGGAGGGGCTAAGCATGGCCACCCTTAGTCTGTGTTTCATCATTTTGCAGCTTCTGTCTGTGGCTTTTGCAGCGGAGCCCAGCGCGTTCCAGAGAGTTGAGGTACTTTTCTTTGAATTCTAGTTTTCTCAAGTTGATACTTGAGTGATCTTCTTGTTTACAGGATCCTTACAAATGGATTAAGCTCCATGGATGGTTGATGTGGGGATCGTTTGGATTGTTGATACCACTCGGTACTTTGGTGGTTCGTTTCTCTCGCTGTGCTCGTCACAGCCGAGAAGCTGCCAGCGACAAAATTGCGATTGTCTTCTACGCTCATTTGATTATCCAGGTTTGTTTCTCATCTCTTTAATTAGTGCGTTCTCGAAAATGTAGTTTGTATCGTTTTGTAGTCGATCGCGCTTCTTGTCTCGGCCGGTGGTGCTGTCTTGTCGTTCAGGAAATTTTCCAACCAGTTCATGCACACTCATCAGAGACTTGGCTTGGCACTGTGGGCTGTGGCTTGGGTACAGCCATTTATCGGGATTATCCGTCCCCGGACGTAAGCTTGATCCACGTCTACTCTCCGTGATTTATCTGTTTTGCTTAACAGTGGTCAGACTGCTCGACCGGTGTGGTTCGTTCTTCATTGGCTACTGGGAACCACCACCATCATCCTGGGCTTTTACAACGTGTACAACGGTTTGAGAATCTACGAGATGATAACTCAGAAGAGCCAGAGAACTCTCAACATCCTGTTTTCGATCCAGATTGCCGTAATGGCCGTCATCTACCTCTTGCAAGACAAGTGGAACTACGTCAAGGAACAGAGCAGCAGTGGCTTCACGAAGGCCGCCATCGCTCCTCCAATGGTACGGCAGTACTCAGTTTCGTCTCATAGGAAGTACTACACGGCAGCATAGCAACAAAGAAAGTAAACGTGAATCGAGGTCTCTAAATTTTCCCTCTTATGGCCATTTGGCTTGATCTGGTGTGCTAGCTGACTCCTTGTCCGCCACAGATCTCTCGAGTTCATGAATCGAAATTCTGGACTTTCTGGTAAATCTTTTGCTTGGAAGATCAAAACAAAACGAAAGAGGCAAGCAAAGATATTTACGTGCTCTCACGAGCCTGTTTCTTTGCCTTGTCGGCAGTCTCTTCGGCGGATTGCTTCGCTTCCTCGCTCTTCCCGGCCAGAGTTTCTTTCATCCGGCGGAAAGGCTCCTTGGCACCTTCGATCGTCTCATGCAACTTCTCCTTGACGGCCTGCGTCGTCTCGCTCAGCTTGTGCTTCATACTCTCGGCCGTCCCCTCGGTAGTCTCCTTCGCCTTGGATCCCATCTCGCTAGCTTTCTCCTTGGTCTGTTCAGCTTTCACCTTGGCAGTCTCCTTCACCTCCCCAGTTCGCTCGGCAGCTTCTCCCGCCTTGCTCTTGACGCGCTCCTTGGCTTCCTCGCTCTTCTCCTTGGCAGACTCCTTCACTTCCGTGGCCTTCTGCGAGCCCGAACTCACAGTTTCCTTGGCCTTGCTCGTGGCCTTGTCCGTGGCTTCGCCGACCTTGGACTTGGTGGCCTCGGCTTTGCGCTTGGCTTCCTCGGCTGCTTTGCTAGCGGCGGACTTTGCCTCCTCCTTCTTCGCCTTGGCCTCCTCACTAACCTCGTCGGTTTTTTGCTTCATTCCCTGCTTTGCTTCCTCGGCCTTTTGCTCGGCATCGTTAACCTTGGTCTGTGCCTCGCTTGCGTATCCTCGCGTGCGGTAAGACTGGCTGGGATCCTGTTGGTTGCAGAGGCGATCGATCAATAAGGACCTACATTGCTCTAGGATCTGGAGGAAAAAACCAAAGAAAAGCTTACTTCTTCCGGAGGAACAGCGTAGACTCTCCTTGCCCGGGGGATGTTCGACGAGGCAACGTAGGAAGATCGCCTTTGAGTGGCGGGAGTGGCGAGCTTGACGCCGGAGAGCGCGAATCCACCCAGCTTCCACATTCTGTGACGGCTGCCGCTGCTCAAAACCGGACAAGATCCTGACGATGGCAAAAAAAGCGGTGAGCGAAACACAGCGGCGACAACCACCATACCACGAGAAGAGAGAGAGAGAGATCAAGCTAAACGAGGGTCTGAGAGTGCCTGATATTTGTAACCGATTGTTTGAGAGCCCGCAAGCATGCAAAGGCTGTCCACGTGGCGGACGCCCGGCGTGACAAGTTGCGAGCGAGAGCTTGCCCCACGCGTCGAAGAAACTGCTCTCTCTCAGAACGGACTTTCCGTTTCCAGCTCGGGTGGTAAAGGTGCTACGATCTCTAAACGCTGCAAGCGAAAAAATATATATAAGATTTTGAGATCTGTGGTCAACTATATGAACTTAAACCGTCTTGTTTCTACCTGGTTCGTCACAGGGTGATGGAACGTGAGCCGATGAGCATGCAAGTGATAACCACAGTCTCCAGGCAATGGATTTTCTGGTCTTTCATAGCCTCTGTTAGAAAACATGAGTGAGATCGGCAAGAGCAACGAGCGAAGGAGATCATACCCGTCCTCTGCGACACTCGCTTGTTCCAGGGTGCTCACAACCTGCGTTGAAGGTTGTCCACCGCGCACGTAAAGAGGATCGCCTGCGTTTTGAGATTCCAATCCGTTAGCGACAGCATCAGCAAAGGAGATTTTTTCGTAACTTACCGACCAAAGGGTGACCGATGCTTGCCAAATGAATCCGTATCTGGTGAGCACGTCCAGAGAATATCTCTACCTGCGAATGAAGACTCACTGAGACAAAGCGCAGGATGGATATAATCACCTCTACAACTGTGCTGTTTTCTTCCGTGTTCCGCTTCAGTGTTGTCACCTTGCTGTGAGAAAGTTTCCCTGCTTGCATCGGTAAATGAAGATCTGTTCTTATTTGGCAACGGCCCTTTCTTAGTTTCATACCTTTGGCAACGGCCATGTAAAGTCCTCCTCTAACCCCAGGATAATGAGCTCTCCCTATAGCTTGGTCAATAGAAATCTACACGGGAAAAAGAGGAATAAGTAATAGTTTCCTTCTTTTAATACTACTGTCACCTTATCATCTTGGACAATACCGCAGACCAGAGCCCTGTACACCTTCGACAACATCTCAAACCTGTCTTCATGAAAGGTCGCTTGTCATTTGCAATATTGAAATGGTTGAATGAAGCTAGCTTACCTTCTACACCTGAACGCAAAGTGGCGGAAGCTAGCTTCATTCCTAGGACACATCTGGCCTGATCGGACTTAGCGCATAGTAAAACTCCTGAGAAATGCAGGTATTTAAAAAATACAAATGTTTTAGTTAGAGAAGTAGCACACACATACACACCTGATGTTCCCCTTCCGAGCCGATGAACAGGTGTTGGATGATTTCTTTCTACTTGGTCTGTCACTCGCCACTGCAACTGCGACAGCACAGTTCTTTGCTGAAAGAGACCACCCGGTAGAACTTGCAAGCCCGATGGTTTATTAATCGCAAGCTACCATTTAGAAGCACTCAGATCCAGATCAATGAGAAAACCAAATACCACATTCCTACCAGATGCTCGTCTTCGTATAGTATTTCAAGCATGAATGGTGCGTTTGGTTCTTCCCAAGGGAACCTGTGGTACACCAGCGACGCGTTGTTCCTAAAAGAGAGATCGGAGAAGGAAACTATAAGAAAACCGGAGCTATGAAACTTCTACCTGATCAAGGCGTCCGGGGAAGTGACAACTTCTCCATTGATTTCAATCTACAACAAAATTCTAAGAAACAAACGACTGGAATCCAATACTACTCGTGAAAGTTACCTGTCCCTTAAGAATTCTTCTCAGCCAGCTGCAAGCCAAGAGCTCAATAAGTCCAAATCACATAAGAACATTCTAACTTTTACCCTTCTCTAGAAGCGGAGCTCTGGTATCTCGACGCGTAGTAATCCAAAACGCTTTCACCTGTGTTGTAAATGGGAACAAATGCGCTTTACTCTGCTAGCTTACCTTGCTGAGACGATGGAAGCCTGGCGATCTCGGCGTATCGTACGCCATCGTTCATCTCCGGCCATGGCACTCCAAACATAGCTCTCTCTCAAGAACCCTAACACCTCTAGAGACTCAAGAACGTTGTATTTTAGTGTTACAGACGCTTGGAGATGTACAAAGAAAGAGCAACGCGTTGAGCTTGCCCAGTAAAAAGTTTGACGCGCCCTCTATTTGTTTACTCTTCTCATCTTATGTGCGTTCTACCAAGCGACCACATCCCACTATCCCGGACAGCATTCTAGAACAAAAAACCGGAAAAATTAGAGAAAACCATAACCATTGGTAGCTTCACACCTGAGATTTTGGTGATGGAAACACGTTCCAAAATCGTAGCGTTTCATCTCCGGCACCTGTGACGATTGTCTGGAAGAGCAAGCAGATTGTCAGGAACTAAAAAAGAAGACTCTTCAAGGGAGAGAGCTTACTTGACCATCAGGAGACATGGAAAGGTATAAAACTCTGTATGTGTGCCCCGTGAGTGTTGTAAGCTAAAAGAGCAAGAACAGATGTCATCCCTCTTCGTCTGAGGCAAGTGACACTTACTTTTGTCATGGTCGGATATCTCCACACAATAATCTGGTTCTGAGAGTAGCCATGGGTGCTCACGAGCTCGTTCACGTTCTTCGACCACATGAGATTGCAGACCTTGTTTCCTTCGGCTTAGTAGACGCTCAAGAATTTCAGCAACTGTACCTGTCCACCCGTGTCTACACAATTGATGTGCGAGTTCGTCGACGTGTTCCAGAATCTTATGCATCGGTCGGCTGTTCCACCACCAGAGGTTAAAAGCCCGTGTTGATGTGGTGACCACGCGATAGCCTTCACTGCGGCTGTGTGCTCGCTAAACTTGCAAACCGGCTGTGTTGACAATTGGTTCCAGACAAAAAGCTACCATGGAAACCAAGAGAAACATTAGCTAAAGATCGGATGAAGCTCAAAATACCTGATTGTCGTTGCCACCGGAAGCTAGTTCTCTGTCGTCGAAGGACCATTTCAAGCCACAGACCTGCAGTCGATACGTAAGACAGAATACAACAAGAAGAACATCACAGAGCTTGCCTCAGATTTGTGACCACAAAGCTTGCTCGTATAATCCTCAGGCACTCTGACATCATGGTTGAGAATGTTGCGGTCCCTGCTTCCGGAAGATAGAGTCACCGAGTTCCATGCCAGAGTTCCAACTCGTGTCCGGTGTCCCTCCATAGTTCGCACTTTTTTACAGCGTATTGCATCCCAAATCTGGAAGAGGAGATAATAAAAGAATGTGAGATCATATTACATTTACCTGTACTTCTCCCGCATTGCTTCCAACCGCGAGATAAGTTCCACGGTGAGTCCACGCAACTGAGCACACAGAGTCATCATGTCCCAAGTCGCACAGTTTCGTGACCTGCAAGAACAGGAAAGCTTCGGTTACTTGGATCGTGCAAAGAAACAACAAAATGTAACACTAATCGACCTTGCTAGTCGAAGCACTCCACAGATAAACACAGTTCCCGAGTCCCACAGCCAAAACGTTATGTGCGGACCAATCCACCAGGTTCAAGTAGAAATCGTCTTGCAAGGCTGGCGCATCCAAAACCTGCCACCAACAAAGTGATTGTAAAGAGTTGGAACGAAGCAAAGCTTCATGAGAATGGTACCTTGAACGGGACTCTGGAAACTTTTCTTTGAAGCTTGACGGGACTGGACGAAGCTCCAGTCGTCCCAAAGTCCAGAGCACCAGGAGAGAGTGACTCCGATTTGTGGCATGGAGCCCCGGCAGCCCGGCTATCGCTCTTGAATCTCAGCAAGTTCCTGCTGGGACTGAGAGGAGACTTCGTCGAGTCCCTCACGCCCGCACTGACCAAGCTGTTCTTGTCGGGAGTTCCAGGGGAGAGGGGCCCTGCATCGCCTCCTAGAAGCTCAGAGCGCAAGAGCATTGAATACACTGCCACCCCTTCTTCCTTGGAGGCATCACTTCCCAGAGATGGCGAATTATCTAACAGAGCAAACCCGGCAAGGTTAGAGCTGGACCTGCTTGGAATGAAACGGTCACTATAGCTCATTCGCGTCGGTGAGGGCGTCGATCCTCCTCCTCCTCCTCCTGCTACAGCCGGATTAAGCACCGAGACTGCCCTGGAAATTTCTACTCGCAGCCTCTCCGCGGCCATGCCCGCCGGAAGATTGAGCCTCGTTCGCGATCTCGACCTATCCGGCTGCACTGCGGCATTCTCGACGCTCTCCATGGCCGCGCGAATCAATCAACCCCTAGATAGCTACCGGGAACGCTCGCGACGATGGTTCTTTCCTCCCGTTATTGCCTGGCATCCATCGGAGAGAGGATCAATCACCTAGAGGAAGGATCGGCGTGAATGGGAGACGCGATCGATGGCACAAGAGGGAGGCCCCTGGCGCCCTCGCGCGGTCTCCTCTCCAGCCTTTGCAGCATTGCTCCCCTAATTCCAGGGGTAGCAACGCCAGCGTGGCGGGAATGTTTGACGTGGCGTGTCCACATCAGCGAATTTCGTAACGTTGTATTCTTTGCTGGCACATCCCAACGGTAAAAATCGTTTCTAGGGCAAAAGGCTTTTCGTTTATAACATGGCAGGATATTCTCTGAAAGATGCTCCGCCAAGCACATGCCTACGAGCTATATTACCGACACACTACTGGAAGCAAAAAACAAAGCTATGAAAAGGGATGAAAGAGCTTCTACAACTTGTATTGATATATGGGTGAGATTGTTAGAGATGGCATTGCATCTTCCCTCGCTGGATCAAAAACAGATCCTTTCAGCGCGGGCTCACGGCGAATTTCATACCGCTTTGGCAGTGGAATCCGTTGCCCACGCCGCACGCGAAGTAGTGAGCCTTCTTCTGCTTCAACGTGAACTTGTAACCCGGCGTTCCCTTGCTGGGATCCGCCAGGAGAACAGCGCCGCTGAAGTCGCAGTTCTGGTAGTGGGCTTGATCCTTCATGAGAAACACATTGTGGGGCGCCGCTGCCTTGCCGGCCCTTCCACCGCCGTAGGAGAAAACTGACAAGTTGTACAACGATTGAATGATCGTGTCAGAGAAGAGCTTCGGGAGAACTTATAAAGAACTTGATCCAGATCTCAACGGGATCTAGCGAGAAGTACTCACCCAGTGTGTCGCCAATACGGAATGGCCCAGCGCCGGCAGCCCAAGAGGCATAGTTGGTCCCCAATGACCACTGGTTGCGTCCTCCCACCATCACCGATTTGGCGCTACACACATTGGCCACTGCGGCCAGGAGCAAGGCGATCGCGAAGCCAGAGACGAGGAATCGTGCCATGGGATCTTAGCTTGGAGCTTGGCTCGGAGAGAGAGGAGCAAAGATCTAGGTGGGGGCTCTGATACACAACAACAGAGTGTTGGAATTTACTTATATAGTCCCAAGACCCACGACTAGAAATCTATTTTTCTTCAAACGGGGTCAAACATTGTGGCCGAAAGATAGCATAAACCTCTGCTGCGCATGGCAAATTCTTTCTTTCTTTCCTGATCACTTCTCTTCTGTCGACATTTATGCGATTTCTTCGAGTCGCGCCGCAGTAATGATAGTTGGTTGATGACTTTGCCTTAAGCCACTTTAGACGGCGAAGATTGAAGGTTCTAATTTGACGGTGGAAGACCTCGCGGTGGAATTTAATGGCCGATGGAATGACGGCACATGCCGTCAGCGAACAGAATATGTTGTATATAGCTGCTATACTAAGCTAAAAGTCACTAAAAAAACTTAGCTCATCAAAATGGTCCGACTCCTTAGCATTACCATATCTCTTGGATCAACCCTTCACCGGCTACTTGTGATGCCTCCCTCCTTGATCAAACATGGAAACCATGTGAAGATACTATGCTTGGAGGAGAGGACAAAAATCGAGCAACATTCAATGTTCAACAATCACTAAATGGGGAGAGATGGCTTGTTAAATTGCAAGAGCAATACCTTCCATGGATATCTAATTGAGGAATTTAATCACTACCTCCAAACTGCTGAAGGCAGGACGTTTCTTGACAATTCTACTTCCAGACATCCATAGCAATTCCATTCTCCCAAGATCAAGGGAGGAAGATTTGAGATGGAATAGATTTTTCAGATTAACAGAGCACCACTTGCAAACTTGCAAATCTCTTGGCTCTTGGAAATAGCTAAAACTACAACCAGAGCATCATCCACATTTGCTATGGCCAAGCAGAGTTCTCCCATGGAAGCTGGATCATTAACCTTTTCAGAGATGAGCTGGCATTAGGCCCATGCAAAGACATACCTTTAACACTTAAACTTGTGGAGACCTCAATGTAAGATAGACCACAAGGATGGCTGGATTGTCTATATTTTCCAACCTCTCAAAAATCCTTGATCACCTTATTGTTAAAGGTTTTGGGGTAAGTGTTTTTTGGGTGACTTTCCAAATTCAGAAATAGTAATATATTAAATTCATAGATGCTTATATTACTCATAAAACAAAAAAAAAGGTGATATTTAGTTATTGATGGATCTTAGACAAGCTTCATAGATGTTTGTATTGCTAAATATTGTGTCAATTTAGGATAATATTTAATTATTAATAGATCTTAAATGAAAGAAAATAATGGATAAAGAAGTTACAGATGGATGCACTTAATTATATATTATAAATTTTTCTTTTCCAATTTGTGATCTTGCCTTGTTTATCCAACCACTATTACCTTGGCCTTAGTTAAGTTTCCTTTGCTAAAGTTCCCACCTATAGTATTAACTTCTATCTGGTCTTACTTAGTTTTACCTACTCACTATACGAACAATAGAGTGTTAACTATCCATCCATAAATTCCTAAATTTTTTCCCAATCCCCCACTCTAGCTTAGATTGAATATAAAGTTCAACTACACTCCCCACAAGCATAAATAGCCATGCATACTAAACCTCCAAATTTCTAACTTCCTTTGGTACAACAAAGCTTAATCATGGGACTTTTTAAATTTCAAACCTTAAATGCATTATACATCATTTGCTTCAGGACCCTAAGAGGAAATATTATGGCCCAACAGCCCGGTATGAATACTCTTACTCCCCCACTTCTATCCCAAAGGGAATGCCTAAACTTTTAATATGGGGTGAGGATCAATGAGTTGCATAATACTCATGTAGAACATTACTATAAGCGACTAAATTTTCCATTCTACTTTAGTTACTTAACCATACCTCCAACCATTTGGAGGAGTCTCACTCACAACCTCCATAAGTCCTATTTCAAACTTGGGCTTGCTAGCCCCAAGAATAGCATCCCCACCACTCAACCTTTGCACTTGATCCAAGTGCTCCACGTGTCTGATCCCATGACCGACACCCCAAAGTACCACCGACATATCAGCCCGTTACGCTAAAGCCATGCCCCTTTACCTTGGCCACACCGGTGGTCTAACACCACATACATCACAATCCCATCTCTCAAGGACTGGGCCATTCGTCCATGAGTGATCATTCCAGATCCACTCCTTAGCATTCTTAGGATGCCCACAAACATGGGGAATAGCCTTCCCCAAAAACCCTTTTCCGGTCTTCACCAAGTCCCTTTCTGCCCATGGCCATGTTCGCCAACACTGCCACTGGATCAAGGCCCACAGGCCTGACGACTAAGTCCTACGGTCCTCTAGGACTTCCTCACCACTCGACTGTATCTTTGGTCACTACACCAGAGGATTACTCCTCTTCCTTTCCACAGTCTAGGCCTTTGGGACAACATTTCGAAACACCGTGGCCCTACGCGGGCCTCATGGGTACTCTCCCTGCCTTCCGCCTTTGGGTGCTCTAGCCATAGGCTTATAGCGAGGTTCCGTTGAGCCACATCAGGTATCCAAGTAAGTAGTGCCACCCACACTTGGATTGGGAGCATCGACCATTCGATTTCCCGGGGGAACTAGAGCCGGCTCTTGAACACTTCACCAAGCTACCCCGTTTGTCGGTCCATATTCACTCTAGTCTTGGACTTCCCAGTGGTTAGTTCATCACCCAACACTGGGTATGGCCTTTCCTGGGCCAAACTGGCTCCACTGGGCTCCAACCCCCACACTCTCCCTACTATACTTTTGGAACCCCCCCCCCCCCCCCCCCCCGGGGGATGATCGCTTTGGGCTTTCACCCAACTGCCTGTATTAGTATTCAGACTCGGACTCGGTCTCGGTCTCGGTCTCGGTCTCAGTCTCGGTTCCATCTCGGACTCCATCTCGGGTCCATCTCGGACTCCATCTCAGACTCCATCTCGGGTCCATCTCGGACTCCATCTCGGGTCCATCTCGGACTCCATCTCGGGTCCATCTCGGACTCCATCTTGGACTCTATCTCGGGGCCCTCTCGGACTCCATCTCAGATCCCTCTCGGACTCCATCGCGGGTCCATCTTGGACTCCATCTCGGAATCCATCTCAGACTCCATCTCGGGTCCATCTCAGACTCCATCTCGGGTCCATCTCGAACTCTTCTATGTGTCATATGTTGGTCCTTTTTGGGTCCTTTTTTGGAGCCTTGCTTGTTGCTCGTTTCGTGCTCGTTCCTCAAGCACTTCGTTAGGAGTTCCATTCCCACTCTCGACCTTTTCAAGTCGGAGCTTTTTAGTCCAAACGTGTTACGCTCGTTTGGTTTTCGCTTCGGCCACCACCACATGGCACCCTTCTGGCTCTACTTTGGGGCCTAGGGATTTTGTGTCTCACAATTACTCCATGTGAGTTAGGAACATTGTAGTTGATTTCCCTCATAAGAGTGGGAATTGCTTTTGAGCACTTCCTTATGTGGCCTCTTTAACATTATCTAAGTCCATGCTCACTCCCACCTAAAACTCCTAACCCCTAGTTCTAACCTCAAATCAGTTTGAAAGCACTATTTGAGAATTCCTTCAAAATTAATTCCTAAACCTCACTAGCCCTACTATACTTTTGGAACCCTTTGCAGCACCCCCCCCACCCCCATTCCCATTTTTGATCGCTCTGGGCTTTCACCCCATGACTTATATTAGTATTCATGCTTGGTCTTGGACTCAATTTTGGATTAAATTTTGGACTTAGTCTCATACTCGATCTTGGTCTCTATCTTAAACTTGATCTTGGATCTTGGACTCAGTCTCAAAGTTAATCTCAGACTCAATCTCAAACTTAGTCTCATCCGATGACCTATTTATTATTCCAGTCATTGTCGCGAATGTGACTTCAGATATCAAAAACTACTGATCGGCTGGTCCTTACGGACACTCTTTCTTTACTGCCATGACGGTAGGAGGTTAGTATTGTTGGATCCTTTATCAGTCCCTCTTGTGCTAATGGAGTTAATTGGGCATTTCAAATGTACTTAAATCGGACGAGCATAAGGACGGAATTCCTACATGCTATTAGCTAAGTATATTTAGCCTGGTAAAGAGTTCCTATCTTGTTATATCTTGCACTAGCTAGTGATAAGAACCCTCACGTATTGAGATTAATCCCTCAGTATTGCTGGATGATAGCTTACCGTATCTACCAAACACCCTCTCTATCATGCCTTTTGTGTTAGTCTCATTTCAATCCCATACTATTTATGGAAAGTGTCTAAATTTGCTCATTTAGCATATCTGCAGAATGTAGAGATTGTTTTGAATATAAAGGTATTCATCCCATGTCCAAATTTGCAATCTAAAAACATTCCATATTTAATAAGTTTTGAGTTTGTCCCAAAGACTAACTCTTAGTACTAAGGGAGGCTTGGGGTGAAAACCCAAAGCATGTATTCCTCACAGAGGGGGCTATAAAGGGTTCAAAATGTATAGTAGAAATAGTAGGTAAGTTAGGCATAGTTAACCAATCTAAGATATAGTTCAGCTTTTGTTTGCATGCTTGTTTTTGTTCTGCATCCGACTTGAGTTTAAACCCAAGTTCCATACCATGTTAGTTGGTGAAGTACCCATGTCTTTGTATTAAGCCACTGATATGTTGAAATAGCCACAAATTTCGTTTGGCTCTGTTTTACGTGCTGGTCTTAACATTGGGATGTTGGATGTTCTAAAATTGTTCCAAGTCACTTCATGTTTTTATCCCTTCTCTTCTTGAGTTGTATACTTAGGAGTTGTTCCATTGTTTAGTTTTGTCACTCCTTGGCTCCATGCTTAGAAGTTTAGCTTTGTACCTTTGTTCAATGGCCCAAGGCTTTGAAACTCAGGTTCCACACCACTGTCCTTTGGACACGTGGCATGTGACATGTGGCACATGAGGGGTTTAGGTTCTGCTTCGTGATTATCCTATGGTAAATCACCACAAAATAAAGGGTAAAAACCACATGTGCTACAGTCATGGTTTCAAGGATTATTTAGGAAGATTTACTAGAAAAATAAAATGTTACATATTGCTATAATGATTTTGTTATGTTATTGTAAAGAATCAGTTCCTTGAGGTGTTGTAGGCTATTTATGAATATTAAAATAACATAATATTTGCCAAGGAACTTCTTTTTCAAATTCCCCTATTAAATACCACTTAAGCCTTAGCCATTATACTTCATGTAAAAATTCATAACAAAATTGTTTAATATTTATGTTTCCAAAAGAGGTCATGTTTCAAAGCATTATCTAACATTATTTAAGCAGAGAAAGAATATAAATGTGTTATATGCTAAATGCTACTCTTACAACAAAAAGAAAAACATTCTTAAATGCTATGATAAGGTTAAAAAGTGTTTGTTATGATGGACACTAGGCATATTCTACAAGATAAAGCTTTATTTCTCATTCATGAGTTTGTATTTATAAATAATATTAAGTTTATTTGTGTATTTACATTAAGTTTTATTTCTTTCTGATAAAATATCAATGTATCACAAAATTATCTTAGAGGAATAATTCAAGTTATATTGAGCACTTGATATATGTGGGTAGACATGTGAAGAGGCATATAGCACCACCAAAAGAATATATATATTAAATATTATTTATCTATATAAGGGAAGTAGAAGTAGTAGTGGCATATTAAAAATCCTTATAAATTATCCCACTTGGAGAAAACATTTTGTGATCACTATCAAAAGAAAAAACTAAAAGTCATTTCTAGAGTGTGCCATCACAAATAAGAAGAATGAAAATTATAAAGGAGATAGTAGCATGGTTACATGAAGATTTAACAACAATTGAATCTACAAATCCACTTCACATAATTTTCAAAATTAAATCAACAATAAAGTTGGGTATATAGAACTGTAAAGATATTTGAGTTTTAGTATGCAAGCATGTTTATGCTTTGCATGATATCACAAAAAAAGATTTGCCATCATTGATTTTATACGCTAATTTACACAGCCCAAGAAAGTCACATAATTTCAGAATTAAATGTCTTTAAACTAAATGTCAATAAAGTATATTTGAAAATGCAAAGAAAAATGTGAAAATAAATAATTGAAAAAACATGATCTATTAGTAATTTGAATGGAAAACCAAAATAAATTGGTGGCAAAACAAACATAGGGTTTTTTGGGTGGTGGAAGCGATGATTGGGGCAGTGTTCAACTGGTTCGGGGGCAGCCGGTTCGCCCAGTGGGAACTCGTTGATGCGAGAGGCCCGGCAGAAGCTCGAAAGCTGGTAAGGTTTCCGCTTTTTGTTGTTCACATTATAAAGAGCTATCTTGCAGCATGGAGCAGCCGTTGTGGACACTAGATTGTATGTTGTTGGAGGCGAGCTGCTAGGCGAGGGATTGTGGGGTCGTTATACAAACGATGTGCAGGTAGCGTTTTGGGCTTGCCTGCCTGTTTTGCTGATGCTCGGTTTTTGAAGGTTTTGGATTTGGGACAACTGGAATGGTCCAGTGCTCCGCCTTTACCGGTTTCGTGCGCGGGGCATAGCTTGGTGGGTTTCTTCTTTACACTATTTTGTGCCTCATACATGGACTTTCCAGATTGTATCCGACAAGACACTCATCGCTCTCGTTGGGATCCCATCAGATGTGAAGTTGCGTGGTATGTTTGGTTTATTTGCTTTTTTACTCTTGGCTTTACTAGTTTTTGGCAGTTTATAAAATGGACACCACCCTCGCAACTGGCTGGTCACTTTTAGCCACGTCAGGAGAAGCTCCGGTAGGACGATTTTCCTTTCTTTTCGTTTTGTTACTGAGGGACTATTAAAGGTTGCAACACGCGGTCACTCTGCTAGCATGATTGATAACAAAATATGGGTGTTCGGTGGCGAAAATTTTCGCGGTGACTTATGCAATGGAATGCACATCCTCGATTTGAACAGCAACAAGTGGGAGGCGGTTAATTCAAGGTTCGGAGCCTCTATTGTCTTTGCATTGTTTTTATTGATGTATTCCCTCAGCGGGTGTGTTCCATGTCCCCGTTCATTTCACGGGGTTGCTGTGAGTAATGGCGGTCTTGTGTACCTCTTTGGTGGCCGTATAGCGTCCGGTTTCTGCCAGGACGTTTATGTTCTGGACCCTAAAGACGTAAGTCATGCTTATCTTAGGACGAGGAGAATTAACGTAGAACTCTTGCAGCGGCACTGGTCCCCGTGTTCTCATATGCTTAAACCGGTGGCATGTTTTGGAAATGCTGTGGTTGGAGACGAATGCTACTTCGTAGGCGGTGTGTATTTTCTTTCTATCTGTGGCTCTATTCACTGGTGTTTGTATCAGGCAAACAAGAAACGTTTCTCTTCAACATGAAAACACTTAACTGGACACTCGTGGCTGTGGAACCACGTCTCGCTACCGAGGTAAGCTTTGTCACTTTGGTGTTGTTCTAGTGTGCGAGTCGTAGTGCAGGGCCTGACTCTAGTGCACGCAAGAATGAATAGTCAAGACACTCTGATAGCCTTGTGGGGTGCGGAGGTACGTATATGCCCATATAGCCTGACTTCTTGAGTTTTTTTCCCTCTGCAGTTCGGTGTTTTCATGATGAAGACTATGTCGTCCTACCGTGTGCCACTGAAAGCAGGCACTGGATTGATCCATGTCAGGGAAGCAGATGGGTCAGTCCTTGGCGTGTTCAGTGCTCCCGATGTGGGAAAGCCGGCAGTGGAGATTATCCAAGCTCTCCACTGGCAAACAGGTCAGACTGGCGGTTTGATGAGAGCTATCACGAAAGTTGGCGTCACCGGTAGCGATCTTTTGTATCCGGGGGAGGAACTAATCTTTTGTGCTCCAAGCATCCTCGGCAGTGGTCAGCTTGATCTTAATCTACAGTCCATGAATGTCAAGGAGTGCGAGAAATTCCTTTCCCAGATGAAGATCAAGGTGATTAGTGGACAGGGATGGTTAGAGCCTTCCACGACTATACAGGCGGAGGCCTTTAGCTGGAAACCGGGGACGAGAAAGGCGATGATCGACAGAATATTTGAGTACCTAGATAACGTGAATGTTCTATATCAATGGTCGATGATGGGCTACCAACGTGGCAAAGTCGAGAAGATATCAAGCTCCTCTCCTTTCCCGTACAAGCTCACATTTCAGCTTCCTCTAGAGCTCAGGTACTACTACCTTGGCGATCTTGTCGCGGTGGCCCTGTGGGTGGAGCAGGAGATCAACGATAATGGCGTGTGGAAGGCTCTGGTTTCGTTGCTAGCCTTGAACATCAAGAACCATACACTCAAGCCATGGATGGTGATTACAGACCTGAAGGAAGAGTGGCACTTTGCTTGGATGGACGGGGCATGTATGTTTGTGTGCAAAGCCAGGGGCAGGTATGAAGGACTCGGCATCCTTTATGACTTGCATCACGATTATGACAAGACACATATCAATGAGGACCGTGGTCCGTTTTCAAGTCTGCCTACTGTCTTCACACGGGATAGTATTGGATTAACTTGTGATACTAGCCACAAGGAGGTGTATCCCGTTGTTTTTCCCAGGGCCACAAAAGATGGTGAGGCTTTGGTTCCCTTCTGGTTCCCGCCAGTTGAAGACCTTTACGGGGTTTATGAAGATGATGAAGGTGTTGAAGATGATGAAGATGTTGGAGACGATGAAGGTGTTGACGATGATGAAGACGTTGGAGACGATGAAGACTTTGAAAATGAGGATGATGATCAAGACAACAAAGATGAACCAACAGCTTCTGCCTGTTTTGATTTCCAGTAAGTAGTTGCTTTCCTAATCTCGTCCTGGCACTGTTCGTCAGCTGGCCATCCACAGTATAGTAGAACTCTCGTCACTGAGCATCACCAGAATGCTTCGAGCTCGGACCTGTCCACCTCTACCAGATCCAAAGAAAAAACCACTAAGAAAGAACGCATAATCAGCCTGGGTGGTTTCTTGGCTTACCTGGCTGCGCTATACTCCAGAATGCAACGTTGGCCTAAACTACCCAACAGTCGTGCCCGCACAGCCGCTGTTGCTCTTACTTGTGGAGCAGTGGACAAAAATCTTCTGTATGCAATGTCGTAAGCTTGCTCCATAATTCATTCTATACTGTTTACAAAGTCTCGGAGCGCCCCCCAAGTAATGAAGCTCGCTGCAAAGGCCCCGCCGACTCAGTTCATATGATAAGATTAAAGGACAGCGAAGCCAAAATGGAAAAGGTCGTTTACACTGTCAGAGAGATGGACGGCTGCCAATTATGTTGAGACCACAAGAATAGGACCAAGAGAAGAGAGAATCGGCCATAGCCGAGCTGAGGGAGAGAGAACGGAGAACGAAGATGAGAGAGCATAAAATAATCTGCCTTAGCCTCCCGCTACCACGGCCCATAACACAACGCACGGCCGCGAGTGGCAAGGGGGAATTCAGTCCTTCAGCTTACGACACTGCTCTCTTCCCGAGTTCCCGGAGGTCATGGGGTGATGATCATCATTTGTAACTCTATGACAGAGTGTTATCCACACTCTCTTGCCTGGTCATGCTCAAGCTCTGGGACATTCCAAATGAATCACTTTGGAAAAAATATTCGTTTGGTTCACCAATTTTTTCAGCTTAGAAGGTTTGTATGATTAACATTGTTATATGATTTGCAAGCTTTAGAAGCACTGTTATTCACAAGGGACAAATAACTAGTCTTGATAGACTCCATTCTACTCCCACCATGTTCCTATGCTCCTTGCAAGCTGCCTTTAAGCTTGAAGGCCCTCCAAGGAGACACTTGTCCAGCCAAATGTGCCTTTATGAGGCCTTGTAGGGTGCCGGGTGGCTTGGGTGTTGGGAATGCACAAGATTGTTCTTGGACACGAAAAGCCTACCATTTTATTATTATTTATATGGTGGCATTTCTCACACATTCATCTAAGATATAAGATAATATTAATATGCTTCTCTGTATTTATGTTATTTTCGAATAATGAGTTGTTTAAGTTATTATTACTAGCAACTAATATACTAACTACTTGCTATGGCAACTCATTATTATACGAAAGCTTGCTGCATGAATATGATATTTCGGACAGCAATTAAAAGCTTGATTCTCTCCAAAATATTATATACATCAATTTATAAAATTTAGAAATAACACTTTCTTTTTTGTTTTCATATATACATTATCTTTCAAGAATTTTATAATACCAGTCTTGTTATGGCTAAAATGGCTTCTAAAGTAAATCATAATCTTTCTTGGAATTCATCCACAAATACCTTTAAGCAATTTTAAGTTTTTCTAGCTATGGCAACTCATTTTTGGCAGCAAGTTGCTGCTTCTCCAACTGCCTGTTTATAGTAATTTATCTAAATTTTACTAATGAATTTAGTTTGTTTGCTCACATAACTCATTTAAGTTGTGCATTTCTTACAAAGTATGAGTTTTTCAAGAGTTATTTCTTTAGTCAAGGTTAAATTAAAGTATGCATTGACAAAGATGTCAATCTTTTTAAGAGGTGAAGTTTATTATGAATATGTGAAAGTTATCTATGGGGTTACTATAAAAGGTTTCAAATGTATAATAATGGGTAGGTTATGTTAATCTAAGACATTATTTAACACATAGTTCTTGTTTTGTATTTGGCTATCGACGGTGTGGCAAGATGCTTCCGGAAATTTGCATCTTCTTGCCATCCAAGTGACTGTCAATGACGAGAAGCACCAGGCCAGCGCAGAGGAATTTATGTCTTTCAACAGCATCATAAATTGGATACCGGAGGAGCACCTAAGCAAATGGGAGTTGCATTTTGTCTTCCTTTAGCCTGAGTATTTATATCCTTGAGTTTAACCATTAGTATATTGAAAATAATACCAGATTCTATTTGATTCTATTTTAAGTTTTAACGTTGTTTTTTTTCGCTCTTTAGCTGTATAATTAAGAATTTAATTTTGCCTTTTTTTTCAATGGCCCAAGGCTTTGAAACTCAAATTTCATTTTTTTCCCCTTCCACTCCATAGTTATTTTATAATAATTTATCATAATGGTGAAAACCTGTATTACATTATGTTTAATCACAAAATTATCAACACAAGATCACTACCTCTAACAAATTGGGATCAAATGCTCTAATCATCACTCCTTTCTCACTATTTGACAAAAATGCTTCTGTGTGCAAAACCTTATAGCATAATGCATTGATTGGTGCACACTTTTTACAAAATCCTCTCAATTTATGTACGCACAATGACACATAAATTATATGTAATGAATTTGTCATATATATGGATATTTCATATGGTAATATACTACCTATATTTAAATACATAAGATTACTGTGAGTGAATTTATGGTTTTGTCACAAATATTCACTCCAAACTCACTCTCTGATAGTCGCTTGATTCCCACATGACTCCAATGACTTAAGAAGAACTTTAGGTTTCGGGGTGGTTATGTTCTTTTAATTTCTATATCACTGCAACATCAGTACTAGGAATGTTCAACAAGATGGCTGCTGCTTCTACTTCTACGATTTACTATCTATAGGAAGGAAGAATAATAAAAGCGTTCAATTGTGTGAAGTCAGTTGGTGCCCTGATATTCAAAAGACAGAAGCTGCTGCAGGACTTGGTGTTTATGGTAGGCGAGCCACAATGACTGATGACTGAGCTCATTTCAGCTGCTTACATTTGCCTGACATGGCAAGCATGGACGCTTTGCTTTGGGAAGCAGCTGTAGCACAAAGAAAGTACGAAACTTGCTGTCTGATGCGCACTCCCTACCAGGTTACCATTCCTGCATCGCTTGGCGAGTGCACAAAGGAGTGGATGTCCTTCGTGATTAATCATCCGGATGCTGCTGAATCTTGCAAGAAATCAGATGTGGAAGCTTTCGGTGTTTCACCGCATGCGGAACAACCCCATATCAGAGCCTACATGGTGGTGCCAGAGTTCCATTTGTGTCTGAGAGCAAAGCAATGGTGTTCGAGAAGCTGGTATCTCCGAGTCAAATGCTGGTCCTTGTGTTCTGTCTAGAGATGATCCCTGACTCCAAGTAACGTAATTCATGAAAAGTTGCATAGAAACGAGGAATGCCTTCTACAGTTTAGTCAGATCACTTAACCTCGAAGCAGTCAAGAGTGCATATGCCAGTGTCACGACGAGCAGCCATGAGAGGGATCATGCACAGTGCAGGTTTTTATGTAACCTTTTAATCCATGCCCTTGGGAAGCTGGGTGCCTTGGACGAAGCCAAGGAGGTTTTCTTGCAGATAAGACACCCAAATGTCTTCTCGTGGAACATTTATATCCGGTGCTGTGTCGATAATGGGCTCTTTGATGAAGCGAAAGAAGCCTTTCACCGTTGTAGCTCAAGAGATGTCGTCACCTGGACCACCGTCTTCCAGGCGTATGCCCACAATGGGCATACTCACGAGGCAAGGCTCTTGTTTGATAAGATGCCACAATTTGATCTCATATCGTGGAACGCAATGTTGAGTGTCTTGGCAGATGCTGGACAAGCGTCGGAGGCAAAATACCTTTTTGATATCTTTCCAGAGCGCTCGGTGGTGTCGTGGAACTTGATACTGCAAGCGTATGCCGCGAAAGGACAACTTGAAGAAGCGAAAAGAATCTTCTATCTCATCCCTGTCACTGATGTGATCTCGTGGACGACGATGGCTTCTTCGTTTGCACAAAGCGGTAAGCTACAAACATCCCAAGAACTCTTTGAGGAGATGCCAGAGAAGAACTCAGTCACTTGGAATGCAATGCTTTCAGCTTATGCCCAAACCGGACAGATGGAGAAAGCCAAGATGGTCTTCGAGGAAATGCCCGAGAGGAGCTCCTTGTCTTGGGCTTCGATGCTGCAAAGCTACGCTCGGAAAGCTCTTGCGATAGAAGCCGCGTCCTTGTTCCAGAAAATCCCACAACGGACCTTGGTCGTGTTCACGCTCATGCTCGAAGCTTATGCTCAATCTGGAAATCTCGACGAGGTAAAGAGGAGCTTCGACTCAATGCCACAGCAAAACTTAGCAGCCTTCACGATCCTTGTCTCGGCCTACGCTCGCTGCGGTCGTGTCGCAGACGCTCAGGAGTTCTTCCACGCCATGCCTCAGTGGGACACAGTCGTGCTGAACGTGATGATCGAAGCCTTCGCCAGCAGCAGGATGATGAGCGAGGCCAGGAGCATCTTCGACGGCATGGAAACTCGAGACCGCGTGACTTGGACGGCGGTGATCGTGGGATACGCTCGCTGTGGACTCCTCCAAGAAAGCCGGAGCTTGTTCGAGAGGATCCCCGACGCTGACACCGTTTGCTGGGGAGCCATCATCGCGGCTTACTGCCACAGTGGGCTGGTCCAGGATGCTCTGGAGCTCTTTCACTCGATGAATCTCCATGGCGTCCAAGCCAGCGAGGTGGTCTTCTTGAGCGTTCTCAGCTCCTGCAGCCATGGAGGGTTAGTCCGCCAAGGCCTCGGCTATTTTCTGTCGATGGAGGCGGACTTTGGCGTGGTAGCGTCGAGAGACCACTACGTTTGCGTCGTCGATCTTCTGAGCAGGGCTGGACTGCTGGGTGACGCGCAAGACGTGGTAACACAGATGCCTTTCTCACCCGATGAGATTGCCTGGAGAACACTGCTCGGTGCATGCAGCACACACAGTGACGAGGAGATGGGAGCCAAAGCAGCAAACCAGTCTGTGACGCTGGGATCGGGTGATCCAGCTCCATACGTGTTAGTCTCAAACATATATCAACTAGTTTAGTTGAAAGCATACTGTTCTTCTTCAATAATTAAAACGTAGCTCAAAAAATCAACAAGCGCGTACCCGTGTTTTTCCGAGCTTTTCTTCTCCTCCTCTGACGTACCCGCCACAAGCTCAGTGTCAGAATGAATCCTACGCGGAGAAGAACACATCAAAACCATTCACGGGATTTTTCTCATCTCCTTACCTGTTATACACAAAAGCAGAGGGACGAACCAGTGAACTGCGACAAGCACTGGGGACTCCAACTGCAGCATAAACTTGTTAGAAGGCCGAGCAAAAAGAGAGAGATAGTGGAGCTCTAACCTCATCACGCGTCCAGAAAACTGGTAAGATCGCCACATGACCGGTTTGATTCCGCGCAGTCTTACCGATCGCGTAATGCCTCTGATGTCGATCATCCAGCATGGTACTCTGCTTTTTGGCCAAGGACAAGTTTGCAGGCCTGGTACCTTCCGAGCTCAAGTTGATACTGTTGTCCATTGGCTGGCGTTGTGGCAGCGACCTGTGTAAGCGTCTGTCCCTGTTACCATCGTACACTGCTTGCCGGATGCTAGTCGGAGCGTCACTGCCACACTGCATCTTGTGGCCGAGCACCAGTGAATAACCCGTGAGATTTACGTCGGGTCTGCGTAACGGCAGATGAGTGTCCGGCCCGCCGAGGGGCGAGGAAAGCTCGTTGGAAGAGGAGAATAGTGCCGGATCATAGACGTTGTCGCTGGTAAAGTCCAGGAGCTTTCTCAGGAGCCAGTAGCAGTTTGTTACCATGTGACTGCTGTCTAAACAGTTTGAATCGCCATAAACAGCTAGGCGTCCATTCCCAGCCGTCACAGCTCCAAGCACTGGTGACTCTACCTGCAAAATCAAGCACGTGATCAATGCTTGTAATGGAAAGAAGATGCTCCCTTACCTGCGTTCGGATAGAAGACCTCGATGTAGCTGTACTGACGGCTTTGTTTGCAGCAGAATTGTCTTGCAAAGTGAACCTGTGTATAAACCCCCCAGCAGGAAACTTGCGAATATCTGTACCCGAAGCGTAGTGAGACCGCTCCCCTGCTAAGGAAAAGGCTCCGTTCAAGATGCTATCCCCGAAAGCTATACCAAATGGTGCAAGCAGGTCGTTCAAGGCAGGAACATTTGCACCACCGGTGGCAGGAGTCCACCAGCTTCGAGTGTTGTCGTCAAAGAACTTCATTTTGACAATGGTATCCACGTGATACCAGTCCGCAAAGACTATCACCCCCAGGCCATGCCTCTCCACGTCATCTTGAAGCTTGTCAATCTCTTCCGGGTAAAACTCGTCCTCCAGGTCGACCATCAACAAAGTTCCATAGTTCCTGGCCTCGAAGCAAGTTAATGGAGATCCCAATGTCTCGAGATAGTAGCCGGCATCTCTCAATGCGTCGAACATGGCATGGAAGTTTGTATGAAGATGGTCCGCGTGCCAGTCAAGAATGTCATTCCGGACGTCCAATGAATCTCGCGGTATATAACCTGGCGGATAGCGTATACTGTGAAACTGATCCCAGAGGATCCTTCTGGCCCTTGGTGGAGTGGGAATCACTGGAACTCTAACGGGTAGCACAACGGAGCTTCTTCTCGACTGGTTCTCGCCTTTCGCTGGCGGAGAGACGACCGTGAAAGTGATGTTTCCTTCCGCTACACCAGTAAAACTGGCACCATCTTCTGTCACCTCTAAGTAGATGCCCAAGTATCCTGTCCACGGCCAAATCACCGTCGAGTGCGTCACCCGAACGTTGAGCAGTTGCCCGTTCTGTCCGGGGATCCATATAGGAAGCGACTCCAGGTAGCCTATCACACCCATGCCGTTTAGAATGGTCGCATTGAACATCGTTGGCATTGCGTCAGCGTAAAGCGGTTGCCTACAGAACGGCCATGCGTAATTGCAGCTTGTAAAGTCGAGGATGGCCGGCATCACACTGGCACGGGGACGGTAATTGACAAGAATTTCGTAAGAGTCCAGCCTGTGCATTCTCACGTTAGTACATGAAAACTCGGGAGCGCAAGAAAGACACCTTACAAGTTCAAACGGCCAGCACCTTGTTCATACATGTTGGGACCATTTAAACGAGTTGCACCCTCCACAAGCGCTTGTTTCATGCTTGCCGGATTCAAGATACTCCACCGGACGCTCTCAGGAACAACGCTAGCCAAAAGGCATACGGCACCCGCAACAACGGGACTCGCGACACTTGTTCCGGACAGGCTCTTACAGCCGCTAGTTATTTTGGATCCAAAAACATCGCGTCCGTAGGCCACGATATCGGGCTTGATGCGCCCGTACCTGGAACCGAAAAACTTGAAGTTATATTGTTCATATGGATTAGTGACCACATACCCATGAGGAATTTCCCAGGTGCTCATTCCGCGAGATGAGAAGGACGAAATATGGTCGTTGTGATCGATCCCTCCAACACCAATCACGTCGTTTTGATCAGCAGGATTGTTCAGAGTTCCGTAGAGGGGCCCATCGTTTCCAATGGCTGATACCATAATAATGTTGTTGGCTGTGAGTTCCCATACCTGTTGACAGTGTCAGTAAACAAGCAGAAGATATTTCTAAAGTTTCTCGAAGACCTTTTCAACGAATGGACGATCCAGATAGTCGGGGCCACCAATACTGAGGTTGAGAATATTCATCCTTGTAGCAATGGCGTAGTTGAAGGCATCCAAGAACCATGAGGTGTAAGAGACCTGGAAGCACACTGCGGGCACTGCGTCACCTTTGAAGTTTTAGAGGAAAATCCAACCTGCGCGTCAGTGAAGACACGAAAAGCGTATATTTCAGCATCGGGTGCAAAGCCGAGGCATTGCGGATCTTGGCTGGAGATGACACCGGCAACAAACGTTCCATGGCCGAGATTGTCATTCAGAGTGTCCTCGTTTGTCCAGTTTGTTCTTTCCTGTTGTACGCTATATAAACAGGTGTAAAACAAAAAGAGATGCGTACCTTAATGTCTCGAAAATGTGGATGATCCGACCTCACACCGGTATCAAAAACTGCCATCTTGACTTTGGCTCCGGTAAATCCCTTCGCCCAGAGCTTCTCAGCTCCAAACATGGATGTTATTTGAGACCTCTGCCCCATCAAAATCCAAATGAGCGACCGGCAGAAAAGAGAGATGGAGAACTCCCCTACCTGGATGAGAAGGTGACGCTTGCTGAGCGTCACATTACCAAGAAGTGGTTCCTCTTCTTGCTCATCGTGGCTGAAACCAGTGCGAAGTCGTCCAGGAGGCTTCCCTTCGGCCAGAGGAGAGCGCGTGAAACGCATCTGAGGAGAGACATCCAAGACGAAGCTCACTCGCCGGAGATGCTGCTCCAATCCGGGAGCAAACCCATCCTCGACCCGAACAAGACCGAAATCCGTGGGGAATGCGGCCGCGGGGTTGTTCCGATCGATCCATTCCCATCCGGACACGCCGTGGAGCGCCTCCAGCAGCGCTCGCTTGTGGATCGACGCATGCCTGTACTCCCGGAACCTGACAATCAGCTCGCTCGACACATTACCCGTGATCCGGAGTTGGCGATCGTCGAGGGCATCGCACAGATTGGCGACGGCAGCTGGGCGGATCTGGAGAAGCGACGCCAGCGCCAGGGCCAGCGCCAGCAGCGAGAGCGCCTTCATTCCCCCGCTACCCTACTACCCACATTCCTAGGGTTTTGACAAGAGTTGGAGAAAATCTCTAGTCTAGATCCAAACCAACGCGTAATTTGGAAGGCGGAAGTACGATTGACCCTGTGCAGCCTCACCCACCGGATCAAGCACGGCGTCTGGAGATGACCAAGAGGCCAGGATCTCACGTTCTAGGTCAGCCCCGAGTTTGCAGGAGAGCTTCTTTCTTTTGTTTGGTTCCTCGGAGTTGATGGTTGAATGGATGGATTTGAATTGAATCGTCCAAGTCCATAATTGGAGGCTTCAAACATTACCAATGTCCATGCATGGGTAATGCAATGCAATTGTTGACTTTATAACCCTTGGCTCCAAGTTAGACCGCGCAACCACGGCGCACGGTCCACCGCGCCATTCCAGGGCACGCAGCGCAGCAAAAGCAATGGGCTGCCTGGGATTCTCCAGAGGCAGCGCCAAGAACAGGAAGAACAAGAAGATCAAGCGAGGCGACGAAGATGCGAGCGTGTGGCCAATGCCAGCGGCGGCTCCACCACCAGATCGATCCCCGAATCATGCCCGTCGCAGCAGCAGCGTCCGGCGGCCGCACCCATTGCCAGCGCCGACGGATTTCTCCGCCCGTGGCCGCTCGCCTCCCCAGCCATTGCCGCCGGTGCCATCGATCTCCAGCTCTTGGAGCGCGCGCGACAGCCGGCTCCGCCGATTCGAGTTCGAGCGCCTGGCTCGGCTGTGCAATCACTTCGCGCCTCGATCCCAGCTGCGGGAATCCGTGCACCGGTGCTTCCTCGAGCAGGAAGAGATAGCGGTGGACGTTCTTGTTCTCCATTCCTGCGGGTCGAGCGAGGTAAGCTCCGATTTCCAAGTCTTGGGGAGAGGGTTTCTGATCGCGCCGCCGCCGGGTATCGCAGGAGGAATGGATCGAGCAGCTGCATCGCGTGGCCCAGCTGGAGCATCGCAATGTGTGCCGGATCATCGGCTTCTCGCTGGCCAATTCGCGGCGGCTGGTGGTGTTCGAGGCGTCCGAGACGAGCGCGGGCTTGGACGAGCTGCTGCTGCTACCATCAGCGTCGGATCACAATCGAGGAGGGCGCGTCCAGAGGATGGATTTCAATTGGGACGCCAGGCTCAAGATCGCCCTGGCAGCCGCGCAGGGCCTGGCGTTTCTCCATCAATCCTCCCCCTTCCAGGTTAGTGGTAGTCATGATCTCTCTCTCTCTCTCTCTCTCTCTCTCGATCTGGATTTCGTCCAGACGCCGACCAGACACACAGATCTAAGAGCTTTCTTCTTATCTCTTGCTCAGGCGTCGCGATTTGGCCCCTCGAATGTCCTGGTGGACAAGATCGGCAAGAACAAGCACGAGGTCAAGCTCCAGCTCCTACTCAGCGAGGAGAGCTGCGACGCCTCCAAGGCCGGCAACGTGACCGCCTACGGGATCTTGCTCCTGGAGCTTGTGAGCGGCAAGACCAACATGGCGAGGCTCATCCTGGGCGGCGGGCGTGGCGGATCCCAGCAGGGCCTGTTCGTCAAGTGGGCGAGGGGCGTGGTGAATGACAGCAGCAAGCTGGGCAGCATCCTGGATCCCAGGCTGCTGCATTGCAATCCACTGTCGGCGGCCAGAGATCTCGCCAACTTCGCGCTCAGCTGCCTCCACGACGATCCCCGCCTCCGGCCCCGGATGCCGCAGGCCGTGTCGCTCCTCCAGTCGCTCATCACCATGCGGGATATGCAGCAGTCGAGCAAGATGACCGCGCGGACGGCCTCGTCCACTTCTTCGTCCGGCTCACCTTCCTCGGCTGCAAATCCCGTGCACCAGCACCAGCAGTTCTTGGGGCGGAGCGCCACTTTCAGCCACCACCAAGCTGCCCGGAGGAGAGATATGACGCCGCCGCCGCCGCGGATGAGCACAGACCTGGATCAGCACGACTGGCGAGCGCACGTCCCTCGATCCGCTGGCGCCTCGCCAGCACGGTACACCACTGCATCCTACTACTGATCGAATCGCGATTCGACACGAAATGTACAAAGCTAGGAAATAGAATGGATGTAAGCATCATTTGCCAAGAACGGGCAAATTCTTCCTTTTGCGAAGGAAGAACATATACCCATGTTGGGTACCACACAAATCACGAAGAGAGAGAGAGAGAGAGTCCAAAGCTTGCTTGCTCCCTTATTACTACTACAAACTCTCGATCTGATGGCTCTTGGTCTCCTACGTAGAAAGAAACCAAAAAGAAAAAAGGGAAAAAAATACCATCTAGCTAACAAGATACAGTTCTTCGCTAAGAAAAATGTCAGGCGTTTCTCTTGCTTCGTCTCTGCTCTTTACTTACCTTGCTTCACATCGTCGTACTCGGCCTCGGCAGTCTCCCCACCTGGCGCTGATCCACCTCCGCTCGGCGGTGCTTGCTTTGACAGCGTCTCGCCGATCTTCATCGCAGCAGTCTGGGTAGCACTGATCTTTTGCCTGATCTGGTCCACCTTTTCGCTCTCCACAGCCTTTTTGAGATCCGCCACAGCGCTCTGGATGGCGGTCACAACGTCCGAAGGCAGCTTGTCTTTGTGCTCGTTGAGGCTCTTCTCGGTCGAGTAGATCGCAGAGTCGGCATCGTTCTTGGCGTCGATGAGCTCCTTCCGCTCCTTGTCTTTCTGCGAGTAGATCTCCGCCTCCTTCACCATCTTCTCGATGTCGGACTCGGTCAGGCCTCCAGACGACTGAATGGTGATTGCCTGCTCCTTGCCGGTAGACTTATCCCTCGCTGATACGTTCACAATGCCGTTGGCGTCAATGTCAAAGGTGACTTCGATCTGAGGCACCCCACGCGGTGCCGGAGGAATACCAACGAGGTCAAACTGCCCCAGCATCTTGTTGTCCGTTGCCATCTCCCGTTCTCCCTGGAGAACCTTGACACCGACCTGCGTCTGACCATCGGCTGCTGTCGAGAAAACCTGGCTCTTCTTGGTTGGAATGGTGGTGTTCCTCGGAATGAGCCTCGTGAACACTCCTCCCAAAGTCTCGATACCCAGGGACAGTGGCGTAACATCCAGGAGAAGGATGTCCTTCACATCGCCTCGCAAAACTCCACCCTGAATGGCGGCTCCCATTGCCACCACCTCGTCGGGGTTGACGCCCTTGCACGGATCCTTGCCGAAGATGTTGAGCACAACTTCCTGAACCTTGGGCATCCGGGTCATGCCTCCCACGAGCAAAACCTCGTCCACCTGCTTGGCAGTGATACCGGCATCCTTCAGGCAGTCCTTGCACGGCTGCTTCGTCTTCTCGATCAGGTTGCTCACGAGCGCCTCGAACTTAGAGCGAGTCAAGGTGAGGTTCAAATGCTTAGCGCCCGAAGCATCGGCTGTGATGAAAGGCAGGTTGATCTCTGTCTGTGTCGTAGAAGAAAGCTCCACTTTCGCCTTCTCTGCTGCCTCGCGAAGCCGTTGAAGGGCTAACCTGTCACTGGAGAGATCAATCCCCTGGTCCTTCTTGAACTCAGCCAGTAAGTGCTCCACGAGAGTGTTGTCGAAGTCCTCCCCTCCCAAGAAGGTGTCCCCGTTTGTAGCTTTAACCTGAAAGAGCGTCGTCATACACGGAGAAAACAAAGAGAAAGAAAGTTTTACCTCGAACACACCGCCAGAGATCTCAAGGATCGAAATGTCGAAAGTTCCACCACCAAGGTCGAAGACCGCGATGAGGCCCTCCTTCTTGTCCATGCCGTAAGACAGAGAAGCTGCTGTAGGCTCGTTGATAATCCTGGCAACCTCCAAGCCAGCAATCCTTCCAGCATCCTTAGTTGCCTGCCTTTGGGCGTCATTGAAATAAGCTGGCACAGTGATGACAGCCTTGGTCACGGGGCGACCAAGGAAGGCCTCAGCAGTTTCCTTCATCTTCATCAACACGAAAGCACCAATCTGACTGGGCGAGTACTTCTGTCCGCCAGCTTCCACCCAGGCATCGCCGTTTGGAGCCTTTACGATCTTGTAAGGAACCATTTTCATCTCCTTCTGAGTTTGAGGGTCATCAAACTGGCGACCGATGAGCCTCTTCGAACCGAAGATGGTATTTGTCGGGTTGGTGACCGCTTGACGCTTCGCAGGAGTGCCGACCAGACGCTCGCCTTTGGGCGTGAAGGCCACAACCGAGGGTGTAGTTCGAGCGCCCTCAGAATTTTCTATCACCCGAGGAGTCTAGAAGTGAAGAGAAAAAAAATCGTCATAACAAGCACGAAAAAAGAGAAATGTGATAGTTACCTTGCCCTCCATCACAGAAACGCAAGAATTCGTTGTGCCCAAATCGATACCGATGACATCCCCTCCAGCAGCTTTGCTACAACAACACCAAGCAGCCATTCTCGATTTTAGCCCAAACCAAAAAGCAAGACAAGATCAATTCGAGAGCCTCACCTGTAGTTTCTAGACCATCTCGAAAGCAGTGGAGACGTTGTGAGCCTGTGAGCCGCCTATGCAAAGAAAAAAATAGGAAAAATGGAGTCAAGAAACAAGAATCGCGGCCGATGATCCAAGCACCGAATAGAATACCTGGCTGGAGCCCGAGGCCTGCACGGCTCGCTTGGCAATTCTCGCCAACATCGACATAGCCTTGCAAGCGCCTATACCCTAGAAAACCCGCCGGAGAGAAGACCCTAAATGGTTTAAAACCCTAAACCCTTAGCCGACTTACGTGGAACATTCTAGAAACCCTAGAGATTTTTAACAGAACAAGTGGGCAAAATCTGACCGTCGATCTGACCCGACACAGATTACCAGTCATTAAGATAGTTATATAAGTAAAGAGAGTTTAGCCGCGAGGAGGGGCCATGCTCGAGTTGTTCCCGATGGTGGACTGGAAAAATTCCAGGACGTGGGGATAGACGTCGACGTTGGCATTGATGCCGAGGACAAAGTCGGCGTGTGCGTAGCGCGGGAGGAAGAGAACTTCGACGCTGGTCCTGTGGAGGTCGCGGATGAGGTGCTGCACGTCGGCTTGGTCCGCTAGCTCGTCTCGCCCGCCATAGACAAGGAGCATGGGAATGCTCACTGGGATCGTCGACAGAGAGTACGAGGGAGGTATGAGCACCCCGTAGTGGTCGATGTTTCCCGGGACCTGGAAGTCGAACTTCGCGAACCGTCCCGATCGAACAACTGGTGGAAAGACGGATAGATGTTTAGGATTGAATTGGGAAGCACGAAAGCTTACGCTGAGCAAGGTGTGCGAGGTTTCTCATGGAGGTTGACTGCATCTCGTACATGTTGTAGTAGCTCATTCTACTCACGTTGACGCAGCAGTTTGGACCTTGAAAACCAGGAGAACAATCGAAAGTTTATGCGAAGAGCCAAAGTACCTGTGAAAAGAGTAAGCAGATCGTCGATGCAATCAAGGTTTGATTGTCTACAGATGATGTTAAGAACTTGTCGTCCAGCAGCACTAGGCAAGGAGAAAAACAAAATAAGTCAGCTCACATTAGAAGCCCAACGCTTACTTTGACAGGCTGAATTCGCTGATCCCCGATCGAAGCAATACCTGCGAAACAAGAACTTCTTTGTCCAAACAAAACTCTAAACTCAAGACTCACTTGATCCAATCGGCGTCGAGCAGCCTCTCCGATCATCGGTGCTCGGACATGGTTGAGGTACGCAATGGGAGCTAGCATTGCGGCCCTTTCGATAAGGCTCGCTGCTTTGTTCCCAGACTGAGACAAGGCGGCGAATGCGACTTGTGTCCCCTGTGAGTAGCCAACAAAGAAGATCCTTTTGTCGGTCAGAGTGTTCACGTAAGTTAGCAACGCTGGTAAGTCGTGGACGACGAGTTCGTCCATGCTCCAATCCCAGAACCTCTGCACGCATACAATCGATCGTCATCGTGATATCATTATCTAAGCACGAGTTCTACCGTATCCGCTCGCGAGAACAAGTTGTGAGAGCTGAACATGGAGGCACGTCCATTGCCAATGAAAACATCGTAGCCCGCGTCCGCCATGATAAAAGCTAGCGATTCATCAGGCGGGTTGAGCACCCAGATGTCGCCACCCTGCAAGAAATGGACGAATTAACGAATGCGTGGAGACCAAGGATACAAGAACCTCCATAATCCCGTGGTAGAGGAACACAGGACCCAGCGTCGGCGTGGTACAGTTCTTCGCGACTCTCTCGAGCGCCAGCTTATAGCCATCGGCAGTTTCAACCTGCATTCCAAGGTAAGTACGCGCAAAAGCGTGGAGAGTTCCTTACGATGTACTCGGTGCACTGGTAAGCCTCTGGCAAGACGAAACTGGTGCAAACCCCCAGGCCTCTAGGATTTGCAACTCCGAGTGCATTGTGCGCAGCAAGAAGAACCAAAGCTACGATAGCAAGCCTGAGAGATACCATGGCCAGGCAGCAGCGAGCTTCGTTCCCATTGCTCGGTTGGTTACACCTTTATATATTACCCCTGCAAGCATACCATCTGCATTGGTTTTTTCTAATCCAATTAGTAAAACAAAGTGTCTCACACCTAGGCGGCTTCCCTTCTAGAAATGAAATCACTTACAAAACACCGGTTTTGAAAGTGTCAAGCTCCAAGATGACCCTTTCTTTTCCAACGAGTTTGCCGGCTGCTTGGCGCCAAGAAACACATCACGCTCTTTGTCACCTACTAGCACCATTGGCATGCTGGCTGCCACAAGGATGGCTCAAATCAGACGTGTTTGATATCAAACCTCTACAAGCACTCCCGTCTCGAATATGTTTTTCCCAACAAGCTACGGCTTCTTTTTTCTAAAGAAACTTTTCCTCCAGTTGTTAGCCGGTGGTTTCTGCAGCTCCTCAATGATGGTCAACACCTGAATATACAAAAGCAGTTTCAACATGACAACGAGAACTGAAACATCGTACTTCACTAAACTCGGGTCGTAGCTGTGGATCTTGATTCCAACACCTCTCAGCGAGATTAACGAGCTTATCAGGGACGAACGCAGGCATTGATGGCCGCAGCTCCCTGAAACGAAAAAGCATGGGTTGCCGAATCTCAATCATAGAAAATCCGGCCACCTTTGCACCACGCCTATAGCCGCTTGAAGTGGTGTTAAATCGGAATAAGGTATATCACCTGTAAGAAGTTCCCTGAAAAACAGATGTTTGCGCAGTGTTCTGTACAAAGTGCCTTGTTACCAGATCATGATGCCGAAAGAGTAGACATCGGTCTTGTGATCGTACGCTTTGTGTTCCAGCACCTGTAACTGATTTTAAGCAATCGAAAACTGCGAGCGAACGGACCTCAGGTGACATCCAGCGATATGTGCCAGTTTCAGCAGTCATTTCGGCAGGCCAGTTCCCAGAGCCAGAACGATTTACATTCGAAGGCTTCAGTCGGGCAACACCAAAATCGCAAACTTTGACCACCTACATAAATAAATCAAATCAGGACCAAGACTCAAACAAATCAACTGGCTTACATCGTGCTCGTCAATAAGCAAGTTTGCAGACTTCAAATCCCGATGCACGATTCCTCTTCTGCATGAACAAGTGTCATTTGAGCGCAGTGATAGAAAAGACAAACCTATGCAAGAAATCCATTCCCTTTGCCGCATCTCGAAGCACCTTAAGTGCGGCAGGAACCTCAAGGCCGCCCTCCCGACTTTCAAGAACATCTCGCACACTAAAGAATCGTGATTAACCTCTGAGGCCAAAGAAAGCTCCTCACCTGCCACCGGCCATTAGCTCAGTCACAATGCACAGTCTTGGCCAGTTCGCACAGGCTCCAATAAACTGAACAAGATTCTTGTGCCGAACCATTCTGTGGGGAATCTAGAGGCATTACGTTAACCATTACACGACCATCAAGTACCTCATTATTGAAACCTCTTGCTTAAAAACTTGAAGAAGCTCGGCAGCTGGAGCACCACGCAGTGTGCCAGAGTCCGAATGACCATCCGCTTCGTCGAGCATGATCACTTTGATGGCCACGTCTTGGCCACGGTACTTCCCACGATATAGTCTTCCAGAAGAGCCACCTCCTAGCCTAGCGCCAATATGCAGCTAAACATTGCGAACGGATAATCAAGATAGATGTTATGAGCAAAAACAATCTACTGAACCTCACATTGTTGTAGTCCACAGCCCAGTCCTCATAAGCTAAGCTTTCGACAACTTCTCTAAGTCGTGCCCTTTCAGTGAAGTTGGAGCTCAATGCCGTCAAAACGGCTTGCTTTAGTTCTTCTGGCTGCCACACACAAAACAACAAGAGATATAGGAAAGGCACAAAACAAAACTCACATCATCCCCTATCCAGCCGTCAACAACAAAAACTTCGAGTGCCATTCCATCAGTCGTGCTGAAAACATGTGCTTCCTGGAAACGAGACAGTCTTACGAGACAGTTTTACGCATTTGAAAGATGAACAGCCAACCTTGATATTCAGCTCGAGCGAGGAGTTACTCAAAGCTGACGTGAAGAACTTCAGCAATCCATGCCTGTCCGAAGAAGCCAGAGTCAGTTCGTATCCATAGCACGACCTGCAGCCACCACTCCGCTCTTCTGTTTCCAAAGAAGCAAACATGGGACGAGGAATCGCCGCCGGAGGTGTACTGCCGATTCCAAACGACGGATGAACTTTAGCCGGGCTTCCAGCGATAATCCCCGCAAGATTAGTGCTGGAACCAAACGCTGGCTTGGGTAACTTCGACATGGCAGCAAGCCAACTGTAGCTAGAACCCACATGATTGCAAGCAGCATCGGTGTCCAAGCCGCCCCCCAGCTGAACTTTGCGAGCATTTACGACCGGAAGAGAAGGTGCTTCCACGGAATTAACTCGAGAGCTGATTTCTTCATCCCGTGCTTGCTGGATGAGCTTCATATGAAGCAGGACATCCTCATGCCGCTCCACATCAATGTTGAGCGTGTATCTGCAACAAGAAAACACACCAAAGTCACATTCGATTTGGCAACAAGCTGGTGATTTACCGTGATGGAAGACGCGCAAAGTGCTCCCTGAGCTCGTTGCAAACTCCATCACTGTATCCCGAGGCTCTGACACGGCCGACCACCTGATTGACAACAGCTTCGCACTGCAATTCGCTGGATAGTGCCATGCTGCCTGTCACCCATCTGTGTCCCTCATCCAAATACCGATCTCTGTGACCCTAACCTAGCAGGTCAACTCGTACATAGGCAATTTATTGGAGTAAAAAAGTTACAGGAATAGGAAATTCACAGTCTTATCTGACGGGAGAGAAGCCCAGCCGACTGCTTTGCCGCTGAAACAACGGAGATGTTGCTCCACTTGCATGCCGCGCAAGCTTGCGCTTCTCTTCTGCAGACACAAATCAACACTTAATGCCAATGACTTTAAACACGTGTCATATTACCCCTCTTCATTTCGAGCTCTTGCTGGAGCTCCTCCTTCCACTGCCTTTGCCTGTCGCAGAAGCTACTGCAAGGGTATTTCAGTGTCAGGGTCAAACATACTAAAAACGAAGGGGTGAAACGTACCTGGAGTTGCGAATGGATGGTGGAAAATCCTGTCCGTTTAGTCTGACCTCGAGCAGTGGATTGAAATTCGCCGCGGGACCAGGTGCGGGAGCAGCACTGTCTGAGCTGACACTTGCATCACTTTCACAACTGTTTCTCACGTACGTAGACCTCTCACTGAAACTGCTCCCTTTGCTTGGGGACCTACTAGCTGTAGGTGGCCTCAGCCTTGCGGGACTCAACGGTGCAACGAAACTCGAGTTTGGCTCCTCACTGCTACCTTTGTAGAGGCTGTATTCTTCGTAGAGTGGAGTTTGCAACTTTGCCAGTTCCGATGCCTGCGCCAAGAAAGCCTTCAGAACATGGAATCAACCTTTTGCTCTACCTTCGCCTCCAAAAAAGCTTTGATTTTTGACTCTGTAACGTCATCGTCGTCAGTATGGCTCGAAGGACCGACTGGATCCGCAGAATTGCTGCGACCAAGTGTCCAACAGGCGCCTTCCACGTATGAAGGCTCCGACACCGGGTTGAAGCTTGGACATATCTTCAAGTCGAAACACAAAGTCATTAACGAAACATTCTACGTCGTGGCAAACCTCGTCGTTTGATAAGCTCGCACAGGGAGAGTCTAGCCTCACTGAACAATTGAGATCATCTACGAATGATTTTCTTAACTGACAATCATCAACCGTTGGTATAAATTTGGGCGCCATGGCATTACTGTCGTACGTTTCTGAAACAAAAGGGTGCTGGCAAGAACATATGAGAACATGGCATAATCAAAGCACACACACCTTAAGAAGCTCTGCAGCTGTTGGTCTCAGTCGTGGCTCCCTGCACCAAAAAGAACAGCAATGAGCATGCATTTTCAGATGGGTAGTACCTTTGAAGACATTTTAAAAGAAAACTTTTTGCATCAGGGGATAGATGTTCTGGAATAGGAGGATGCGACTTGGTTGTACCGATGTGGAACAAGGCAGCCACCTAATATAAAATCCAGATAGACGAGTTCTCTCTTTGAAACAAATGACGAGAGCATACCTCTTGAAACTGATCACTCCACGGCGGCTTGCCTGTTGCCATCTCAATGACAGTGCAACCCACACTCCATATGTCTGCTTGCCTGATAAGACGATACATACGAAAAAAACTTGAAAAGCCCAGACGAGAAAAAGCAGAGGCCTACCAATTGTGACCAGTCTGCCTGACAACTTCGGGGGCCATCCAGTACGGGGTCCCTTTCATGGACTTTGCTTCCGAAATGGTTGCCTGCGTCGAAACGTAATCATGAAAGGGCCAAATCAAAAAGGTATTCAACGCCTACCAGCTCAAGAACTTTTTTCGATGCTCCAAAATCTGCTACCTTTATGTGGCCCTGGTTGTCTACCAATATATTTGCTCCCTGCATGAATGAAAGTAAGAAAAATACCCTTCATCTAAATCACTCACTTTACCTTGATATCTCGGTGCATTATTTTATTCTGATGAAGGTATTCAAGCCCCAAGAGCAACTGCCTAGTATACATACGAATCACGGGTTCTGTGAAGGAACCAAACTTCCCAAGAAGCGACGAAATAGATCCACCGGGAACAAATTCAAGAAAGATGTTGAGCGCCTCCTCCTCCCTGGCGGTTCCTAAGTACCTCTGCCACACATCTTGATCATCAAATTCAACCGCCACCGGAGACACTTACAACTATGTTGGGGTGTGACAAGTTTTGGAGCAGCTTCACCTCCTCTTCCAGCTCCCGGATGTGAGCACTGAGCTGGGCCTTGCCCTTGGCGAAGTTGCTGGCCGCGATCAAGACCTAGACAAGGCAATGCATCGGGAGCTCGAAATGCAGCTCAAAACCTGCGAGGGAAACGCACCTGCTTGACCGCGATGAGCTCGCCGGAGTCGAGGTTCATCCCCATGTAGACGCGGCCGTAGGCGCCGACGCCGATGAGCTCGCCCTTGCGCCATCGGATGGCGCGGGGGCTTGTCGACTGCTCGCCCATGGCGCCCGCGCTTCTTCCCCTTCCTCTCCCCGCGATACCCTAGACGCCTGGCATATTCCCCGCACCCTCTACTGTGCGGCGCTTTCAAAATTTGCCAAGCGCGGCAACGGGTCCCTTTTTCCCGGCCGTATGGTACGCGTATAAAAATGGGTGCCTTTCATTTCTATGTATAAAAAAGTATTCAACAAAGCAGTTGAAACTTTTTAGGGTTCTCAAGCCATGGAAGAGGGATGCGGGGGCGTGGGAGCCGACGCGACCCGGCGCCCGCGCTCGGATCGAGCATTCTCCGCGAATTTGACGCTCGCATTGTGCATGCCCTGCTCCTTCTCGGCTTTGGTCCACTCGGATGTGTAGTAGTGCTCTTCGGTGACCTCGCCGGATGCCGGGAAGAGCGCGCCGCCCCACTGCGGGAAGTAGACGAGCAGCACTGGCATCGTGCACGCCAAGCTCATCACACCCATGAGCGAGATCCCCTTTTGCGTGGAGTACTGGTTGCTGGTGAAGAAGATGAGCTGCGTGAGCACCGCGCCAACGTTGCCGCCGGCGCCGGTGAGGCCGGAGATGACGCCCAGCGATCGGTGCGACACGAAAGGGATGATGCCGAAGGTGCAGCCACAGGCACCCTGGAGGAAGAGCGAGAAGAGGATCATGACGCCGATTGAGGGGCCTAGGCTTCCAACCAGGCCGAGGACGATGCACAGCACTGCTCCCGTGGATTGCATCAACCACAGCGCCCACAGCCTCCCCCGCATTCCAAAGCGGCGGGCGACGACGTCGGACAGGATCCCGCCCAGCGGCCGCGCGAAGAGGTTGGCCATGCCGAAGGTGGAGGCGACAATGCCCGCGGTGTGGAGGTCGAGGCCGAAGCGATCGTAGAAGTACTCGGCGATGATGTTGTCCACCGTCAGCTCCACGCCGAAGCTGTAGCCGTAGAGCAGCGCGAAGATCCACGTCCGGTAGTTCCTGATCGCGTTGACAAACACCTGGATAGGTTGATACACTCAAGTGAGCTTCCAAGCCGATCGATCAGAGAAGATCCAACTCCATACCTTGGAGAATGCATCCTTGTTCTTCTTGCCCGTCTCCTTGAGCAGCGCGTAGTTGCCATCCGGGAGGTCCTGGCCGAGGGTGAGCACCATCAGGCCCATGAAGATGTGGAAGAAGCCCGGGACGAAGAAGGCGATCCTCCAGGCGATGAACTTGTCCGACCCCATGGATTGGATGGCCCTGAAGACGAGCGGCATGATGAGCTGCGTGGCTCCGCCGCCCAGATTGCCCCACCCGGCAGCGGTGCCGTTTGCGGATCCCACGATCTTGCTGTTGAACATGGAGCTCATCCAAAACTGGCACGACACGAAGGTGGCGAGGCCGAAGCCGATGAAGAAGCGCGCGAGGATGAATCCGGTGGCCGACGAGACGAGGCTCATGGAGAAGACGGCGGGGGCGGTCATCATAATCACGAAGGCGCAGCCATAACGCGGGCCGACGAGATCGCACACCGGCCCCATGGCGAACCTGGAGACGATGGCGCCCGTCACGGACGCGATTCCGGCCCTGCCCACGTCCAGCTTGGTGAGCCCCAGGTTGTCGCGGATGATCGGGAGGAGCGGCGGCGCCGCGAAGGTGGAGGTGAAGCAAGTGAAGAAGGCGATCCACGAGAGGTGGAAGGTTCTCATGTGTGGGTTGGCCAGCGAGAAGATGTTGAACACCTTGGATTTGTGCTCCGAGTCGACGGGCAGCGCGAATTTCTTGGCGGCGGGGTCGGCTATCGGCGATGGCGCCTCCACCGAGAAGGCGAAGGCCTGCTCCTTGCCCGTCACCCCGTGCATCGACACGCCCGGATCGCCGGCTGCGTCCACGCCAATCCCCGACGTGCTCTGCTCCGCCATGGCTCCTCTCCTGCTGCTCCTCCCTTTTGGAAGAACTTCTTTCTTCTGCGCTTGATTGGAACTTGGAACTCGGACGCTAATCCCCTGCTGCCAGATTACTGAGAATCTAGGCCTTATAAAGCTGCCACGATTTGGAAAAGATCTCCTGTCCCTCTCTCTGCTCCAGCCCGCTTGGCAGCGGACAAGGGGTAGTCCGTATCTCCGCCCCCTCGCCTCTTCACAAGGGAGTGGAGTCGAGACTGTTGACTTTGGGGTGTAAAACACGACCCTTGCCAGTTTGAAGCAGCTGGTCAACGGCCCCGCTTTCGTCTTTGGGTCTCGCTTTGGCCGTTGACTCGTGGCCTTGCTCCCTGTTTGGAGGCGTTCCCCAAGGCCCGCAAGAGTTATCATTCTTTTTTTGCCTGGCAGATCGTGTCACATTGGGTTTTGCGTATGGGATGTTTAATTTACAAAAAGTCAGCAACAGCTTGTGCTGGGCGCGGGACGAGAGTAACTTGTTTTCTGGGGCGCCGAAAGTCTGTTTTATTTGCCGAGGACGTCGGTGGGCAGCAGCATGTCACTCTGCGCGTTGATGGATTTGATTGGCGGCAATCGTATCTTTTGGAGGTCGCCTTGATGCGCCAGCCCGGCCTTGGCTAGCACCATTTGGTTGAGGAGCATTGCCTCGTCCGACTTGAGAGAGGCTAGCACGTCCGCGGGCACCTCCTCCTCGGCGGAAACACCCAAAATTGTCCGCAGGAGCTTGTTCTCTTGCTTGAGGCTGGATATATCCTTTTGAAGTTGCAATATCACCTGGAAAAGAAGAATGAATGATCCATTTGTTTTCTGGGCCTGGCTAAAGCTCGGTACCTTGTCTTTCTCGTCCATATTCACAGTGGGTATGTTGATGATCTTCTTCGTGCACGTTGCGTAATGTAGCGTGCTTAGCGTCTCGTCGACCGCAGTCACTGCCGGAGAGATGCAAGCGATCATGAGAGCTAAGCTGTTGCCTCCCAAGCTCTCCATGAGCAGCTTGGTCAGCATGCTCTCCCTGGCGAGCACAACGAGCATTGTCATGTCAGTCTCTTAACTTTGACAACAAGCACACACTGCTGGAAAACGCGAGGAGAGACCTGTAAGGAACGACATCGCCTTTCTTACCCTCCGCCAAGCAAGAAATCACCTGGCAATGTTGTTCAGGAGTTTGAACGAATGTGGGGATAGATATCGTTTACCTTCCCCAGAGTGAAAAGAGACCTGTTTATGCTCCCGGTTTCCTTGAGCATCTCTCCAGAGCTCTTGCTCTTTTTCAGGCGTTCGTTCCCGGCCAAATCCACAAACAATATCCTCCCCAGTTTCGTAACAGGCGGGCCATCGTCCATATGGCACAGAGAATCGACATGAAGCGTCATGATACAGTGACTTCTGCTGCTGTCCTTGTTTAGATTGTGCGTTCCCATCTGCAAACAGCAATCTAACGTTAGACAGTTGAAAGAAACAAAGAAACTGGAAAGCCACCTTTCGGTTCTTGGCTCCTTCGTTAAGCACCGAAAACACGTCGTCCACGGATTCACACTCGACAAGCAGCAAGCTCTCTACGTAGTATCCACTTTTTACGTTCCACTTGATCTCTCGCGGTGCTGATTCAAGTCGAAGCAGATCATTCACCTGTGGCTCAACAAGAGAATGCCTCAGCGACATGCGTGTTTAAGCAAAGAACCTGCTCGTTGTAAATCTCGTAGTAAGAAGCGCGCATCGTATACGACTTGGAAGCATCCCGGTCGGCCTCCAGCTTGATCGCACTGAAGAGATACTTGACTGATCGGGCAATCAAGCCATCATCGCAGCCTACTTCTACTCCACCCTGTGCACGTATAAAATACGCAACAAGAAGAGACGAGAGCTCTTACCTCGCTGCAAAGTGATCAAACTCAATGTCAAGGTGGTGGTTTCCTGACCTCTTGTCGACCGCACATTGTGTACGTCTTGCCGGATCCGGTTTGGCCGCAAGCCATGACAGTGGACGTGTAGCCTTCCATGACGGACTCGAGCATTCTTTGCAGTCCACAACGCTCCATAACTTGGTCTTGCAACACCTCGGGCCCAAGGCAGCCATCGAACTAATAGACAAAGAGGATTCTTGAGGCGGGGCACAAAACAACGAGAATAGTTCTTGCCTGGAAGGTTCTTATTGTCGTCGTGTTGCCATAGCCTTGATCCACAACCTATGTTGAGTAGGAGTATGAGACACCAAGTACAAAACGTTTCATTCGATCCTACTCTGATCTGTCTATCCTCCACGACCTCAGCGACAATCTTATCCCTCCTCCCATCCTCAGCTTTGGACGGCGGCCGGACCCGGACGAAAACCTCGATGTTCTTCGCTTTTGCTGCCAGATTTTCGGAAAGATTTCAAAAGCCGTGGAAGCCCGCGCGATCGCGCGAGCCGCATTGCTTACCAGATCCGCCAGTGCCTGGTGACATCGCCGCGAGAGTGCGCGATGGCGCTCTGTTACATGGTAACCCTGTTTGTGCTCTTCTCCGTTAAGCGTTTCCTTGCTTTCGTCTGACAGCTAGCAAACGAGACGGCTTTCGCACACGCCCCCAGTTTCGCAAAATAAAAACAGTTGTTGCGGGGGGCGGGAGATTAAAGCCACAATTACAACTAATTAATAGCCTTAGCTACTCTACTATCTTGGACCCGAGAGTTCCACCGCGTGTAGATTATCCGTGGAGTCGACAATCCACTCGGAGTTTCCATGCGACACGAGCTCGACTTCCTGGCTTCGGACAACTTCCACCTTTTGCCATTCTTCCCATCTCTCCGCCAGGCCGTCGCCTTCGAGCATTCTTACGACCTCGGCCATCTTGGGCCTGTCCATTGGAGAGCCTTGTGTGCATAGAAGTGCCACCTGAATGAGCTGCTCGACTTCCATGGGATCGTACTCGTTTTTCAAGTCGGGATCCACTAAAAGGTCCACCTTTCGCTCTCTTAGCAGTCCTTTCACCTGAAGCGAGTTGAGACCAAAGCATGACTTAATCGCAAGAAAGACACACTGGTGAGATACGTACCCAGTCGAGAAGCATCACGTCGTCATCGTTGGCGAGGCGAGCGAGATCAAACGCTCGTTGTCCAGTGATGAGTTCCAGTAACATGATCCCGAAACCAAACACGTCCGTTTTCTCTGACGACTTCCCCGTGGATAAGTACTCGGGAGCGATATGGCCGATCGTGCCTCGGACTGCTGTTGTGACGTGCGTGTCTTTGTAGTCCATGAGCTTGGCCAGGCCAAAGTCCCCCACCACAGCTTCGTATTCCTCATCCAGCAAGATGTTTGCTGCTTTGACGTCGCGATGGATAATTTTGGGATCACAGTGGTCGTGAAGATATGACAAACCACGCGCCGCACCTAGAGCTATGCATTTTCTCGTTGGCCAGTCCAGTGGTGTATCTCCCGGAAGTCTCTCTGCAACGCTTTCAGCGTTATAGTCCATGACACAAGAATGACCACCATTTGCATACCTCGTAACCGGGAAGCAACGCTTCCGTTGGGCATGTATGGATAAACAAGAAGTCTTTCCGTTGGTGTCATGCAAAAACCACGCAAACGGAGAAGATTTCTGTGTACAGCCATACTTATCATCTCGACTTCAGTCTGGAACTGCAACTCACCACCTGGACTTCGTTCTTCCTTCAATCTTTTAACAGCTACCAGAGATCCATCTGCCAGCCTGCCTTTGTACACTTTTCCAAACCCACCCCGACCAAGGATGTTCCGGTTGTTGAAGTTATCTGTCGCGACCTGAAGTTCTCGGAGTGAGAATCTCTTCAACTGACCAAGGTGAACTTCGGGATCCTCTTCAGCTGTCACAGAAGTCGTTAGCAGGTTCAGCACGAGTATGGCCAGCTCTTACCTGGGACATCGAAGTAGGCCTCGTGCGGTCTGCGACGTTTCCACCACGCAAAAGCGATAGCTGGAGTTGCAAAAAGCAAGGCAGCGCTGGCAGCCACACCTCCAGCAATGGCACCGGTGCTCGAGGATCCCCCATTATTTCCTGAAGCCATTCAGACTGTTTGAAACACCCGACTCTCCAGCCAATTAACACCTTACCATTTTGATTGCCAACAAAAGGTGAGGGTGGCTGGTAGGGAGTCGGAGGTGGCAATGGGGGCCCTCCTGGACATTGACGGCTGACAACAGCACCACACAATGCCGGATTACCTCCAAAACTGTACGATAACGAGTTATGAGGAGAGACAGCCAAAAAGAATGTCCGCCAAAAGTACCTTATCGGCGTGAACAGCGAAAAGGAGCCATTAGTTGGAACTGGACCTGACAAATTGTTATTCGAGAGATCCCTGCAAGGACAAGAGGGAGAAGTGACACACCTCCCCCCAGACAACTCAGAGAACAACTTACAGCACTTGAAGCCCCGGGATTGTGGTGAGTGAGTTGGGGATCTTGCCGTCGAGCGTATTATTATTTAGTCGGCTGGAAAGAGGTAAAGAAGGGTTGAAGCGAAACGAAGGGAAACGATAGATTACTTACAGGAACCTCAGATTATGAAGTTTACCGAGTGAGTCAGGTATATCGCCAGTGAAGCTGTTTTGGTACAAATCAAGGCTGACGAGCTCAGTCAAGTTGCCCAGCTCCTTTGGGATTGGCCCAGTGATGTTGTTGCTGTACAACTCCCTGTTAAAGGAAACAATGGAAAAGGGGGGGTCCTAGTTAGCTCCACCATAGAGAATAGGAGGAATTAGATTTACTTACAAGTACTGTAAATTTTCGAGATTGCCAAGAGCTGCTACCAAACGCCCTGAGAGAAATGCATTTCCCAAGTCTCTGCCAAAGGAGTGTAGAGGTAAAGAAGAAGCATACAAAGAAGGAAAGCGAGCGGCTTACACTCTTATAACGTTGTCTTGGGTGTTGCAAGTTACGTGAAACCAGGTACAAGGATTGACCAGTGTGGGATCCCAGCTTTGCAAGACGTTGCTAGGATCATCCAGCGCCTGCCGAAATACATGAAGGGCATCGCCTAGCCAGCCAAAACACCACACAAGTCAGTGCCCGCGCTCTCACGATTGCAATGACATGCGATTCGAGTTCCATCTGACAATCCAGACAGAGCCTGACACCACGCTGACCGATAATCTGGAGCTGGGGAGCCTTGCTTACCCTCCGAGTTGCCCGTGGCTGACGAGACGAAGATCCCAGCGGCGACGAACAACAAGAGCCACGGCCGCATCGCTTGCTCCATCGCCAATGCTGGGACGCTACAAGGATCTTGCTCCAGATACCATCGCCTCCTCGCAATGCCGGCACCTAAACCTAGAGCGACGTTATAGAAAATGAAGGAGGAGAGAGCTTCTCTGGGCCGCCTAGGTAGACCAAAGCCGCATTTTGGCTCACAGGGGAAAAATGTGGTCCCAATGTGTACTTTACGGCCATATACATATATAAATATAAGGGCCACTTCCGTACCTGGGTTTTCTTCCGGTAGGAGGCTCAGCTACCACGCGCAGCGATCCGCCTGGCCTGGATGGAGATCTGTGCGAGCGATTCATCCCTGGCGCCTGGCGTGTAAGTGATTAGGTTGTCTAGATCTGGCACCGGGGCGCGCTCACGCGATCTGAAGCAGGCGATGGTGATCTCCCTCCAGCAATTGATCGATCTTGTGATTGGCGAGTTGGAGCTTAGCCATGGCAGATGCAGCTGGGGCGTTTGTGACACGCGCATTCGAGCGCTTGGCGAAGGAATCTCAAGGCAAAAAGTATACAGCGCTCCAGAATGCCCTCAAAGAATATCTAGGTCAGTCAGCATTGCATGAATTTCGATCCAACAGCGAGTTTCTGGTGCTTTCAGATAGAGGCCAGTTCTCAGGATCCACAGATGGACCAAAAGCGTAAGCCTTCCATTTCTTTCATCTCCTAGGAAACTCTTCCCGCATTTGCGTTGGATAGTCCTCCTCCTCAGCAGGATGCCGAGAGTGAGCCTGGCACACCCAAGTCCACGGAGAGTCCTACTGCTGCTAGCAGTGTTACTTCTCCTAAAAGACGAACCAGCAGTCAGGTGGCCGCGGCAACCATGGCGGAGGCTGGCGGTACGTTGGAAGTTTCCGAGGCCGACCTCATTCTACTCCCTCTGCGCCTGGCAATCGAAACCAAGCAGCCCAAGCTGGTGGAAACGGCCTTGGATTGCCTTCATGTACGTGCCGCAGTGTGAGATCTTCCTGTCTTTCTACTAAGTCTCATGTTTTGCGCAGAAACTTATCTCCTTTGGGCATCTCGAAGGTGAGGCTGGAACCGAGGGTGGCAAAAATGGTGCTATGCTGACGGAAGTCTTGAACAAAGTCTGTTCATGCATCGACAATTCAGCGACGGATAGGTGACCATTTCTCTTTTGTGCTGCCAAGTGAGTGTACCTGACTTTTGCTTCTACACTAGCACCGTTTTGCAAGTGATAAAAGTACTGTTAACAGCTGTTGCCTCGTCGAAATTTCAAGGTAAGATTCTTTTAATTTTCTTGCGTTACCTGAAAAGGTTCCTTTTATGCAGTTCACGGAGAGTGCCTGCTGAGCTCTATCCGGACGTGCTACTCTATCGTGCTGAACAGGTATCTGTTTTAGCTAATTTTCACCTAACTTACTCTTGTCTGAAATATGTTCAGTAAAAGCTCCGTGAACCAGGCTACAGCCAAGGCCACGCTGACGCAAATGATCAACATTGTCTTTAAGAGAATGGAATTAGAGAATGGGGTTCGTGTTCTTGTTTATGTTCTTGACTTACACACACATTATAAGCAGCCGGCGGAACATGTTTTATCTCAACAGAAAAACATTCCTGATGTCAGACAGGCTACTGAGCACTATCGCAGACACGAGGCTGAAAATTCAAGTCCTACAAGCTCACAGGCTTCTGTGAGTGTGGAGGAACTTCAGCACTTGGCTGGGGATGCCGATATAAAGGTTTTTTTTTTTGTTCCGTATTTTCTCTCTTTTCTCTCATATAAGATTTTTATATGATGCTTAGGGCCTTGAAGCGGCGCTAGACAAGGCAATTCTGTCTGAAGGTGGAGCGGTTTCCAATGAGTATGTGTCGCATTATCTTTATCTGGTACTTAAAATTTGTTTTGCCAGGGGTATCGATTTGAATAGCCTAAATGTAGGCCAACGGGAGGCCCTTATGGTTTTCAGAACTCTTTGCAAGGTAGGCAGTCTGATAAGCACTTTTTTTTTTAATTTGAAGTTTTTTTTTATAGATGTCAATGAAAGACGGGGCAGATGACATGGTGACAAGAACGAAGATATTGTCTCTCGAATTAATACAGGTGCTTTTTCAAATGAGAACGAATAACTTCTTACTTAATTGAGCAGGGCCTCCTGGAGAGCGTTAGCCCTTCATTCACAGTGAATTTTGCCTTTATAGATTCTATCAAGGCTTACCTGTCCTATGCACTTCTTCGAGCTTGTGTCTCCTCCAACACAACAATTTTTCAGGTGAGCATTCTTTATTTAAATAGATGCCTGCCAACATTCGCTCGGCTGCAGAATTCTTGCGGGATCTTTATGGTCTTGCTTTTGCGTTTTAGAGAAAGCCTGAAGGTAAAAGACTGGTGGTAATATCAAGCGGGTATTTACATCGTATGACAGGCGGAAGTCGGGGTGTTTTTCTCGTTAATAGTGTTGCGGCCTCTAGACAGCGTTGACACGCCACTTCAACAAAGATTGTCCGTTTTGAAGTAAGGCGGGTCATACCTCTGTTCAGCCTAACTGATGCTGGTGTGTAGAATGTTGGAGAAGGTGTGTACCGATTCACAAATGCTAGCCGATACATTTGTTAATTACGATTGCGATCTAGAAGCCACAAATCTTTTTGAACGCATGGTAAGCCTCATTTGATGTTTTCTCCCCTATCGTAATTGTTCCTTAGGTGAGCTCGCTTTCAAAAATGGCACAAGGTACAGTTAGTGCAGATCCTGCCCTTGCGCAAAATACAGCTTTGAAAGGATCATCGCTACAGGTAATTTCTATAGTTTCCACTCATCAAAGCTGATATATTGTCGCATTTTGCAGTGCTTGGTCAATGTGGTTAAGTCATTAGTGAATTGGACTAAATCGCATGATGATGCCAAGAAAAGATATCTATCTGATCATCAGTCTGGAAAAGAAGGATTGCACGCATCAACACAAGCGGCTGATATTAAAAAGGCTAAGGCTCAAAAATCGACAATGGAAGCTGCCATAGCAGAGGTTGGTTGTTCGATCATGGAATGAACTTTACGCTTTTTATTTACAGTTTAATCGTAATGCGGCCAAAGGCATTGAGTACCTTGTCACAAACAAGCTTGTTCAACGCGATCCAGGTGCAATCGCACAGTTTTTAAAAACGATGTCGGGTCTAGACAAGGTACATTTTGAAACTAATCTGGCATGTCTCAACTCGTTTCTTTCAGACTATGATTGGCGATTATTTGGGTCAGCACGAGGAATTCCAGGTGTCTGTCATGCATGCGTATGTTGATAGCACACAACTACAGAACATGAAGTTTGACCAAGCCATTCGGGAGTTTTTGAGGAGTTTTCGATTGCCTGGCGAAGCTCAAAAGATTGATCGTATAATGGAGAAATTTGCCGAAAGGTACGATTTGTCAATGCCCGTGTGCATGCTTCAAACTAGAGTGTTCCAGGTACTGCCGTTGCAACCCGGGGCTCTTCAAATCTGCCGACACAGCTTATGTTCTGGCATACGCAGTTATTATGCTCAACACGGATGCCCATAATCCTATGGTCTGGCCAAAAATGTCCAAAGACGATTTTGTTCGCCTCAACACAGAGAGTGATGCCGAGGAGCACCCACCTGTCGACCTTCTCCAGGAGCTATACGATTCTATTGTGAAAGAGGAGATCAAAATGAAAGATGCCGATCCAACGAAGAAAGACAACGCGGAAGAAAAAGGGCGTCTTGTTAGTGTCTTGAACCTTGGAGTTTCGAAAAAGAAAACTGCTGCAGAAGCCAAGCGTGAAAGTGAGGAAATTATTCGAAGAACTCAGGCATTGTTTAAGCGGGCTGACACGAAGAAGGGAACATTTCACAAGGCAACTCACGGGGAGCTTGCCCGGCCTATGCTTGAAGCTGTCGGATGGCCTCTACTTGCAGCTTTCTCGGTCACGATGGAAGATAACGAGAATAAGCCTCGGGTCCAACCTTGCATGGAAGGATTCCGTTCTGGTATTCATCTGACGAAGCTTCTTGGGATGGACACTCTCAGATACGCTTTCCTAACATCTTTAATACGGTACGCTTATGAGCTTCGAGGGTGTTTACTAATTGTTTTCCATGCAGCTTTACGTTTCTTCATGCTCCAAAAGATATGCGAATGAAAAATGTGGAGGCATTGAAGACGTTGCTTGGAATAGCTGAGACCGAACCGAATTGTCTACAAGATACATGGAACGCCGTTTTAGAATGTGTGTCGAGGCTCGAGCACATAACGTCGTCGCCTTCAATCTTGCCGACCCTGATGCACGGGGCAAACCAGATCTCGAAAGACGCTCTCGCTCAGGCGCTCATAGACCTTACTGGAAAACCGACTGAGCAGGTCTTTGTTAACAGCGTGAAGCTCCCCAGCGACGTGGTTGTGGAATTTTTCACAGCCTTATGCGGAGTTTCCGTCGAAGAAATGAAGCAGGTACCTCCCCGGGTTTACAGCCTTCAAAAGCTTGTGGAAATCAGCTACTACAATATGGCCCGTATCAGAATGGTAAGTTGAACTTTTATCTTTATCAGAAGCTCATGACCGTCTCTCAGGTTTGGGCCAAAATATGGTCCGTATTATCACAGCATTTTGTAGCTGCTGGCAGTCACCACGATGAAAAAATCGCCATGTATGCGATTGATTCACTACGTCAGTTGGGAATGAAATACTTTGAACGGAAAGAGCTGGCCAACTTTTCCTTTCAGAACGACATATTGAAGCCATTTGTCGTTCTTATGCGCACTAACAAAAGTACCGTGGTGCGGGGTCTTATTGTGGACTGCATTGTGCAGGTAATGTTTCTTTCTCACTGGAGATCGGTTTACATCTAGCTTCATGCTCTTCCAGATAATCAAATCTAAAGTTGGAAGCATAAAGTCCGGCTGGAAAAGCGTGTTTATGGTATTCACAACAGCTGCATATGACGATACGGAAGCAATCGCTGATTTAGCATTTGAGAATGTCGAGCAAGGTAGGCGGGTTCTTCACATTTTCTCACCACCTCTAGCCGGTTTGTTCCGCAGTTGTGCTTGAGAATTTTGATCAAGTCGCAGGAGACTGCTTTATGGATTGCGTCAACTGTCTTATGGCTTTTGCGAACAACAAAACTAGCTCTCGAATAAGCTTGAAAGCAATAGCACTTTTACGTATATGCGAAGATCGCCTTGCCGAGGTAAACTTTCTGACCTTCCTGGATGTTGTGACTAATGTGCTTGATCTACAGGGACGGCTACCAGGAATCAATTCGAAGGCTGTTGAAACAGTTGGCAAGGGAGCCGATGTGGACGTCTCTGAATACTATTGGTTTCCTATGCTAGCTGGGCTTTCCGACCTCACTTCCGACCCACGGATTGAAGTCAGAAACTGCGCTTTAGAAGTCCTGTTCGATCTTTTAAAGGAACGTGGACATCAGTTTTCAACGTCGTTCTGGGACAGCGTATTTCACCGTGTGCTGTTTCCAATATTTGATTATGTGCGTCATGCTGGAAAAGACGGCGACCGGCAGGCATCAGCAGAGCAGTGGCTTCGAGAGACATGCATCCATTCTCTCCAGCTCCTTTGCGATCTATTCAGTAGCTTCTACAAGGTATAGCTATAGGCTTCTATCTGCTCGAGAGAATTATATTGACTGCTGGTCTTGCAGGAAGTCTCGTTTCTTTTGCCGTCGTTGTTGGCATTGCTTCTGGATTGCGTCACACGGCCAGATCAAGCTCTTGCCGGCATTGCTGTTGGTGCTCTAGTCCGTCTCACGGAGATTGGAGGTCATCAATTCGCTGAAAAAGACTGGGCAACTCTTCTAGACAGTATAAGGTAGGTCAGCTATTCCATATACCATCGGTTTATATGTCGGTTTGTGTAGAGACGCGTGCTATACTACTCAGCCGGTGGAGCTCCTGAGTCCAGACGGTCTTGATGTTCGAAGGTCGGGGAGTTTGACAGGTCAGAGGACAGACAACTTGCCCCTGGGAGCTCCAGCTGAGTGGGACGTAGAAAGCCAGGATAGCCACCAGAGTGGTCAGGTCTCTGGTGATAGCAATGGTGAGCCAGTGAAACAAAGTGGAAGGTCGAGTTTCGATAGCAGAGCTGACGGTGATCCTCATGAAACACCGTCTCATGCAGAGGCGGAAGGTGGAACCTGCGTACAATGCGCGTGCTGAACTAATCTGCGGTATTATTGCAGGATTTACTCCTACGCCGCCAGCTTCTGAGGAAGGAAAAGGAGGCCTCTTCGGGGGCCATACGTTAGGCCGAAGACTGGTTGGCAATATGGTGGACGCATTTTTGAAGAAGAACTTAACTTTCAAAGGCAGATCCCGATCGACTGATAGTCCAAGTCCTCCTCGTGTCCAGGTATGTGGTTATCCCGTTTGTGGTGTGACTCTACTTTCTCGTTGCAGCCGAGTGACGCGGAGGAAACTAGTCTCGCTAGTATCGAGGACGCGGCGCTACAGCTTCCGATCGTTAGAAGCAAGTGCTTGACGCAGTTGCTATTGCTGAGAGCTCTTGAAAGCATGCAGGTAAGCTTCATCTTGGGAGTTTTTGGCCCCGTGTAAACCAAGTATCTATCTAACACAGGCAAAGCACTGGAGTCTACTAAGCACGTCGAACAAAATCCAGATTATGGATACATTGTTGTCAGTGGTGGACTTTGCGGCGACTTACAACTCAGATGCTAACCTTCGCATTCGTATCCAGCAGTTTTCCGGCGAAATGTAAGCCTTCATCTTATCATGAAAGGCTTGACGTGGAAACTTGGGTTGATTACAGGCCGCCTCCAACGCTTCTCCGACAGGAAGTTGAAGGAACACGGATATACCTGACGCTGCTCAACCAAGCTGTGTTGTCTCCAGCGGATGGAAATCTTAAAGAGGAGGCAGAGCGGCGTCTCGTAACCTTTTATTCCCATATACTGAAAGAAGCGGTGGCTTTGATCCCGGCTCCCGGGGAGCCTATCCAAGCTGAGGCTCACTACTCTCTCAGCTTGCGCTCTTCAGTGGTCGTCAAGGTTCGCAGGATCGCAACGCTAGTCGCATACTAAACGTTTCGTCAAAATCTTACAGGTGCTCAACTCGTTGTCCGAGATGGAAGGCGAAATGTTCAAGAGACATCTCTCGGAGTTCTACCCATACTTCACAAAGCTTATCTGCAGTAATCAAGTAAGTCTTATTTTTTAAGTGGCAGTCTACCTTACTCATGATACTATCCTTTAGATGGATGTGAGAAAAGCGCTGGGAGAGCTTTTCAAGCTTCGCCTGGTGTCTTTGCTGCCTTCATCATGAACGAACGACTTTGGCAACGGGCCCCGTTTTTTTGAGTGCTTGCACTTTCTGGAGAAGCTGATTGCTGCAGCAGCCTGCACCAAGGAGACACTCTTATTGTAAACTAGTGTAAGCATCGGTTTTTCCTTCTGTTATTCTCAGCAGTCAGCAATTGTCTACAATGTTGCAATTCTTTTATGAAGATGTTAGAGCTCTTCTCGTTCCGTGCTTCAGTAGCAAAAAGTATAAGAAACAAACACGGAAACTGGTTAGCTTACTTGCAATCTCTGGAGATGTTGTTGCACAAAACTGTGTTAACAGAACCCGCCACCATTTCGCCACTCCTTATCGTCGAGGCTAGCTGCAAAACGAAAGAAAAGTGTAAGTGTGGATGAGCAGGAAAGCGTAGCTCCAAACCTCGTCTTCATGCTTTTCAAGCAGCCTGTTTTTTCACACGAACGACTTCTTTAGTCCTGAGAGCGACGTAGTCACGATATGTATGGACCTTACCTGCCACAATAAACCGCAATCTCCTTGGAGTGTACTTCAGCTTCTCGCTTTTCTAGAGAATGAACAGAGTGAGCATCACTTTCTCAAGCAGAACTTCACGCATACCATCCTCGTTCCTGTTGCCACTGTTGCTAAGTTTGATCCACTCGCCAGTCGCCTGCATTGCATCGAAAATTCAGCCCAAAGACGAATCCAGCTCTTGTGTAAGCTAAGCCCACCTTGTCAAGGGTGTAGTCTTTCACTCTAGAGCAAACGCCTTCCAGGAGCTCCAACACTCTAAGCTCGCTAAGCCTGAGAGAATTCATCCAGATATCATCACATACAAGGCCGAGACAGAGCAAGCAATGCTTCGTTTCATAACACTCTTACTTGTATTGGATTACTCGTCCCTGTCGCTGCCCCTTCGAATCCAGTCTGTGCCGCAAGTCGATATCGTTCCTCGGCCTTTCCTGGAGAAGTTCTGTCAGCAATCGCAAGATCATACGGAAAATTTTTACTCACTAACGTTTGCAAGAGCCAGCTCCAGCTCCACCTGCGGGAACGAGAGAGCATCAATCACGCAAAACCACGCGTAGATCTGGTAAAATCTTACCGCGACGGCTTTGCAAGCGGCGCATTTGTGATGGATAGCTTCGATCAGCATTGGAAGAACGAGCAGGATCCCGACTAGAGGAAGAAGGCGATAGATCGCCGCCGCCATGGCGCTCTACTTGACGACCCGCGTGCCCTAAAGATAAAACTAGACGTAACATGGTTTTATTTTGTTGCTCGTAGCGGGGCTTCTGTGCGCCATGCGCTTTGGATTGGAGCATCTACTGCCACTGCTGCTGCCGCTGCCTCTCCTCTGGATCCACCAAGCTCTGGCCTCCAATGCCGAAGGTACGCTTGCGTGGCCCCGCGATTTCTCTTCCTTGGGGAGCAATCAGGCTAAACGTTTTGTCAGGAAATGCGCTCGCGGAGCTCAAGAGCAAGCTGTGGGATCCCAAGAATGCGTTGAGATCTTGGGATGCAAACCTCGTCAATCCTTGCAGCTGGCTCTATGTCGACTGCGATAGCCAGCAGCGTGTCATCACAGTGTATGAGATTTGCATTGGTTGCTCGTCGCTCGCTGGAGACATTCTCTCTATCCTTGGTTTCTTGGTAGAATAGAACATTGTCGTGTGTGTGTGTGTGTGTGTGTGTGTGTGTGTGTGTGCCTCTTTTTAACTCTTCTTTTTTCTTTCTATGTGTGGGTGCTAGCTCGTGTCTTTGACTTTGATGATAATCTTTTTTTCTTGCCTGTCCAGAATGTTGGAGAAGCAAGGCCTCTCGGGGACTCTCTCGCCAGCACTTGCGGATTTGCCCAATCTGCAAAACCTGTACTTGGCTTTTGGATCACATGGTTTTGTTTTTAATGGCTCTCTTTTCCTCAGAAGGATGAAAGGGAATTTGATCTCGGGTTCTCTTCCGCCACAACTGGGAACACTGCAAGGTTTACTGAATCTTGACTTGTCTGCGAACAACTTCACTGGAAGCATTCCGTCAACGCTCACCAATCTTACGAGCTTAAGAACCTTGTAAGCCTTGGGAACTTTCTTCTTCTTCTTTTTCCTGTTAATCACAGCAACTTGGCTTTGCAGGCTTCTGAACAACAACAGCCTGACCGGAAGCATCCCTTCTACGCTCACTCTCATATCCAGCTTGCAGTTTCTGTATGTCATTTTCTCGTGTTCGTTATCCTGATCATTCGAATTCATGCAGAGACGTCTCGTATAACAACTTGAGTGGACCACTCCCACCCAAAGGGACGATCAGTGAGTTCAAGTGAGCAAACAATGCTTGCCTGTCTGATGTATGCCGTTTCTGAAGTCATTCCATGACGGCTAATGTCTTTCAACAGCTTGCTAGGGAATCCAGATCTCTGTGGTGCTAAGGTAGGAACGCCTTGCCCGGAGTCGATTCTTCCGAGCTCTAGAAGACGTGGTAAGCAAGTCTGTTCTTGGGATAACTTCTGCCTATTTCAATACCTGGACGCGTTGCAGGGCTTAACATTGGAGCTGTCATTGGTGGCATTGCTGCGGGGGCTCTGTTTTTACTGCTCTGTCCCTTGCTGGCTGTCATTGTGTGGAGAAAGCACCGTGGGCCAAAAGAGGTGTTTTTTGACGTTGCTGGTGCGCCTGTTTGCTTTTTTGTAAGCTATCTGATGCGCGGCTATCTTTTGTGCAGCGGAAAATGATCCTCATGCCACCTTTGGACAACTTAGGAAGTTTACTCTCAGGGAACTCCAAATTGCAACAGACAATTTCAGCGACAAGAACGTCCTGGGACAGGGAGGATTTGGGAAAGTGTACAAAGGCAGCTTGGAAAACGGCAAACTCGTTGCCGTTAAGCGCCTAAGAACAGACCAGAATATTTCAGCTGGAGGAGAACACGCATTTCAGACTGAAGTTGAGATCATTGGCTTGGCAGTCCACCGCAACCTACTTCGCCTTGACGGATTTTGCATCACTCCTTCGGAGCGGATCTTAGTCTACCCGTTTATGCCCAACGGGAGCGTTGCTTCCCGCTTGCGTAAGCTAAAAATCAACCATCTGTGCAGAAGCTAATCTTTGCGTCCACAGATGACACCACGGGGAGCAAAACGTTGGACTGGGAAACGAGGAAGCAAATCGCTCTGGGTGCTGCTCACGGTCTCCGTTACCTTCACGTACACTGCAGCCCCCGGATCATTCACCGTGACGTGAAAGCTGCGAACGTTCTACTGGACAAAGATTTCCTGGCGGTGGTGGGCGATTTCGGTCTTGCAAAGCTCATTGACACCAAGAACACACACATCACCACCAACGTCCGAGGGACTCCCGGCCACATTGCTCCGGAGTATCTGTCCACAGGCAAGTCGTCGGAGAAGACGGACGTGTTTGGATATGGAGTTTTGATGCTGGAGCTTATAACGGGGAAGCGGGCTTTCGATCTAGCCAGGCTGTTTGACGATGACGACGTGATGCTTCTCGACTGGGTAAGATTTATGGTGCTTGGCCTCGGACCAAACTTTCGCTTTGGTGCTTGCAGGTGAAGAGATTCCAGCAGGAAGGTAGACTGAGTGAGCTCGTGGATCCCAAGCTGAGGCACTCGTACCAGCCAAACGAAGTTGAGAAACTCACCCAGATTGCTCTGCTCTGCACCCAAGCGTCTCCCAGCGACCGTCCAAAGATGGTGGAGGTCGTGTCGATGCTGGAAGGGGACGGCCTCGCCGAGAGGTGGGAAGAGTGGCAAAAGGTTCAGGTGCTGAGAAGAGAAGAGGTGGATGTTGGCCACAAGCAGCTGGACGAGTGGATGATGATTCAGGGAGATTCCTCCAACTTGGAAGCGATTGAGCTCTCGGGTGCGAGATAGAATCCAGTTACGTTCTCCCAAGTTGATCTCCTCATCATGTAAAAAGGACGACATCGAGGTACAGATTGCAGGAATCATATAATAGGTGATTTTATGCTTGTCAAACAAAATCCAACCCTGCTTGGATTTTAAAAACTTTGTACACTTGGAAATACTAAATATTTACCAGTCTCTTCTTTGCAAATGTACACCTTATACTTACTTGTGCTTAGTTGTGGCTGCAGCCGTTTACATAGGGGGCGACATATGAGCGGCTGCGGCACTCCGCCTCTCTGCAGTGATATGAATCAGGAATTGATCGACCAACAACGAGAAATGATAGACGGACGTACCTCCCGCGGCCACGAGCTTCTCTACTCTCGCCACAATGTGCTTCCCATACGTATACTTCTTAAGCGCGTGTAAATGAACTTTGATACGAGTCAAAAGAATTTCCCTCTGGCGGTCGTCACAAATCTCCAGTACTTTCTGCACCACGTAGTTGGCAAATTGGTCCTTCATCATAGCCTGAAAAAAGGATGTATATGAATGGAGGGGGTCACAAATCTTTCTTTCCTACCTGCAAGGCCTCGTTCTCGTCCGTTGATCCCAGCATCTCGTTGATCAGAATTTGTCTTTCTGCCGGGCCCCCAAACTGAAGACACTTCTCGATAACATTTGATGCAAATTTATGCTGGCTCATTTGTACAATTTGTCCTGCTAGCTTAGTGATGATTTCGCTTCTCTCCGGCTGGGTTCCATGCTCCAACACATGCTAAAGAGACACAAAGAAAGACTTAGCTTACAGCACACCAGAGAAAGAAAGGAAATTAAAAAGGAAGAAAAGAAAAAGAAACACAACCAACCTGCACAACATAGTTCCCATACTGGTCCTGAGCAAGACTGCAAGTTGACCGCAGTATCTCTTGCATTATTCCTTGCTGCTTCTGTTCGTCTGTACAATGCTCAAGAACTCTCTGGGAAGAAAACGTAAAACAAAAACCAAAAAAAAAAAAACAAAACAATCGTCTCAAGTAACTTGAAACGACTCAAAACATGCCTCACCTGTATAACCCGGCATCCATACGGATGTGTTGAGAGAGCCAATACTTGACCATAAAACGCACAGATTATAAATTGGATGCGATCGGCAGGAACACATTCTATACACTTTTGAATGACGTGGTTTCCATTTTGATCACGGACGCACCGCATCACGTGACCATCCAGCTCGGAAACCAGTTGTGTTTGCTGATCCACGTCCACAACTTCGAGTGCCTGCGAGTTTCTTCAGCGTTTGACCAAAATAAAAATGAAAGATACCTTCTGAATGACACGGCAGCCGTACATTTGCAAGCTCAACGTCAGTACACGGCTGGGTAACTGCTGGGCAAGCTCCTTTCTTTGCTGTGCCGTTCCATGCTCAAAAAACTGCCAGGCTCTACGAAGTTACGACACGACGTACAAACAAAATGCGTGCCAAGCCTTCACCGATACCTTCTGAATAACGTAGTTTCCAAAGACATCCGTCATTAGCGCCACGGCTTGGGGGAAGACCTCCTGAAAAACCATAGCTTTGTCCTCGGCGGTGGCAGTCTCTAGCTTCTGCTGGATAAAGCGGCTTCCATGCTGGTCAGCACTGCAATGGACACACATTTTCCAAATGTAAAGAAGCTAAAGACCAGAGCTTGTACCTGAACTCCACCACGTGACCAGCAATGTCAGAGAGCTCAAATCTTCTGTTTTTGCTGTTTTTGAACTCCTCGAGCAGGAAAGACCCACGTGACTCGTCAGCGGGGTCGCTGCCTCCCGCCGATGGCCAACCCGCAGCAGTATAAGCGGTAGCAGCTCTTCCGGTGCTCGGAGACAAGCGCAAGTTTCGATCGTTGACGATCCGAGAAGTTGCGCCAACCGGCGAGCTGGGAAGTCCAGGACTTGCCAATGGAGAGTTGGGAAATGGCACGCCGAATCCCAGCCCAGGAGGACTGCCGTAAAAAGAAGTGGCCGGCGGAACACTCTTGTTCGGAATGGACATGGCCCTCGAGAACTGAGGCTTGGATAAACCACCCAGCCCGCTCAGCTGGTCCACGAGTGCGTCCGAGTGAGCAGCATAGCTCCGCATGTCCGCTGACAGTGCCGCTGCGGCGCGAGCGTCCTCGGACGCACGGAGGTATTGTAGATAGAGAGCGTCGTGAAGCGCAGTGGTCGATGAGGGAGCCTGTCCCGCCGCCGCAAGCTTGTAAAACTGGTGTAAGTCGGGGACACCTCCTCGGGCGGCGGCCACTGCGGACTCAAACGCCACCGGAGGGGCGGGATATCCCGGTAGCAATGGAGGTGGCAACATAGCACCGTTGAGCGGGTAGCCACCGAGGCCGTAGTATGGTGCATAGACTGATGCCGAGTGAAGGTTGTGATAGTATGGATTCCCCGCGGCGATGTAGGACATGGCGGCGGCAGCGGCGGCCGCCGCATACATGTTGGACGTTGCAGCAGCTCCTCCTCCTGGCTGTTGCTGCTGATTGACACCAGGAGGAATGGCACCAAACTTGACGTTGCCGTATGCTTGGTGGTGCTGTTGCTGCGAATAAGCCTGCGATCCATGATGCTGCGCTTGCGGCTGCTGGTGCTGCTGCTTCACACGTAATTGCTGCTCGGGAAATTCCAGATGCTGCTCCTCCTCGACAACGTCCGCGTTGTCGGATTTCATGGTTACGCATCCCGCAAGAGCAGCTGCAAGCTCCGACGAGGTACTAGACTCGGCTGCCTCTCCCACTGTCACGCTTGCATCCGGTGGAGGTGTCCGGTTGAGGGTGGTGGTGGAGGGAGAAGCATAAACGTCGTGAACGGGCACCTGCATTGGGGTGGCGGAGCGGGAGCCGATGCCAGAGCCAAGCTCACGTAAGAGTTGCAGGTCCAGGGAGGTATCCCCCGCGTCATCGTTTGCTGCCCGGCTCGAGGGTCGGGACAAGTTGTAAACAGGAGAGGGCGTCCTCGGGAAGTCCTCCTGCGTGATCAGCAAGTCCGTCAGCTTTGCAAACTAGAAGGTGGCCCCCAAATACCTGGATGAGATCGACGAGGCTCTTGGGCCGCCCAAGTCCCATGTCAAAGCCCGGGAGTCCATCGGCATCGGTGAAGGTGGCGGCTGCGGCGGTGGTGGTGGCGGGGAGGTGGCGGATGACATGGTGGTGTTGCTGTCCCAAGGAGGACGAGGAGACCTCTCCCTCGTCCAGCAGATCGTCGTCTTCCCTGTGCGTGGGGAGCGAAGAATGCAGCGGGTGCGGATTGGCGGAGAAGAGCGAGGAGCTGCTCGAGTCGTCAAACACAAGCTTGCTTCGAAGGTTGAGGCGCTGGGCGAGGCGCCAATTCTCCCACGACTTTACTGGCGGTGGGAGACGGGGATTCAGATTGACATGCGAGTGATAGTAAGCAAGATAAGCAGGGTCTGACCTGAGCTCCTGCTCCGTCTCCACCACATCCAGCAGCTGATCGCCATCCTGGGCGTGAGCGTGGAGCTCCAGCCGACCCAATTGGCTCAGCAGGCCGCCCAGCGATCCCTCCACGGTGGGCGGGGCGCTCTCGCTGCGGTGGAGCTGGACCTCGCCCCGCGCATTCCCCAGCCGCGACGCCGACGATCGCTCCCGGAGCAGCAGATTGAGCTCCTCGCACTCGCGGCTGCTACTCGAGGATGGAGCCCTAATGCCGCCGCCGTCCCCGCCCAGCCCCCCTGCCAGCACCCTGACAGGGCTCTCCGTCGCCATATCTCTGTCCAGTTTTCCCCTTTGCCTTGCTAGCTAGCTCGCGCGGCCACGGCCTAGCTCTAGTAGCGCCTATCTATCCAAGGAAGAACCACCCAAGAAATGTGGAACCAATTCTCCACACGGCGGCCATGTCGCGCCTCTCTTTTCTTCCTCCTCTCGCCTCTCCGCCTCTTCCGTGGGCGAGCGACAAACACAATAACAACAAGAGCAGAGAGAGCATGCGGGCAGCGCCCGTCCGATCGGCACTGCAACGGCCCAGATCCCTGCCGGCGCCGTCAAGCTCCGTCATGCCGCCGTCCGCGGATGCCCTAACGGCGGTCAATGCTAAAAGGTGCTCAGCTTGGACTTTAGCATAATTATTCCCGAAAGATGCGGAATATGCCCGGAGGTAGTACGAAATGGGGGAGTACCTAGCTAGAGCCTGGACACTGGTGGTGCTGGTAAATGCAATGGCGCCATACACACCAGTAGTGAGATACAAGTGTTGCCTGCCTGCCCAACTGGTACCACTACCACCCCTCCCCCGTACGGCCTGCCCCGTGCGCTGGTGTTGCTCGGCCAGGCCCCATCTGCTTTTAATTTCTTTTCACTTCACCTGATAGATACACTTTCCCCCGCTACTGTAGCTTGGCGAGAGGGGGAATGCCATTCCATTAGGGTTGCAAGGGATTTGGCAGAGGCGATCGCGCGCAAGGGATGATGCAATCCAGCCACCAGCCGCCGCCGAGCGATGTCCATCAGCAGCAGCAGCAGCAGCAAAGCCCGAGAGGAGGAGGAGGAGGTATGACACCAAAGCTCTCCCTTGTTGGCCACTACGCATCCCCCGCGGCGGCGGCAACCTGCCATGGATTCTCCATTCTGGGAGCTCTAGAACCCCAGGCCCCTCCGCCGCCGGCTCACCATCACCACCACCACCACCACCAGCAGCCTCCGCCCCCGCCGCTGCCGCAGCATCAACCGCATTTCCACCACCAGATGCCCGCTCCCCAAAACGCCTTCCAGAATCTCCTCCACCAGGGCTTCCTTCTCACCGCCGGCCAGCAGGGCTACAATCTCCAGCTCGCCGCCCCTCAGCAGGTCCTCCAGGGCCTCATGGAAGACCTGATCAAGCTCAGTCCCCCCGGGAGCCCGCCAATAGAAGGCCGTGGTGGTGGCGGCATCCACCCCCAGCAGCAGCAGCAGCAGCAGCAGCACTACACCCTCGTCTCCCTGCTGGAGCAAAAGACCGATCAGCTCCAGGCGCTGGTTCACTCGCTATCGCAGGCCAGCCAGCACAACGGCGGCGTCGTCCAGGCCCATGCAGCCATGACTGCCGCGCGGATCGCTTCCAACATATCGCAGCTTGCTCTCGCCGTCATTGGGGTCCTTCCCAACGCGCAGCCCTCGCCGTGCCTGCTGCCCGACATGCAATTGGGTGCTCCACTCGGCTTCAACACCCTGGCCGCTCCCACTCCCGCCGCGGCCGTCCGGAATCCACTTCCGGTGGTGGAGCATCGCCAGCAGCAGCCGCAACCGCAGCAGCCCCAGGCGCCGCAGCAACAAGATTCGCCCTGTCAGCCCCACGCTTTCAACCTGGAAGCCATCCATCAGCCACCACTTGCGAGCAAGGCCGTGGTGGTGGCGGAGAGAGAAAGTGAGGCAGCGGCGCCCCCAGCAGCCGCAGCACCACCTCCACCTCCACCACCCCCGCCGGCGGCGATGGAAGATTGCGGCGACTCAGGGGCGGGGTCCAGGGACGACGACGACGGCGACGACGCGGAGGACCTTGTGCCTGGCTCCTACGATCTCGTGGAAATGAACGCAGTGGAGATCCTCGCGGAGCACACGCACTTTTGTGACAAGTGTGGCAAAGGTTTCAAGCGGGACGCCAACCTGAGAATGCACATGCGCGGGCACGGCGAGCAGTACAAGTCGCCCGCTGCTCTGGCGAGGCCGGATAAGGTTGCCACGGATCCATCGCTGCTCCGGCCCAGGCGCTACTCGTGCCCGTACGCCGGATGCAAGAGGAACAAGAAGCACCGCAAGTTCCAGCCGCTCAAGACGGTGCTGTGCGTCAAGAATCACTACCGGCGGAGCCACTGTCCAAAGTCTCTCACCTGCAGCAAGTGCAAGAGCAAAAAGTTCTCGGTGGTGGCGGACCTTAAGACGCACGAGAAGCACTGCGGCCGGGATAAGTGGCAGTGCTCGTGTGGCACCACCTTCTCCCGGAAGGACAAGCTGCTGGGGCATATCAGCTTGTTCCAGGGCCACACGCCGGCGCTGCCTCTCCACGAGATCGCGGAGGCGTCTCCGGCATCGGCTTCAACTTCGGCAGCAGCGGAGCAAGGCAGCGTTGGCGGGGACGAGCAGCAGCGCGCGGAGTAGCTCCATCACGCAGGTAAGCAAATGCGATTGTTTCCAGGCTTATAACCTCTTTGCTTTTGTGCAGGGCTTTTCTTTTCAGCTGCTCGTAGTGACGACTAAAAATCATCTAAATGCAGGTGCGTGCGTGGCTGCTTGGTTTGAAGCTTGTCGTGGTATAGGAGTGCTGTATATCTAGTTAGAATGGAGGAGATGCAAGGAGGATAGAACGTTAGAGCACGAGAAGTTACCTGGACCTGGAACTCATCCTCCTCGCCTTGTACTGGATGCACCTCTATCCAGCATCTTTTATAGGTAGCGTCGTCCTCCATACAGATAGGCAGGCAGTGTGTGCGGCTACAGGGAATGAATGCCGGAGGGTATCGTAACTGTCACTCGTTCCAGACAGTTGGTTTAGTTAAAACTAGATTGCTCATGTGTTCATGTGTTCATGTGAAGGGGAAACCATGGCCTCACCACCGGCGCTTGAGTGAGTGAGTGTGTGTGTTTTGTGTGTGTCTGTGTGTGTGTCACCAAGTATGGGCCAGAGCCACGGGTGTGGGCTCTCAAGTTGGCAGCTATGCGCAATGCTCAAGGACAATGGGCAGAGGTGGCGTCTGTACACGGCCATCGTGGAAGGCGACTGCGTGGCCGTGGAGCAGAGCGCAAGCATGTCGCCAAAGCTTGTGACCAAGGCGCTCTTCTTTCACAGCCGCCTCACTCCGCTGCACGTCGCGGCCATGGCGGGCCAAGTCGACGTAGCTGCACTGCTCATCCACAAGGGAGCCAGCGTCAACTGTAGCAGCTGCAATGGAGGACAGGTACTTTGTGTCTCTGACGCTCTCTCTTACCAGGAAAACCAATATGCTTTGCCTTGCCTGCTTGCAGACTCCACTCATGCTCGCCTCCAAGTCGGGAAAGCACGACTGCGTCGATTATCTCATACAGCATGGCGCGAATGTATGTAACAAGCGTCTTCCTCGTTTCTTTCCTTCAGTGCCCGTCTCCCTGACTTGCTTCATCTTCAGGTGCTCTTGTTTGACACATCTCATTCCAGAACCTGCCTTCACTACGCTGCTAAAGCCGGTCACGTCGACTGCATCCACAGGATTCTGTTGGCAGCGAAATGTGCTCCAGTTGCCGAGTCGTGGTCTGTCTTGTCCGCAGCTAGAGAATAGAATCTTGATTGACATGGATGCAGGAAATTCGTCAGGTTTGTGAACACGAGGGACTCCAAAGGTGTCACGGCACTACACCTGGCCGCCAGAGGAGGCTCTGTGAGGGCGCTTCAGCTGCTGCTCGACAGTGGAGCTCTGGTTTCTGCCACCACCAGCAACACTGGCAATGGGTGAACTATCCTTTGAATTATCATCGCAACTCACGAACTGGCCAACATAACTTGAATTGCTCAGGTCCGGCCACGGAAGCACTCCGCTGCATTTTGCTGCTCGTGGGGGCTCTCTAGAGACTGTGCAAGAGCTACTCGCCTGGGGAGCCGATCGCAGCCAGAGAGATGTTACCGGGTATGTTGTGGGTTTCCGCTTCACTGCCTTGTGACATGTTTCTCTTTTGCAGATACACTGCTTACGGGATTGCCAGAAAGCACAACAACGCGTCCTGCGCAGCGCTCTTGGATCCGAGCGTTGCAGAGCCTTTGGTGTGGCCATCGCCGTGCAAGTTCATGAATGCTTTGGATACCAACACCCGGAGCTTACTCGAAAAGGTGCTGGAGCAGGCCAACCAGGCGAGGGGGCGGGCTCACAGAAAGAGTGCTACTGAGAGTGAGATCGTCAATGCCATCATGACTGATGACGACCAACAATTGGAGCAAGTGAGTAACTCTAGTGGCCGTCCATAGCTATAAGAAGACTCATCCATTTCCATTATCTTAGGACAAGAAGGGCAGCACAGACAGCTGCTGCTGCATCTGTTTCGAGCACCGGTGCAACATCGAGCTTCACAAGTGTGGCCACCAAATGTGCGCGAGTTGCATCCTCACGCTCTGCTGCCACAACAAGCCCAACCCCGCCATACCATTCTCTCCGCCGCCAGGCTGCCCCTTCTGCAGGACGCCTATAGAGCGCATAACTCTCGTGAGCCAGGTCGCATACTAGTAGCAAGTGAGCTTTGGGGTGCTGGTCCCGAAAGGTGGCGGACATTCTGTCCTACCAGGTGAAGTAGAGGAAGCGATTGAAGCGGGGGTCGAGGTGGTGGTGCCGTGGCCGCTGAGTCAGAGGCGTGAGTAGCACACCCAGGGACGCGGGGACGTAGACCCAGGCAGGCAAGCGGTAGCCACAGTGTCCCATCAGGTCTACATTGTTCATGGATCACATGAGGAACAATATTGCGAGGGGATTCCACTGTGGCGAGCGGTAGAGCCAGAGGGTGACGAGGGAGTAGAAGGTGGTGATGCAGCATGCGATGTCCAGGGCGTCGCCGTAGGTGGTGCCAAAGCGGTGAGTTCGCCACTGTTGTCGTGGTGCCGCCTGTGGATCCTCCGGTATGCGCTCTTGGAGCGGTGGAGGAGCGTGTGCACCAGCCAACAGTGTGCGTCGTGAAGAACCATGACAGTCCAGGTGAAGAGGATGTGAAGGTTAGCATCACGGGGCCGGGTCCGTATGGTGTGATCCAGCGCCTTTGATTCCAGCGTCTTGAGAAGATAGAACCATGCATGCTCTAGCAGTGCGTGAAGGCTGGCAATCACTAGTCCTCCTAAAATCCCCACACAAACCGAGCTTGCGAACTCCCCTTGCGTCGTCATTCCCTTGCCTGGTTAAGGTAACACTCAAAGTTGTCACTTTCCATGCATGCGCTCGGCGACTATACAACTGCATGGTACTTGATCTTCGTGTTTCCAACCTCGCGCTTCTTGTTATCCGCCTCGTATTCCGTGTAGGAGCCTTGAAAATACGTAACCTGTGTTCGTACCGGCTGTTATGCAAACCGACCATGGTGCCAAGAGGCAAAATCTTACTGTGGAGCCTCCTTCAAATGCTAGGATGTGCGTTGCAATGCGGTCCAGAAACCAGCGGTCGTGGGATATAACGATGACGGAGCCTGCCAGCGTTGGTGTCAGACACCCAGAGGCAATGTGTCTACCAAGCAAGCTCACCAGCGAAGTTGTGGATGGCCTCCTCGAGAGTTCGGAGAGTATCCACGTCCAGGTCGTTGGTAGGCTCGTCCAGCAAGAGGAAGTTACCACCACATTTGAGCACCTTGGCCAGATGGAGTCTGCGTAAAAAAGATGAAGCAGTGATGAACACGAAAAACGCAAAGTGCACCTGTTCCTTTCCCCGCCTGACAAACTTCCAACAAGTTTCTGCTGGTCCGCGCCTTTGAAGTTGAACCACGATAAGTAGGCTCGAGCACTCACTTTCCTCTCCCCTGGTGCAAAAACAAGGAAGGCGCAGTGGAGGAAAAGACGTGTGCGTCCTCTTACCGAGAGTAACCTCGTCATCTCCATCACTGATCTCCTGAAACACCGTCCTTCCCGGAGTCAGGCTTTCTCGCGACTGGTCTACGTACAGAGGGACAACCGTCTCCCCAATCCTCAGGCGGCCACTGTCCGGGGACTCCTACCAAGCACAGGATGCAGTAAATACACATGACGGACGGTTATGTTATCAAGTTACCTGACCAATCAACATACGGAACAAGGTGGATTTGCCAGTTCCATTTGCCCCTATAACCCCAACCACACCTGAATGGAACACAAACCTTGTTCGTCGGCAAACTCTGAGAAGGAGAAGTTCTCACCTGCAGGGGGGAGCGAGAAAGTGAGATTTTCAATCAAAGTGCGGCCTCCAAGATCTTTACGTAGATTCTCTGCTTCCACCACCAGATTTCCCAGGCGAGGCCCCGGAGGTAAATATATTGACTGCAGCTTTTCGGCTTTTTCATGTTCTTTCGCCTTCTGCAGGAGTTCCTCATAGGAGCGCTCGCGTGCCTGTTGCCAGGGAAAGAAATGCCCGTCAGGAGATTTCAAATAAAGCAAAGTGCTGCTGAACTCACTCACCCGTCCCTTCTTCTGTTGTCCTTTGGCCTTCTGTCTGATCCACTCAAGTTCCCGAGCTATAGTACGCTTGAGTGCGGTTTGCTCTTTCTCTTCCACCGACATACGTTTTTCCTTAACAATACAATAGCAATCACAACAGGCTCGGATGAAAGATTAGATTGTATTTACCTTTGCTTCTAGCCATGCCGAGTAATTACCTTCGAAGGGAATGCCTTGTCCCCTGTCCAGCTCTAGTATCCAGCCAGCAACCTGTGCCAATACATTACATTAAAATCTGTTCATTGGAAGACGAGAGAAGAAAAGAGACATTATCCAGGAAGTATCGATCATGTGTGACTGCAACAACCGTCCCTTTAAAGTCTGCAAGATATTGTTCAAGCCAAGCAACTGCCTCTGCGTCGAGATGGTTTGTTGGTTCGTCCAGAAGTAAAATATCCGGACTCTAGAGAAGAACATAGCCTTTTTTGAGTTTGTGATATGATATCAAACACCATACTTCTACCTGGAGAAGGAGACGACATAAAGCCACACGACGTAGCTCTCCACCGCTCAAGTTGGCGACAAAAGCATCTGGAGGCGGACACTTGAGAGCACTAAGTGCCCGCTGCGAGAAACCAAACCACATTTGTCACCAAAAGAGCTGCAAAAACAGACCAGTACCTCCAGCCGACGATCGAGTTCCCATCCGTTGCATGCATCCAGTGCATCTTGCAGTTTTTCCATCCTTGACATGAGCTTTTCCATACCACCAGTGCCGGTTGCCATATCTGCACTCACCTGGCATTCAGTATGATGGTAAAAACAAGAAAGCTTCGAAGACACCACGGATTTTACCTGCTCGAAGTCCGAAAGTAGTTTCCTAGTTTCGGAGAGAGCAGGCTAGAAAATAAAAAACATCAAGACGAAGTTCACGCAAAGTCGCAGAGAAAAGACAGCGAACCTCTATGTTTTCCATCACTGTTGCTCCATCGTCTAGCAATGGTTCCTGCGCTCATCACATGCAAGAGGAGACAACTGGGAAAACAGAAAATGAGTGTGCGCGCACCTGAGGCAAGTAGCCGAGTTTGAGGTTGCGATCGACAGAGACATCACCGTCGTAATTTTTATCGACTCCCGCTAAGAGCTTGAGTAGCGAGCTCTTGCCTGAGCCATTGGAGCCCAGGATACCAATCTTAGCACCCATGTACATTCCCAGGTTGATGTTTTTCAGTATTTGTTTTCCCATTGGCGTCACCTGGACGGATTCAACATACCATTTGGCAAGAACAAATAAGAGAAAGCAAGCGTACCTTGCCCACGTTCTGGAGGCTGAAAACCACTCGTCGCGTCTCTTTGGCATACGCAGACGAGGATGGCGACTGTGGTGACGATTTGGCGTCATTGCCCTTTGTGCCGCTGCTGCTACTTCGCTTGGATTTCTTTGCCATGCACCACACCCTCCTGCGAGTTTCATCAACTGACCTCCATCGCCGCCGCCACGTGACGCTGCTCCTGTTTGGCATGGTCCGAACGGGATTGAAAATGGGAATGCAGGAGCTCTCATTCCCGTAAATTCTAAACACTAGCGGCATGGCCTCCCAGCACAACCTATCTTACACGATATTTTTATTTTTATTTTCGTGGCTCGAACCTCAAGCTTATTTGTAGAATTTAACTAGCCACCACAGCCGCCACAGCCACCGCAGCCACCGCAACCCCCTCCATCGCCACCATCACCACCACCCCCACCATCCCCGTCACCATAGCTGCTAGACGTATCCCACACTCCTAAGCCTGTGTAGTGCACGTTTGAGGCCCGAGTACGCTGGAAGCCTGGCAAAAAAAATCATGCATTAGTTGCTCTGCCTTAGATCGATCATGTGTACCATTGTCATAATATGTGGTCTTGTGCTTCAACTTGAGTCCTAGCTCTTTGAGTGAGATGGATACAGTCGTCGACAGAAGCAACACCAGGAGCACATTCTCGTACGATCAATCTGCACCATGCAACAACCCAAATACTGAGATCGATAAGTCAGGTTGCATAATAAGCACTCGCCTGCATGTGACCCACGTCCAAGTCGAAAAGAGCGGTTGCAATGCCTTCGGGCTCGTCTCGTGTATATCTCACCATCGTCATAAAGCCCGGATCATACAAAAAACCAAGTTGAGGCTTACGACCTGGTACTAGAACAAAGTCCTGTTCGCGACAAGACACTCTTCCACTCGAATCAGACTCTGTTTGGTACACTCACTTACCGGACAATCTAATCTTGTCCTCACATCAAACTGCGGCCACCACTTCGATTCCTTTCGATATCTGGAGATGGTCAGAGTTACTGCACCATCTAGCAGAGACCAGCTCCTGGAGTTTGCTGTTTTCTCAAGCGGAAACGCTGATCCGATGACCTCACCTTACGATTGACAGCATACAACATGAAAGCTTGCAGCTGTAAGTTGCTTCTTACCAGAAACGTCTGGAACATAAAGACTGTTTCGATCATGGACGTGCACAAACTTCCGGACACCATGATGAACGTGAACAAACCTCTGTGCTCTGGGTGGTTTTCTCTTTATCAGAGACGACGCTTGACCGTGCCTGGGACACGAGCAGCAAACTGGTCAGGATCAGGGACGCAACTTCATTTAAAAAATCCTTACTTGTAGCGGACAACATACGACTCACAGTTTGTATGATCAAGGATACACTTTGTCAACCATATGTCTCCTCTGTCATCTTTGGTATCTCTGGTTTTCACACTTCTCAGGAAAAATTGGCCAGTCACAGGGGGAGTCATAGAAGCCACGAGTTGCAGAGATGTTGGCTTCCTTGTGTTTTGTAGAGGAAACCAACCACTGATCGAGTGCATCTCCGACATCATAACCTGTTGCCAAGTTATTCTCAGATGTCCCAGCACCGTATAGGAGCCGCTGTAAGGCTTGAGCTCCAGGATAACACCTTGGGTTGATAAATCAGTTTCAAAGTCCCAGATTTTCTTTGAAGAGTTGAAATCGTGAAATTTGAACGATGATGCTAATAGAGAATTTAGTGGTGAAATGGCAAGCAAATGGTTGAACTCTCTGGGTTCTGCGTAACTCTCAACTTCCCGGACAGACATGTGCACCTGCAGTCAATATACATTTTACCAGAGGAAGAAAAAGAGAAGAGAAATGTCACCTGAAAAATCTTTCTCTTGGCCAGCGTTGCTTGAAGATGAGCCCAGGACCTCGAGCACTCGGCAAGGCTTGATCCTAAGACACGGACGGAGGTGGTACTTATGAGCGTTAGGGGTAACGGTGGTTCACCTCTGTACATGCAACCTGCTTTCTCATACGTAAGTCCATACGTCTCTTCCCACAGAGAACGAGTTTGTGTATATCCCACGTCGAGCTTTCCTCCAACTTCTCTGTTGTTGACAGAATCGTCGTGTTCCAAATCTCTTCCCAGCACTCTCACCATGTCGCACTCATACTTGACGGAACAAAGTTGATGCGTGTGCCACATCAAGTCGATGTCATAAGTAGGAACGAAAAACTTATCCTCTCCCTGAGTTCTTTTCAGATGCAGAAACCCTTTATAACGCTTCTCTGCGTCGCGCAAGAATCCTCTGTCCTGATAATGTGGTGCAGAGACCTGAAACGAAGAAAGGTGTTTGCCTGGATAGAAAAAGTGATAAAACATCAAAACCTGGTAAATAAATGATTTCTGTCTTTTAACTGCATCCACAAGGTTGTACGAAATCATTGATTTCCCGGATGAGTAGCTTGAGCTGCCTGTGGACATGAGTTCACGAAAATTATAAGGTTCATCCGGATATAATGATGTCCAAGCATCCCTGCTTTTACGATAGTGCTCCATAGAGTTTTTACGTTTAAGACGTGCATCGATAACTTTTCCAAACAGCTTTCTGCAGTCGCTAGCATACTGAACCTGTTCACTAGAAACTTTTAAAAACAACAAGCTGGTGACAGGGATGATGCTTACAGGTTTCAGTCGATGGCAATGCCAGATTAACGCACAATCGAGAGGCGGGATCAGCTCTGACGAAGAATTTGCCAATGGAAGCCAACAATACTCGTACCTGTACAGACAGAAAGGTAGCTAGACAAGAGATGAAGGAAGTCTACCTTTCGATTGCTCGCCTCAGAATCTGTGTACTGAATAGCCAAGGATTGGAGTGTACCTTGGCTACGAATCCTAAGTGATACTCAGCCTCGGAAACCAGATCGAGGCTGAATTGAACATTCTGAGCCTCGAGCCAGTTTCTTTTTTGAACCTCCTGCAGAGACAGCATTGTTGTATCTCTGAGCGCTCCCAAGTTGATGGATATAATGAGGAAAGTAGCTCACCTCAAGAACACGCCTTGCCAGCCGGACAAAGTTCAGCACTTTCTGTTCTACTTCGCTCAAGTCAACACGAAGTTTGGAAAAAATCAAATGCACGGAAAGGTCCTGGCTTCCCATTTCAACACTTCATATATAGAGTAGAGTAGTCCCAATCAAAACACACTGCATAGCTATCAATGACGGGCAGCTCCAGGTTGAGCCCAGTCCATGCTCTGTAGAAACACCACAATGGTTACAAAGAACAAGACAATGTACAAGACGTTCTGTCCAATGAAGCCCATCAGTTGTTCCATGAATGAAGGCTGTTTAATGATACTTCTCTTGACTTTGTTGTTTTTGAAATCCTCCACCAAAGCCGATATCTGCCCACCCATTTCCACTTCATTCTCCGATACCTCCGCATGCAAGCGCTGCTTAAAGGACATTGGCTAAGTTTTTGAAACAGCGTACGCAAATAACATACCGTGTAGAAATACGTCTTGCCGTCCCAAACAAGCACTTTTGATGCGTAAAAGATGTCAGCGAGAGGAGAGGAAGAGTTGAGCAGTGCAAAAAGCATCTCGGGGTGCTCCCGAGCCAGTTCTTTCATGTGGTTGAAAACTCCAGCACCTGTAACAATGGCCAAGACAACTGGCCTCCCATCCGCCTTAACAAGCTCCAAGTTGTCATACGTCAAGGTTGTCACCGGAGGCAAGAGGTTATGCCTCACGAACGAGGCCAAGCCCTCCCCTGCTAGAAAAGAGCGTCCAGGGAGGGTCAAAGGTCGCAGAAACAGAAGGCTCGTACCTTGGAAAGGCCCGTGGAACACAGCTTGTTCGTTCATGGAGGCGTGCTGAACAAGCAAAGCTGGAAGCACCGTCAGCCCGTAGTCACTTGAAAGCAAATCCAACTCTGATGCCGAGCTTTCTTGATCAACTGTAGCAAACCATGCTCTCAGTCTGTGTTCTTGTGCTAGCTCAGCCAGTGTAGGAACCTCCACTCCAAAGCCGACGAAGACAGGGAGCTTATCGCCCGCCCGCTCCAAAAACTGCTTGACAGCTGATGGAGACTGTAGAGTCGAGAGAGGAGGTGCCAGCATCCTTCTCAGGTGCGCCACCATGAGCTCGGCTTTGTGTGGGCCTCGGTAGTCCGTGTGAATTCCATCCACGAAGAGCTTCAGAGTTGGATACTCACTGCGTCCACCACACACTCCTAGTAAGTAGAAGAAGGAAGCTCGCTCGCACAATTACTTGATCTTGTATCTGGATGCGATGGCCGTGAACTTGTCGACGTTGATCTTGGCGAGCGTCAGCTCCTCGGGCTCACTCGCCAGCTGCGAGGCCGCCTCGTCCAGCTGATGGTAGCATTGTGTGAGAGGCAAAAGGAGCAAGGCAGGGGTACCTGGGGAGAGAGTGCATTGCAATGCGAGCACCAGGGTGCGTAGAAATCGACGAGGATGTTGCGGCACTCGGAGATGGCTGCATCGAAGTTGGATCCGTCCAGCTCCACCACTGCTCCCCGCCGGCACAGCCGCCCCTCGTCGTGCTCCGCCGCCACCAGCAGCAGCAGTGACAAGATCGCCCACAACATTGCCCTAAACAAATGGAAATGGAGGAACCATCACCTCCTCCTGCCTACTATGCCGGTGGTGACTATGGCGGCGACGAGACGCTGGGGATGCGGCTGGTGGACACCATGGCAGGCTTTGCGAGGCGGCTGTGGACGTCGTCCTACACGGTGCTTACCGTGGATCTCAGGAGGGCCTCCATCACCTACGACGGCCCCCCTCTCCTCAGGAGGCGCCGCCGCCAAGTAACACGAAGCAGGAGCTCGTCGCCGCCACCGTCTCACCGCCGCCTGGTGTCGTCCGGGCATGGCTACCTCGTCAACGAACGAGACGCAGAGAGCAGCGGCGGATGGGCTGACGGGGTGGAGGCAACCAGGGCTCAAGCTCGTCTCAAGGTGATGCAGGTAGGATTTGGATGAAGATGCCACCACATTTTGTTTTACTGCGGTCGTGGATTCACCAGGTGTGGGAGCTGAGCACGCGTAAAGAGACTCCGGATCCCTGGCGGCTCAACCTGGGGATCGGCGGGGAGTTTGAGGTGGACAAGGGAGAGGTGAAGCCCAAGCTCAGGCTGCGAGCCAAGCATGCATCGCTACACCTCCTCCCGCTGCCCGCGATTGAGCTGCGCCGCAAATGGCCTCTGCCACCCTCCTCCTACACACACCTCGGGATCGATGTTCGCTGCAGGTGTGTGTTGTCGCATCGCATGCACATCTAACTCCCCTCTGGAGCGCAGAATACCCCTCGCTAGCCCCGACAAAATGCTGGACCCGGCCTCCGGCCCTCGCCTCATGGTGAACGTCTACAACATCGGCGGCACTGGCATTCACTTCACTCCAGGGGGTACGTTTACGACATGCCTCTCCATTTCCTGCTCGACCAACCTGTTTGCTTCCCTGTTTCCTCTGAACTTTGCCAAGGTCTCTTGTTCGAGGACAACGTCATAGAGCTGGGCAGATTCACGAAGATGCGCGTGGCGGCGGCCCTCGAGTTCCCACGGGAATTGCCATGGAGTGAGGAGGAGAGGCCCTTCAAGTTGGAAGTTCGTCGAGTAGGGATCAAAGCTAGAACACTCTGAAACGAAACCGGGACTGTAAAAAACAGCGGAATAAAATAAGAAGGAAAAAAAAAAAAAGAAAAATTGCCATCAAAATGGAAATTTTCTAGGCGCACGCCATAGCTGGCACAGCTTCCGTTTGAGTCTTCTTGGCAGCGCCGTGTTTCTTGGTGACAAACCTGAAACACAAGCAGATTAATGACAGTCTAGACTACTCGCGACTCAAAAAGGAACAGGCTTACCTGAAGAAATCCCTCCAGAGCAATTCAAAGACAAGCCACTGCATTCCGGAGTCACCGCTAGCTGCTGAAGATGGCGCTATAGATGTTGGTGTTGGCTTTGGTACCAATCTGCACATTTCCAAGTGATAAGTCGCTCGCACTACTTGCAACCAGGCTATCAAGGACGAACCTGCTAGTTGTCTTTTTCAAGTCCTCAAACATCTTCCGGGGGGAGAGGCAGCCCATTGCCAACCATGGCGATATCTTAGAGGAGAAGTTGGCCCCGTAAATGCTGTTCTCCTTACCGCCCTTGGATGGTGGCGGTGAAACCAAGGAGAAACTCTTTAATCTCTTGAGTGCCTCCACCTCACCGCCGATCATTCGATTTCGCTTGTGCTTCTCCTGCTTTCACCACAAAGTTTTGGCACACAATCAATCAAACACGGTGTCATACCTGCCCTGCAGCAGAAACGGGGCTGAGCCCAAGCTCTTGCAGGCTGGGAATGTCTCCTGCTTTCACGTCACCCTGCGATGGAAGTCCCTTGAGCTGCTTGGGAGCCTCAGTCGCCGCTCGAACCTGGACGTCCTTGACCTTGTCGCGGAAGCCTCCATAGTTGGAAGGCATGTCCTCCACCTTGAAGGGCAGGTCATCGACGTGAAAGAGCGTGCTTCCCCAGAAGAACTTGACGTCTACATTCTGGTCCTTGAGTGCAGACGTAACTTTGTCTTCCATGCCCAGCTCCTCGCTCGACACCTCCTGATGTGCGTACAGCCCGTCGGCTCCCACAGCTTTGGCGATGGTGGACAAGACCTCCACCGGGTTGCCAATCCTCACCACCAGTTCCGAGCCCCGCTCCCTCAGGTTGTCCCGCAAGTTGGCAACGCACTCGACGAGAAACTTGGCCCTGTATGGCCCCGTCTTATCGAAACCGGACGCGGACTTGCCATAGTCCTTGGGGTCGAAGCAGTAGACGGGGATGACAGACAGTGACTCCTTGTTTGCGGCGGCCAGAGCTTCATTGTCGTGGACGCGAAGGTCGTTCCTAAACCACACAATGGACGCACGTCTCATGCCGGCACCAGCTGCCGGGTTGCCATACCTCCTGCCCGACCTCGGCAGCATCTGGTAATCCGGAAACGCGGTGGCGGAGCTGCAAATCTTGCTGGCGCTGCTCTGCTGCTGCTGCTGCGGCTCCACATCCAACCCAAACTTGAGCTTCGAAGATGGCACCACGGGAATTGGCGAGTTGGCCTTCTTCTGCGAAGGGAGATTGGCAGGAGGCTTAGCGAGCAGCTTGCGAGGTAAAACCCCAACTTTGGAGGAGAGCGGCATCAGCGTGTTGAGCGCCAGGGACAGCGAGGCTAGGTTGCCGCAAGGAATGAAATGCCGCTGCGCCGGCCTGTCTACTACCTCGCTGTGCAGCTCCACCTCCAGCTCCTCCGGTGGGGGCGCGGCACCCAATGTGGCATGAGCAATGGAGCTGGAGGAGAGATTGGCGTCCATGATGAGCTCCAGATCCACGAGGCCATCGCCATCCGCAGCGTTCGCCATTCCTCCACCACAAAGCAACCACTGCGGGCTTTTGCGATAAACCCTAGAACCGTACGCGAAGTAGTGGATAGAGTGGTGTGGCCACTTGTGAATATCGGCCATGAGTCCCATGGCCACCATTCTTTTTTCTTCTTAATTTCTCCATAAAATTATAAAATTAGGGCACACGGAGGAGAGCGTCGCGTCTGTCCCTTGAGCGCTCAAGGGCCGCGCCCGCGCCATTCTTTCCTTTCTTCTCTCGCGACTCGCTTCTCGGAATTGGGTTGGATCCATCCCCATGGCGACTGGCGACAACATGACTGTAGGAATCAAGTGCTTGTGCGTGGGCTAGCTAATAAGTCAGTAGAAGCTCTGTAGAGCAGCAGCGTGCGCGGGTAAGATTGTGGTAGCTAGTTCGTCAATGAGTCGAGCAGGAATGATGGAATGTCAGCTGGGAATGGTCAATTGTTGGGGCAAAGCAATAGTGACACTGCTGCTGCCCTCTCATGCTAGATGAAGCCTCCGCCTGATTCTCTCCCCTCCAAGACCAAAATGCCGGCGTCCGCGGTGTGCACCAAGCCCGAAGATCTGGTGGAGAGCCTCAGCTCGCTCGACACCAGCGCGCGGCTCAAGGCGCTCCGGGACGTGAAGAACCAGATAATTGGCAACAAGACCAAGAAGCTGTCCTACATAAAGCTGGGAGCTGTTCCAAGAGTTGTGGAGATCCTTGCCAGTGACACCGACATTCCACTCCTGGTCCAGTCGGCTGCCGCGGTTGGGAGCTTCGCATGTGGAACTGACGCTGGCGTCAAGGCTGTGCTCGACAGTGGAGTACTCCCCCACTTGCTCAGGATGCTCTCCAATGGCAACAACAAGGTAGCAGTGCCACTCCACCGTCGCCTGCCACTGTCCTCTAAAACTAACTCTCTTTCTCTTTGCTTACGTTCCAGGTCGTCGAGGCCAGCGCCCGGTCTCTCAAGATGATATTCCAATCCACGCTCGCCCCCAAAAATGACATGTTCCAAGGCCGGAGGATCGACCTCATTCTAGCACTCTTGAACAGTGGCAACGAGAACGTGTCCGAGGTTGCTGCCAGTGTGTTAGCCCGATGCTGCGAGACCAGCGAGCACCAGAAAGCACTGGCCGACGCCGGCTGCCTGCAGAGCCTGGTTTTCCTTTTGTCCGGGAGTCCCAAGAGAAAAGAGGCCGCTCTGGATGCATTGGCAGCACTTACAAGAGGTAACCCGGACACTTCTGCTGCATTGGCCGCCACTGGTGCCGTCTCCACCATCATCAGGACGATGAAGGACAAGTCACCCAGGGCACGCCTGCTAGCCTGCATGTGTCTTTCGAATATCGGCAGAGCTTGCCATAACAACTATCAGCAAGAGTGGGACATTCGAAAGAGTATTCTCTCGACGGTTGGCAAACTTATTGACGAGAACGGCCAAGTAGGTGAAGAAGCACCGGGAGTTTTGGCAGATTTGGTTGCGAACAACGAGGAGCTTCAGAAGACAGCCTTCGATTTTAACATCATCGAAAGACTTGCCGAGGTTCTTCAAAGAAGCTGTGTTCCAGAGAAACAGCTGGAAGGAGTTCTCATGGCACTCGCCGAGTTGTGCTCTCGGCTGGAGGATAGTCGGAGAAAGCTCCTCGAGCTCCAGGCATGCTGTTTTTTACTTTCCAGTGAACAATGTATCTAACTTACCTTTCCTGGCAGGCACAGTGCTCCATTGCAATGGCTTTGGGACATGAATCAGAAGGAGTTCGAATAGCTGCCTGCGCTTGCATCAAGAGCATCTCTCGGTCTGTCAAGGTACTCATCCTTTCCTCTCCTTTTTGCTCTCTTGTTTATGGTAATTGTACTGAACTAAATTCACTCGCAGAATTTACGTACAACTTTGACCGATGAGCGATTGGTGTGGCCTCTCTTCAGGCTGCTCAATGATCCGTCCCCGGCAGTCCAGGCATCTGCTCTAAGTGCCGTGAGCAACGTTGTGCTCGACTTCACACCACATAAAGCAGTGTTTTTTCAATGCGGTGGTGTTAGCCAACTTATCCAGCTAGCGTTATCCATGGAGCCGATGCTCAGGCTGAATGCAGTTTGGGCTCTGAGGAACCTTCTTTACTTGGCAGACATGAGCGTCAAGGAGAAAGTAATGAGGGAATTGACCGTGTCAACACTAGTCGACCTGGTTTGTGGTACTCCACACGCCGTCGTACCCGTATTGAAGCTGTCATACTGATTACTTGCCTTTTCTGCTTACAGATTCCGAGGAGATGGTACAAGAGCAAGCACTGGCCTTCGTTCGGAACTTAGTGTATGGCAGTGTCGCCTCCGTGCAACAGATATTTGCGGCTGACGCTGCTATATTGCATGCCGTGGAGAGACAGCTTTGTGTTGCAACTCGACCCGAAATATGCACACAGGTCCTGTTCATACTTGCTTGACTTCTCTGTGCTAAGATTTCCATGGGTGTTGACAGGCACTATATGTCCTGAGTAACGTTGCTGCAGGCAACGAATACCACAAGGATGCTGTTATGGACTTTGTTGCTCCAGCTTTGACTGGCGACCGCAGTGTATCGATCCTTATCAAATTTTTGCTGGACATGAGCAACCCGCAACTTCGTGTTGCCGCAGTCTGGTGTATATCAAACTTGAGCTTCCCCGAGAGTCCTGGGGTTGGCACTCGAGTGGCAAGGCTTCGGGATGCTGGCATTCAGCTGCAACTGCAGAAAATGTTTGACGATCCATGCACAGATGTGAAGGTAATCGTTTTTTTTTTTTTTTTTGTTTTCCTTTCTCGGCTGACTTTGAGTTTTTCCAATCCAGGATCGCGTAAAAACAACAATGGAGCAGTTTTTATGTACTGACCAAATGACGTGATTGCAACATCTGTATGACACAGCCGGAACAAGAGAAGCTGCTGCATCGTGTAAAATAGCCGTCGCAATAAACTTTGATGGTGCAGCTCGAACACCGGGCAAAGTGTAAGCTGCCGACTTCACCCCAGTGCGGTAAGCATAGCCAATGAGTTTCGAGCGAAATTGGTATCACGCTCGCTTTTGATCGCAGGTTGTTAATTTTTTTTCGCACGGTTTTCTTACAATATATTTGTTACTGCCTCGATCAATGGACAGAGTTCAGGTTTTTCTGTATCATATAGAACTGAGTAGGGATGATTCAGGCGCTGACTTTAAGCCATAGCTCATGGCGCTCAGTGTTGGCGGCAAGGCGCAAGCTTTACTGCTGCTCTAACGGAGCGGCAAACAGGGATGCCAAGGTAACTGGCTGAACCTCTGCAATTGGGCTGATAAGAAGTTTTTGAGATGTAGGTGAAACTGCGGGCTGCTCCATGGAGTTGTGGCGTGGTGGGTAGCACGATGATAATCTACTTGGGTGGATTACACGTTCCGCTCAGCTACAGTGGCCTTTCTATCGTCTCAACTATGCTAAGCAGCGACTGTGGGCTTGATCCCCAGGTGAAGGTAAACATGAACTGCTGTGTTTCCAACTTTCATAGCGCGTGCTCTCTTCTGTTTTGTTTTGTACAGGCAATTTCCTTGGTCGTGTTGCAGAGTGCTGAATTGTGCGGGGCGGTCTGGCTTATTGAGTCGAGCATCAGGCAGTTTGATACTAGACTGACGTGTATGAGCTTTGATCAGATGCTAAGCGGACGTAGAGGCTGTCTCCTTGCAGCCGTGATTGCTCTCTCTAGCGTCATCCTTTCGGCTCTAGCTAAGCCTGGCACGTCGGTGAGTCTAGCATGTGATTGATTTCCTTCTCACACACACCATGGAATCATGGAGCAGGTATATCTCGAAAATAACCACTACGATCCGGCACTGAAGGAGCTTCTGGCCAGTGGTGGCGTCTCTCTATGTGCCACCGTCGCTGTCTGTTGTGGCATCACCCCTTTGCTCGAGGAATTCGTATACCGGGGATTTGTCCTCACGTCTCTGGCTGCGTATGCATCTCCTCCGTGGGCCATTATCACCAGCTCGTTGATTTTCTCTCTGGTTCACTTCAAGGCACCTGAAGAGACGCTAGTGCTGTTTGTTTTCGGCTGCATTCTGGGAACCGTGTATGCAAAGACTGGAGACTTGGGTGCTTGCCTGGGAATTCACTCGCTCTACAATTTATTCATCGTATATTACACACTAGTGGCGTGATCAACTTGTGTCCCTGGCGCACCTGGTGATGACGGAGCAGCCCCGGGCCGAAGGTACCACAGCCGTCTGGTTGCTGCTGTTGATGCTGATGCTGCTGCAGTTGTTGTTGTAGTAGGAAAGGCCGCTCTGTGGCGGGCAGGGGACACTGTCGGCCACCAGAGATGCGTAGCTTATGTAGAGGGGCTGGGATGCCTGCTGCTGCTGTGCTCCCAGCTGCTGCACAAGGAGGGCAAGAACAAGAGAACATACTAGCGCCTTCATGTTGCAAAGAGATCTTGCTCTCAGTGCCTTCGGGAGACGGCTACTTAAATCGTCGGGTGGAAGTGATCGTGCATCGACATGCGACGCGACTACGCTGGGAGGAAAAAGAGGAAGCACACGTCTTTATTTGTAAATTCTGTAGTGTAGAGAGGGTGGTGGTAGTGGTGGGTATAAACAAAGGTAATTATAAAACATGAGCGCTTGTAAGGGTCCAACCGGTGTCGCCACGGTGGAGTTTCGCGTTGACGTGCTCCTCCCGAGAACCTCGCTTCACCTTAAGCACGAGATCCAGAGCATTCGTTCCCTGCAGCGGCGAGAGAAACAGTGAAAGCACATTAGAACCTTATCGGATGGTCGGTGTGTGTCAATTTCAACCTCCTCCGCCTGAGCTTTGACGACATGGTCAAGCTCGTAGGGGATGAGAGAGTTGGATCTCTGCTGAAGACCCTTCAAAGCATGCTCGGCTGCCTCGTTGATCACCACGGGATCATCGAGGGCAATGGCAGCACCGGCAGTCTCTGGAGAGCAACAAGAGAAGCAGCTCGACACACACACGCAAGGAAGAACAAGTCCGAACCTTGTTTGGAAGGCTTGAACTCCTCGAGCTTCTTGAAGCTCTCCCATGGTTTTGTCCACACCTTGGCGTCGTAGACGCCGGTACCATGCTGCTCAGAGTGAGCTTCGATGCTCAAGTGGAACATGGTCCCAGACACCACTTGTGTCTGAGCAGACACCACCCTCTTGAAGCACAGATTCGCCTCTGGGTTCTGCAAAGCCACACAATGAATGAGATTATCCCCCAACCGGACACAAAAAAAAGTACCTGGCGATTGTGCTCCTCCACAGCAAACTTGGCGTGCTCTTCAGCCTCCAAGCTGTTTGCTTCCTTGAGCGGCTTGGGAGCTCCAACCAGTGTCGTCATGGAGTCGATCTAGCTTAGAAGCGCTGCGTTGCTTGTGGCTTGACACGAGAAAACAACAAAACCCTTGCTCTATTTGCGGCTGCCACGTGGTCTTTTTATTTAGGTGCCCTACCTAGGGTTGTTGCAGAGCATCCAATTTCGATTTCATGGCTGCCGCAGCCGCCCAGTTTCAGGTGCGCTATCATCCTCATCACAATTGCGCACCGCTCCGCCCCTCCTTTCCCTCCTCCTCCGCCTCCTCCTCCTCCTCTCCCCCCTCCTCCTCCTCCTCCTCCTCCTTGTGCCGCGCGGGTTTGCAAGCCAGCGGACGCCTGCCCAGACGGTCCAATTCTCGTGTAAGTAAATTTCATCATCCCGTCACCATTACAGCAGTAGCAACCGCGTTCGCTCAAAGAGGCGGTCGGACAAGATCAGGTAATTGACGAATGAGCGGCCCGTGTCATATACATATACATGTATCTATCTTGGCAGAGGTGCGAGCTGCTGTGGCAACGCAAGAGACGGCGGCCACGGACGATGGCCTGGCACTGACGGAGGAGAATGTGGAGATGGTGCTGGACGAAGTCCGGCCGTACTTGATGTCCGACGGGGGAAACGTGGCGCTGGAGGAGATTGACGGGTTGGTGGTCAAGTTGAAGCTGCAAGGGGCGTGCGGATCCTGTCCCAGCTCGCTCATGACCATGAAGATGGGGATCGAAGCCCGGCTCAAGGAGAAGATCCCGGAGATAATCGGCGTGGAGCAGGTGCAAGACACGGAGACGGGGCTTGAGCTGACAGAGGAAAACGTTGACAAGGTAAGCTTCCGGGGGCTCTCCATGCTTTGGTGTCACACACCCTCGTGCGCAGATACTGTCGGAGATACGGCCTTACTTGGTGGGAACTGGCGGAGGGGAGCTGACGCTTGTCAAGATCGATGGGCCGGTGGTGAAGATACGCATCGAGGGTCCTGCAGCCGGGGTCATGACTGTTCGTGTGGCCGTGACGCAGAAGCTGCGGGAGAAGATCCCCATGATCGCCGCCGTGCAGCTCCTCTAGTCAGCCAGCCAACACTCTTACGTTAAGATTGTTGGACCTAAACATTGTTTTATCCGACGGCGTGTAAATATACACTGCACTTTGGTCCGGCCATGGCGGCTGTGTGGGGAGGCGCAGCAGCTTCCACATTCCTGAGAGGCACCGGGAGTGACAGGTGCTTGGCACCGTGGAGGGCGCCGAGCAGGGCCCATGGTGGCGGCGGCCGGGGACGGCTGGGCGGCGGGGTTGGAGTCCAGGTGTTTGCCATGGCGCCTCCCAAGCCATCCGGCAAGGCCAAAAAGGGTATGGCAGCTTGAACGAGTGATGTGCGTTATAACTAGCTAGTGCAGTGACGGGCATGGTGAAGCTGGCATTGCAAGCGGGCAAGGCGACGCCGGCTCCTCCGGTCGGCCCTGCTCTGGGTTCCAAGGGCGTTAACATCATGGCCTTCTGCAAGGAATACAACGCCAGGACGGCCGACAAGGCCGGCTACATTATCCCCGTGGAGATTACAGTCTTCGACGTGAGCTACCTCTCTCCTCCTAGTCGAGTGACTGAAATGTCGCCAAATGCAGGATAAGAGCTTCACCTTCATCCTCAAGACACCTCCGGCGTCAGTGCTACTCCTTAAAGCCGCAGGTTTGGTCATCCCTCTTCCCCTGCGCGGCCATATGCTTATTATGTGTGACAATTCGCTCCAGGCGCCGAGAAGGGTTCCAACGAGCCCAAGCGGGTCAAAGTGGGCAAGGTGACGGCGGATCAAGTGAGAGACATAGCCAAGGAAAAGCTCCCCGACCTCAACTGCACGTCCATCGACTCGGCTATGCGAATCATTGCGGGGACCGCTGCCAACATGGGCATAGATATCGAGCCGCCGATACTTGTCCCCAAGAAGAAAGCCGTCTTGTAGTGCTTTGCTTTTTGAAAATCTTGCACAGTTTTGTAACCCGTCAAGCCATGTGTCCATCCAAATTTCCCTCCTCCATCCCCTTGCCCTACTAGCTGGAAAACAACCCCGACGCCACCAGCAGCAGCAGCAGCGCAGCCTCCAACTGGTGGTAAGTAAATGCTCGCCATTCTTTTTGCTTCGTCTAGCGTAGCTTTCGCAGGCGATGGAAATCTTGGACTTCTTGGAAGACCAAGAAAACGATAATTGGCGCTGCCGGAGCCACGGGTGCAAGGGCAGTGGTGAAGAACGGGTCACCCTTCCCCTGACAGAAACCACAAACCATGACGAGGACTACTCCAAGATCCCCCTCGCTGACTACTGCAACACAGCCATATTGCAGCAGGTGAAGAGGCTACAGGGTGACGCTCTAGAGCTACGCCGGACCAACAAGGAGCTGCAGCTTCAAAAGCGTGACCTTAACGTCAAGTTGGCGGCGGCCCAAGCCCACATTTCCACCCTCCTCGCCAAGGTATACATGTATGTACGTACTTAACACCGGTCATGGCTTTGGCTGCCTTAGAAGGACATGGCGGAGGCGGAAGCAGCGTTACTGAGGCCAGCAAACCAAGAATTGCGCAGGCAGGTAGAGGGGCTGCAGAACCAGCGCTTCAGCGAGGTGGAGGAGTTGGTCTACCTGCGCTGGGTCAATGCTTGCCTGCGCTACGAGCTACGCAATATCATGATGGACAGCACCGTCAACTGCCAGGCCATGCAGCTCAGCAAGGTCTTGAGCCCAAACTCTGGCCAGAGAGCCAAGCGACTTGTGCTCGAATATGCGGGGGCCGAGCTTGCTACGTCTCGCACTGATAGCAACGACGACGGCGATGGCGACACAACCTCCAAGTCATCAGAGTCTAGCTGTGGCTTCCCGGCGCTTGAACAGCGACAGAATGGCAACAAGCCGAGCTTCATCAGGAAGCTGAGCCGGACGTGGTCGAGGAAAAGAAACAACTCCTTCGGATATGTTGCCAGACCGCCAGCCGACGATAGGCGCGATACGTACAACAGCACCAGCATAGCAGAGTCTTTCCAGATTATGTCCCGCTCCATGGTGGCAGACAAGTATCCAGCTTTCAAGGACAGGCACAAGCTGGCTGTGGACAGTGCACCTGATGCGTCCTCGTCCTCATCGTCGGCGGTGGCGGCGGCAGCAACAGCAAGTCTTTCAGCGCGTCCTCCGCCTCCTCCACCGCCACTACCAACGCCTCGTCCAGCTGTTGTGTCGTCGTCGTCCCCTCTGGCAAGCTCAAGTGATAACAAGCTCCGGTTCCAGAGAGCGCCACAGGTGATTGAGCTCTACCATGCAATGACGAAGCGTGACATCAAGAAAGATGTACCATCAACTGCGACCGCAGCAGCACGAGTCAGTGTCGATGAAGCACGGAGCAGCATTATCGGGGAAATCGAAAACAGGTCGTCTCATCTGCTGGCGGTACGTAATTTAACTACTGGGAAACTTATATCATGGCGAACAGATTAAAGCGGACGTAGAGAACCAGCGTGAACTTGTCGTGTCCCTGGCGGCGGAAGTCCGTGCCGCAGACTACACTGAGATGGAAGACGTGCTTGCATTTGTGACCTGGTTGGATGGAGAGCTCGCTTTGCTGGTACGTGGTTGCTAGCCAGGAGCCATGCATGCTGGCTATTATAAGCTTCATTGTGCAGGTGGACGAGCGTGCCGTTCTCAAGCACTTTAACTGGCCAGAAGCGAAAGCGGATGCTCTGCGCGAATCTGCATTTCAGTACCGAGACTTGAGGAAGCTGGAGCGCGACCTGGCTTCCTTTGAGGATGACTACGGGATGAAACGCGATCCCGCTTTAAACCGAATGCAAACCGTGATGGAGAGGTACATTTCAAGGCGAGGAAGAGTCTGAAGTAAGCCCTCTCTCTGACTTGGCAGGACAGAGCACAGCATCTATTGTTTTCTACGTACGCGAGACAAAGCTGCTATTCGCTACAAAGAGTCTGGCATTCCTACGAACTGGATGCTGGATGGTGGACTCGTTGGAAAGGTAAAGCGCTTTGCTGCACCTCAAGTCCATGAATGTTTCGATCAGATGAAGGAGTCATCGGTAAAGCTGGCGGAGAAGTTTATGAAGCGAGTGGTACTCGGGCTAGATGGCGCAGGCAGCGATGAGCTTGTGGAGGAGTTTCTGCTGCTGCAAGGAGTACGCTTTGCGTTTCGTGTTCACCAGGTACTTCTTTCGTCTTATTTGAGCATATCATCTTCTTGCCCATACAGTTCGCCGGTGGTTTCGACGACAAGACCATGCAAGCATTTGAGGAGCTCCGAAGTCGCGCGCGAAAGACCACCCCTTCATGCATGTTGTAACAAGGAAATTTTCAAGCTACATAATTTACTTGTTCTCCCTATTGTCGATTAGGGTGCTTGTCCCCGTCCTGATCCCAGAGCGCCAGCAATGGCGGGGGGAGCAATGCTGACAATGGGTGCCAAGGCGTCGTCGTTACACAACGAGGTTGTTACCAGCGGGGAGACGATCGCGCTTCCTGCAGCTCACATTCGGCTCCCCCGAGGCCCTTGGACGCAGGTAAGTTATTCTTGTTTACCTTCACATCACTGCTTACTCGCACTTGGGAGTCTCTAGATTCCAGGCGGTGTCGCTGGACCTTGCGGCTTTCGGGCTGCTGGCTTGTATGGCGGACTGAGAGCACTTGGCACCAAACCAGACCTCGCCCTGGTTGTCTCGGATGTGGACGCCGTCTGTGCCGGTGGGTCGCTTCTTTTCCTCCTTGCCCTGTGTGTCTTCTTCTTACATGGCACACGCAGGAACCTTCACAACAAACGTCGTGGCTGCTGCGCCCGTCTTGTACTGCAAGCGCATTCTCGCGGCCTCTACCAAGGTTGGCACGATTCTCCGCTTTGTTACTGGTAAAGTTTTGGTGTGTATCCAGGCGCGTGCAGTTCTTATCAATGCGGGTCAAGCGAATGCTGCAACTGTGAGCACGTTTCTCCATGCATGCACGCGTCACTGACGGCTTTGATCAGGGTGATGCAGGTTACCAAGACGCCCTCGACTGCGCAACTGCTGTTGCAAAGGTAGACGTCGCTTGCTCCTGCGCGGGACTTCAGTTATTTGTTTCTGTAGCTCCTCGGCACTCAACCGGAACGTGTTCTTCTCCAGTCCACCGGTGTAATTGGCAAACGCATCAAGAAGGTAAGGCCGCATTGTCTGCTTTGGAAATTCATAATCATTAACCGATTATTTCTAGGATGCTCTATTAGCGTCTCTTCCTCGGCTGGTGGGAGCACTTTCTTACACTGCTGACAGGTGTGCACGTTTTTCTCTTTTGTTTTCTTTTCTCATCGGACCATGGAAGTGGTGATGCTGCTGCAACTGCGATCACCACCACCGATCTTGTTACCAAGAGTGTTGCCATCGAGACTGAGGTGAGGCTTCAGATGCATGAGTGCCTTACAAAAGCTAGTGCTGTAGGTGGGAGGAACGACCGTTAAGATCGGTGGCATGGCGAAAGGATCTGGGATGATCCATCCAAACATGGCGACGATGCTTAGTGTAATCCTTATTTGATTATCAAGAATGTCTCCAAATCTTGAGTTTATTCGCAGGTTGTAACATGCGATGCTCACGTTTCATCGGATGTGTGGCAAGATCTGGTCAAAACCGCTGTTGGCCGGAGCTTCAACCAGATCACGGTATGCCATTCTTTTCAACAGTGAGATAAGGAGGGTAAACTCTCAGGTGGATGGAGACACGAGCACCAACGATACCGTCCTAGCACTAGCCAGCGGTGCCTCTCGTGGACGTCTGCTCGACAATATGCAAGACCGTGATGCACAGCAACTCCAAGCCGCACTGGATGCAGTGAGCATGTTACTGCCTTGTGTTCGTGTTGACAAGCTATTCATTGTATCTTGGCTATACAGGTGTTCCAAGGCCTGGCAATGTCTATTGCATCCGATGGGGAAGGTGCTACATGTCTTGTCGAGGTTTGTAGGCTCCGCTGCATGCACCTTTCTCACAGTCTGCTTTGATGTAGGTGGAAGTCACAGGCGCTCACTCCGACGATGCTGCAGCTGTTGTCGCTCGTTCAGTTGCTCGATCGTCCCTGGTCAAGGTTGCGTGTTACTTTCTCTTTTTATCTTTCACTTGAGCGTTGGTGTGAACTAGGCTGCTGTCTATGGAAGGGATCCGAATTGGGGGCGTGTAGCATGCGCAGCAGGTTACTCGGGCGTTGACTTCGACCCTCAGGAGCTGGAAATCCGGCTCGGGAGTTTTGTGCTGATGCAGAAGGGGCAGCCATTGGAGTTTGACCGGTGAGTCATCAGTTGTATGTATCTATCCAGACCTGATCCGAGGGACGCAATGCAGCGCAGCAGCGAAAGACTACTTACGTGCGGCTGGAGAAGTTCACGGCGTCGTTGCCATCACAATCTCAATCGGTCTGGATGCTGTTGTGTGACAAGTGACCAACGGAGGTGGTGCCATGTTTCAGGTGGCGGAACAGGACGGTCCACTGCGTGGGGCTGCGACTTGAGTTACGACTATGTGAAGATCAATGCTGATTACACAACTTAATAACTCGCTTTGGTGGTACTTTTAAAGTAGGGTTCTTGGTGATGTACACTTCAACAAAAAAAATTTAAATTTTTTTATTTAATTTTTTATTTATTTCTGTTCCGTGTGTGTGTGTGTGTATATATATATATATATATATATATATATATATATATATGTGTGTGTGTGTGTGTGTGTGTATATATATATATATCTATGTATATATATTGTGAGTGCTTGGAATATAGAAGGGGAATACAAAAAATATCAATTAGCATATCAATTAGCCTAAAAACCCTAACTTATATACAAGAGCGAGTGGTCCAGATTGAAACTAATCTGATAGTTACCAAAATCTCACTACGCTAATATTAGTATACGGCATCATAGCTGTACACTTGGCTCTCACATCATCCCCTCCTCTCGGAATAATGGAAGACCATCAGGGTTCTCTTGTAGATGGGCCAGGATCGAGAGGAATGTCAGGAGGAGGCATTGGCAGATCTGTAGGTGGTATTAACTGCTCTTGATCCCTTTGTATAAAGCATTTCAATCGTTACACATGCACAATCTCTGGAGGATCGGTCTGCTAAATGTCATGCCAAACCTCATAAACTTGTGGTCCAACTTGCTGCAACACCCGATACGGTCCTTTCCACTGCACAAGGAGCCCCTTAGATAAACCATGCACCGTAAGATGGGAAAACTGACTAACACCAAATCATCCACTTTGTACTCCGCAAGTGGACGATGATGGGAGTTGTACCGCCGTTGTCGTCCCACTTGTACCCGGCCTAAGTGTTCGGCAGACTCCGTTTGCACAAGTGGAAGAATGCTCGTCAAATACTGATCCCATGACCTAGCATCCGCAGCTCGTGGCAATTGCAAAGGTAAACTCAGCTCCGTTGGTAATATTGGATCATGACTATATAGGAGTTTATATGGTGAAGCACCAATAGAACTTTGCACCCCTGTGACATATGCATACCGAAAAGACGGCAAATAACCATCCCAATCCGAATGCTGAAAGTTCACATACTTTGCAATCATCCCTTTGAATGTCTGAACAAGCTGTTCCACTAGACCGTCTGATTGTGAATGATAAACACTCATGAAAGTGTGGCGTATCCCCAACCGAGATGTCAAAACATGAAATGCCTCGGCCATAAATGTGGGACCATTATCTGAAAGAATCCGCTCTAGACAAGAATGCGGGAACACCACTTGATTGAGGAGGAAGTATCCAACAGCAATTGCAGAGGCGCTAGCAAGAGCACCAACTTCTACCCAATGAATCAAGTAGTCACAAGCAATAATAACATACTCTTTGCCAACAGTCAACTGTGGAAAAGGTCCCATAAGATCAAACACCACAACTCAAATGGATGGGAAACTAAAATTGACTCCAACCGTCCTTCCACAGCCCGAGGGGGAGTATTACGAGCTTAGCATCAAATGCAGCTACATACATACCGGATAATATCACATCGCATCTTCAGCCAATAAAAAGACCTACGTAGCTTCTCGGTTACACGCAATGTCCCATATGCCCACCTAAAACAAGAGAATCATGGTAGGCATGGAGAAACCGCGGAATAAAGATAGAAGGCACCACCAGCCATAAATGATCATCAAAATCCATCCCCACAAAATAAAGAAGGCCATCTTCAAGGCAAAATTGAGAATGTAAATGCTAGAAAGGCAAGTCATCAGCAAATGATGTAGGATTCTCAAACCTATCTCGAAGCCTTCGAATCCACGGCTCAATCTTTTGAGCCTCACGAACTTCATCAAGAGAAGGTAGATCTTGCTCTGCACCTTGTGGACACTAAACATCAAGTACAGCAACCGCCGATGGCACAGAATCTTTGTCTAGAAAATCCATAGAGGCTGGAACAACAAGCTCGTCAGAAACATGAGAAGAGAGTGGAGAAGGAAGAGGAGCTCGAGAAAGGGAATTAGCATCAGCCATAGAACTCCCTGGGCGATGAACAACATCAAAATCATATATCTAAAGCTTCAAAACCCACTAAGCAATAGGACCAACCAGGTTCTTCTGTTTCAATAATGAAGTAACGATAGCATGGTCACCTTCAAGTAACATCCAAGAACCATGTAGATATGCATGAAGGTTCTCGAAATCCCAAACTGATGCTAAACACTTCTTCTATGTTGTGGAGTAGTTCATCTCTGCTGGTTGTAATGTATGGCTTATATATGCAATAGGATGATGTTGACCATGCACACTCAGGCTTTCTTGCATCAACACACCTCCAAGACTGATATCAAAAGCATCTACGCGCAAAATAAAAGGTTGAGTGTAGTCAGGATATGCCAAAACCGGAGGAGTCATCAACAACTCTTTGAGATCTACAAATGCCCACTCACAATCTGAAGACCAAATAAAAGATGATGTTGATGACTTCAGCAATGCTTGCAACAATGTAGTGTGATCAGAAAGATGATCCATAAAACGACCGAGATACTGCACCTTGCCCAGGAAGCGCTACACATCATTCACACATTTCGGAGTAGGGAACTTTAGAATAGTCACAAGTTTATTAGGATCAACTTGCAAGCCCTCACGAGAAATACAGTACCCAAGATAAGTTGTGTCCTTAGACCCAAACATGCATTTTAACCGCTTCAGCTTTAAACTAACGTCCCGTAGCCGATCCAACACTTTACACACATCACGAATGTGCTCCTCCCACATCCCCTCCGAGTGAATCAAGACATCATCAATGAAGTCAGCAGTCACCTCTGGCATATCACAAAGAACCTTGTCCATCATTCGCTGGAATGTTGCTGGAGCATTGTTCAAACCAAATGGCATCACCAAAAACTTGTATAAACCAAATGGTGTATGAAAAGTTGTTTTAGGAATATTTTCTTCAGCCATTGGTACTTGCCAATACCCAGAAGCAAGATCTAGCTTGGTGAATTAACGACTTCGCCCCAGACGATCCAAGAGATTAGCAATGTGAGAAAGAAGGTACACATCTGGGATTGTCACATCGTTTAACGGACGATAGTCAATGCAAAAACGAATACTCCCATCAGGCTTCATCACAAGATGAGGTTCACATGCCCAAGGACTCCGCGACTTCCGAATAGCACCCTTCTTCAACATCTCTTTGACTTTTGCACGTAAAATCTTGATCTCCTTGGGTGACCAGCGATGAACAGGAACCTTGATTGGACGAGCATCCCTGGTTGGAATCAGATGATGTGTCGCAATCTTGGCCCCAAACGATAACTCAAATTCAAAGAGATCAGAATACTCCTTCATGAGCCAGTCAACCGCTACAACACAAAGACTGTCAGAGGGATTGGAAAAGGGAAGAGAAGAACAAGATAGAAACATAGGAGGAAATAGTGGGGGAACAAAAGTAATGAAAGCAGAGGTAAAAATAGAGGGACGAAAAGATACAGAAGTGAGAGGAATGGATGAAACATAAGAAAGTATGAGAAAAGGGGGAAAAGCTTTAAAGTCACACTTAGCATGATTGCGCTACAACTAATCCATACAAAGAATGAGGTCAAAAGCTTGACTCGGCACCACCCGCAATGACTGCAACTCAAGCTCGAGATTGCCCACACGCACAACCAGGTCCGCCTCATCCCGTGCACATGCATGTGTACGGCCATTGCCATAAAGAATGAAAACAGATTCCACCGCACGACACAAGTGTAAACAACAACATGTGGCAATAGGTCAAGCAATAGAAGATAAACTCGAACCTGTATAACCAACATGGAGAAAATAATAGGAGACCTCTTGTTATAAAAACGAACTTGGAAAGTAAACACTAGATGAACCAGTGCTGAGTGAACCCCTTGATGATACTCCCGAAAGAAAGATGGAGGCGTCACTGACTTATTCGCGCAAGGTCCCTTCGTTACTCGTGCGACTCCTCGTTTCCCAGATGCATCTCAGTGTCTAAACCTTCCACTACGGCAGCACCAACAGGACGTTGCTGATGCGAAGGTCTCCACTCAGAAAATGCAGGTCGCCAATCCGGAAAATGCCGATACCGCCGATAAGTATGACCAACTTCATCACATGCCCAACAGCGAACATCACGGCCACGACCACGTCTTCGCCCTTGTCCTTGGACTTGAGCAGTAGCAGTAGCATCAACCTCCATTGGAACAGGACCATGTGAGACACAAAATCCCTAGGATCCAAAGTGGAGCCGAAAGGGTGCCATGTGGTAGTGGCCAAAACGAAAGCCAAACAAGCATAACACGTTTGGACTAAAAGCTCCAACTTGAAAAGTCAAGAGCGAGAGTGGAACTCCTAACAAAGTGCTCAAGGAACGAGCATGAAGCGAGTGATAAGCAAGGCTCCAAAAAAGGACCCAAAAGGACCAACACATGACATGTGGAAGTTTCCGAGATGGAGTCTGAGATGGACTCGAGTTGGAGTTTGAGATGGACCCGAGCTAGAGTCCGAGATGGACCTGAGTTGGAGTCCGAAATGGAGTCTGAGATGGACCCGAGTTGGAGTCCGAGTTGGAGTCCGAGATGGACCCGAGTTGGAGTCCGAGGTGGACCCGGGTTGGAGTCCGAGGTGGACCCGAGATGGAGTCCGAGATGGACCCGAGATGGAGTCCGAGATGGACTCGAGATGGAGTCCGAAATGGAATCTGAGATGGAGTCCAAGAAGGAGCCGAGATGGAGTCCAAGGTCGAGACCGAGACCGGAACCGAGACTGAAACCGGGACCGAGACCGAGATCGGGACCAAAACCGAGGCCGAGGCCGAGGCCGAGACCGAGCCCGAGCCTGAGCCCGAATCTGAGTCCAAGTCCGAGTCCGAGTCTGAATCCGAGTCCGAGTTCAAATCTGAGAGGGTGAAAGCCCAAAGTGTTCGTCTCCTAGACCCTACGGGGTTTGGTGAGCTCCAAAAGTATAATGAGGGGGAGGATTGCAGTGGAGCCAGTTTGGCCAGGAAAGGCCAGTTTGGCCCAGGAAGGCTGTACCCACTGTTGGGTGATGAGCTGCCCACTGGGAAGTCCAAGACTAGAGTGAACACAGACCGACAAGTGGGGTAATTTGGTGAAGTGTTCAAGAGCTGGCTCTAGTTCCCCCAAGAGATCGACTGGCTGAT